CGAGCAGCAGGGTAGTCTCCATCCTTGAAGATATATTCTGAGAGGTCTTGGAACATTGCATTGAGGTCGTCAGGCTCAATATTATGAGCAGAAAAGACTGTATGGGCGTGGGAAGAGGATGGAAGGAACTCGCAGGGTATTGGTGAAGCGACTGTAGAAGAGGGTATTTGCGATGGATGGGGAAAAGCTATGGCAGGCAACATAGTTGTGCTTTGGAGATCTTTTGTGGGTCCTTTTGAGCGTGCAATGGTCTGTAAGGGAATGTTAGCCCACAAAGTGAATGTCTGCGAGGAATTAATACACAGGCCTGAGCAAGGACTTCGGGTGAAATATCACAGATGTAGATCTTGCAATCATATGCTGCATAAGCCAGCTGGCGTGAGTCAGGTGAGAGGACAAGTAAATGTGCATTCTGAACGTCAAAAGAGGCGAGGAGCTGACAGGACTCGGAAGCCCAAAGCTTGATGGTGTAGTCATGAGCAGCGCTGGCCAGGAGAGTATGGTCAAATGACAGTGCCAGACTGCGGATATAGTTGGTGTGCCCTTTGAAGGGAGTACCAACAGTCTTTAGTGTCAATGCGTCAAATTCGTAGATTGAGGAGTCGGTGAATGCAGTCAAAATATTTTTGTTGTTGTTTGTCCAGAATATTGGCGTAGATGTGTATGTTCCAACATTGAGTGTGACATCCAATGTCTGTGATGGGACATCCCAGATTTCAAGGTACGGCCCCGATCTAACCGCAAGCTTCTTTGAATCTGTGGAAATTTGAATTATGTCCACGCAATACTCGCTCTTGAATGGACCGGCCACGAGTTTTCCGGTGTCCAGATTCCATATCCGTGTTGTGTCATCCCATGACACACTTGCCATCAATGTGTTGTCCTCGGAGATATCAATGCATCTGATAGTGCTTGTGTGCCCTTTGAATCTTTTCATCACCCCAGTCCCAACCTCACAGGCTGTCAGCTCGGCACGATTCGACCATCCACCACCTGTGACAATCCATCGACCATCCCTTGACACCGCCACTGCGTGTACCTGTTCCTTGTAAACACCTCGCACTTCCTCAATTTCCTTGCCCGCGTTCAGATCCCATTGCCAAGTGGTCTTGTCCTCAGATCTGCTGATCATTCGCTGGCCATCTGGAAAATAGGATATAGATCTGATCATTTCTGCATGACCCTCCAAAGTTATGGATGGTTCCAGAATCGATCTCACAGCGGCTATCTGTGTCGATGAGGAAGCCATGGCTATGTCTCCGCGAGCGAAACCGTGAAGTAGTCGGGTACGAGCAAGTTTTTTGACAGTGCAAAGGTCAGGCTCCTGGTATCAATGTACTCCGAGTCTACAACGATCGCTGACAGTGATTTGAAGATTATGCCCCCTGCTGAAGTTAATTGTCAGTTCATTCGCATTGGAAGTCTAAATACGAATTTGGTGTTACCGAGAGGTTAGCAGCAAAGACGTTGGAGAGCAATAAAGTCTTGAATGTGAGAACGGCCTCAGTGCACACAGCCCTGACACGCCTTTTCCGCATGCCAGCTGTGCAAGCGCCTAAATCATTCCATTCATCACATTGGTTTATCTTCCCTTCTCGCCTCACAGCCTAAAGTCACTGCCATTAGCATCATCAGCGCGTCAAATCTCCTCGTCTCACCCCAACTTTATCGTCGTTCATTTGTCGATTTCGTTTTGGCTTGGCCACCTATTCCTATTAGATTGCTCTGAGGACGCGCAGGCATCCCATCCAGTGCACAACCTTCTTCGTAACTTCTCAACCGGTGTCCATCTACAGATTTCAAGGTCGACATCTGGGTTGCACACGGTCAGTCGTACACAGCATTGTCGAGAGTGAGAACCCAAAGTGACACGCTGTCTATCCACAGAGACGAACGAAGGTCAAAATTGTTCATATTGTATTTTCAAACTTGCTACTACAAACACAATTGCTCATCGAAGAACAGACAGAAGAGGTGTCCTTGTCATGATAAATCTCGTCACTTATAAGTACTAGAGCCTGATGCCCATCACCCTTATCACTCACAAGGCATATAGTGCACGATCGAGGATGAAACGGCAAGTTGGATACCCATGGAGTATATCGAAGGCGAGGAACAGCCACTCGCCTCGTAGAGTTTGTCATTGTTGGTTGAACACTGACCCAGAGCATCGCAAATGGTGTAATGTAATGCTCATCGATGCGCTCACCTGATGAATCGTCAGTTTGATTGATTGGGAGCGATATGAGGGATTTCTGACTCAGGTCCCCCAATCAGCAGCGCGCTGCAACCTGTGAGTGGCCCTAGCGTTGATAATCATGCTCATTTTTGATATTCGACTCATTCAAGAATCCTTTAAACAGAATTGGATCATCCGTGCGGGAAGTTTATATAAGGTTTCAAATTCCTTGTCGTCTATAATAGGCTCCTCGACGTTCAATACCGGTGACAAAAGACTGTCTGCCTTGACCCCAACTCAAGCACCGAGTACCGAGTACCTTCATTGAATATATGCAAAGCAGGTCCTTGATTTTCATTTTCATTACTAAAACGATAAAGTTGAAGTTCGAGTCCCTGTTGAACAGCCCAGATGACATGGGCAAGACGGTGCCCCCCCCCCCCCCCCCCCCCCATACCGAACAACCAAATGACTGGGACGCAAGTAGGGTCACCACAATTACTAGAACAGAGTCGTAGACAGTATACGGGCGCCAAGAGGCTTGGCACAGGCCTCGTCGCTCTACAACCAGAGTTTCATCCTCTTTAGCACGAAGATAGTGCATGGCATTTAAGAATAATCATGAGCCAACCGAGGTTAACGCAGCGCCTGGCACATAATAACCGGGGTGAGAGCATTGATAAAAGAACTAGCGTGAAACTCACTTGGTCTCTCGACAGCCCACGTACAGGGACTATTGGTTCTAGGCATTCCAAAACAACTCGACGTAACGCTAACAACTTAAAGGATGGAAGCACATTGATGCCTTTCGGAACAATGCAAGTTAAAATTATTGCGGGTCGTTTGTGACTATGGATGAGATGAGTACTGCTAGTAGTGCAAGAACGCATTCAGGTAAATGGCTGGTGACAAAAGACTGCTGGCTGCCCCGACTCCAACCCGACTCAAGTACCTCGTACTGAGTACCTTCATCGTCATTTTCATCACTAAAAACGATAGAAGCATATCTTACGACGCACGATCAACGTAACGGTAACGCACCCTCAAGGACTCATCCGATACCAGGCGCGTGTTTTAGCAGCTCGTAGAGTCTGTCCATGAAGGGGAAATACAGGGTTCCGGACCTCCGGTTCAGCCTGGACCGCAGCCTGTCTTGTTCCATGCTGTCAGCCCGAGGGACACACTAGAATACCATATGTATCCGTTCGTATCTAAGTATATCGCACCTTGGATAAATTCGCTTGGCCGTGGTGGAAATTCATCGTTTGAACTTTGAACAGTTCGCTACCGAGGCTATTACATAATACACGGTAGCGAATGGCTGCTTAGTAAGGACCGGCAAGTAAAAAATATTCTGATATTGAACTTTACTCATATCACTAGTAGTAGTGCGTCCGAATATGTAGACAATCGTACAAGATGGTAAAACACGATGAGAGAGAAAATGAAGTGCGCATGATATAATGATAATAACCCTACAATGCAGATAGATTTTGGGTAATGATAGCAGATCCAATAAGATACATTTAAAATGCTGCATGAGTTGTGCAGGAGCGTCCAATGCCGCTAAATAATATCAATGCTGAACAGAGTTCATCATGAAAGGTATTACCGCTCAGGGACGAGAGTCAACCCGGTGCCTATCTTGTCCGGCGATCCAGGATCCGCAGCGATGAACACGCCGTCTGGATCAAACTGTGGCTCAGGATGCGATGAAACATCCGAATCAGGGCTGTCACGCCCACGATTTGACATGGGAGAAGGCGAAGCGGTGACAACGCGATCAAAAAATGTGGAATATGGGTTGTCGATAGGTGACAGGAAATCTTGTTGTAGTGCGGGAGACGGACAGTCGTCTTGAGCCGTCATGTGTGTTGGTGTAGATGTCACGTTCTCGGCAAAAAAGGTGTACACGTAGGATTGTGTAGGCTGCAGAGGTGATGAGTGCGCATGCCAATACCTAGGACCTTCAGGAGTCAGAGGGCCCGAAGGGTGATGTCGAGAAGCAAAGAGACCCTCCGCTGCAGCCTGGCATGGTTTATACCTAGACCCTAACGGATTTCCGCTTGGAATGCAGTCAGATGTATTGTAAGTCGTGCGCAAAAAGTGAGGCTCACCAAATAGCACACCCAACTCCTTCACGTAGACATCCGCATGCGCTGCGAACCATTCGGATAACTGCAGCGCGCTCAAAGTATGATGGGTCCAATGGAACGACAGCAGATGTTGCATCGTTCCTAGCTATCCACACACCAGAGTTACCCCGGCGCGAAGCTCGCATATGGACGACGGCTCCACATCCATTGGTTTGCCTTCTGAGTGACTGATAGCCGCTCGGAGGCGGTGAAGGTGGGTATGCCGGAAGTGGCGACAGAACATAGGTCGAGGGCCGGTTTATACATGGTTGCTCGTCCTCCCCGCCACATAATAATGTATGGCAGTATGGGTCTGGGCCTACTGCAGCAACTGAGTCCGTCTGCGGCGACAGCGGCGCATCGTAGCTTTGCTCCCAGTTCTGGCTTGACTCTTCGTCATCGCTAGGAGATTCAATCCATGATGGTGACCTTTCCACCCTCACTACTGGCGGAGTTACACGTCCAGCTTCTGCGCGCTGGGCGTTGACGAGATTATGATCAAGTCGCATTGCGCCTCTTCTCCGCAATCTGGATGCTTCGCCGCTGCGAACAAGATCTGAGAGGACGATAGAATCGTCAACATCTGTAGGTTCCAAGTTTTCTGAAGATTCCACATCATTGATTTGTGGTTCTCGCCTGTAAAGCTGAGGCATGACGAAAGATTCAGAATCGGAGGTGATATGATGTGTCGTCTCGATCCAAGGAGCATACGCGGTTACGTCAGCTATTAATAACATATCAACCCCCTACAGGGGGGTCACAATCTACTATGGAAAACATTTCTCAAAATCACCAGGCACCATTGTTTCTAGCGTAACTTTGGCTCTCTACGAATGCTTCTAGCTCACACAATCCATCGCCTGTACCGCAGAACGCCAAGGGTTGGATGGCATCGTTGACGAGAATCCGAATGAAATCTCTTGGTACCCCCGCTTCGAAACACTGCACCTTTTCCGTGATCATCCGCCCGGAGAAAGGCACAAGACGAGAAACTACCCAATTCCATTGCGGGCCAACCTTTGTAGGGTTAGGAGGGTGCATTTGGGGGAACAGTCCAAGTGCACCATAGATGGCAACCATCTCATTGTCGTGAGAGAAGTCAACGTAGACCGTTTTGTCGAGTGGGAACGTGATCGGTGATGAGTCAAGAGTCGAGTTGGTTTGCGTGCGATCTTCGACAGGTCTCCCCCTGAGACGCGCGAGAAGTTCGTTCACGTAGCCGACACCTTGCACACGACCCAGAGGATTTCCATACCTTGTCGCGGTTGTGGTGTGAGCATCAAAATGATTTGTTGATGCATTACTCACCCTGTGTCGTAATATTTCAGCAAGTCTTGATAATAGTCATAGGCTCGGAATTCCTTCAGAGAGAAGAGATCACAAAATTGGCTTTCTTTCTCCTCAAACACAGTCTCGAATGCGCATAACGACATTAGCCCGGGAATGTCCTCGCTAAGAATCTCAGCCCCGACAGCAGCTGTATTGAGGCGCTGCACGATTGAAGCTGAGAACACATCTCGCCACATGTTCGCTTCATCGTGTGATGCTTGTGAGTTGGGACACATGTGGTCCTGCAAGGTATTGTTCGACTAGAGGAAAGACCATAGATGAGTAATCCGCAAATAAAGTTTGATTAGTATCCATCTTACTGTCTCTGTTTCGGGTATTATGACCGAGACTGATGGATGATAGAGCTGTCCACTTGCATCGGCAAAGCCTGAAATTGCAATTTTCCAGAAAAAGTTTCACACTTCAACTGTATGCTTACCTTCAGTCCAATTGACAGCAGATTTTACCACGCGATCTCCTCCAGACGCTCTGACAAAGGGTAACATGTGATCATTCACAAGATGCTCGTATCGATGGTATATTTCTGCACCAGATTGAAATGACCTAAACACGATTCTTAAGCATCGACATTGATTGCAAGTTTGCAATGATAGTCCTACTGCGTGGCGCCAAAGGGTACAAGATCGGCTTTACCAAGGCGCCATTGGTATGAACGAAGAAAGTCCAAGTTCATGTCGGTATACTCCGAGGCATTCAACAACTTCTGCAAACTTGCTTTGATTGTTTTAGAGGCGCCGCTGGTCGGATAACGTGCGCCATGGCGCTGAAGCTGTTGATGCCTTAAGCGAAGAACTGGTGATCACTGACGACCAGGGTCTACTTACGATGTTGACCTGGAGCGATACGAGTAGTGGTTATCAAAGACTAGAGTCATCTGTGACAGTTATACTTGCCTGCGTTATACTGCATCCGTCGGGAGGCAGGTTGTACTCTTCGACAGCATAGTATGGAGAGTACGGCCCCCAAAATCGTTGTGACTCGGTGAAAAGAATAGACGGACTGTCCAAGCCTCCCGATACAAGTCGCGGAATAAGTTTGAAATAATCACGTCGGAATAGCAACACCGTTATCAAGAGTGCGAGCGAGATTGAAATTGCTTTCCTGATTAGAGAAGAACCAGAGGAATGATATTCTAGACCAGAGTCATCATAGGCAGCGGGCTTGCCAGAACTAGACAACGGAAGGACGAGCGGGTACTCAGCTTTTTTGACCATGATAGCTCATCGGAAGCCTTCAACCCAGTGGATTATTTATATATACAAACTAATGCGAAGAGAGTCACGCACGTTGTACTTGACACCATGCATGTGGACTATATTTAGCTATCATACTCGGTCAGTACTTATGATTACATAATAAAATATGGGAGACGAGTTGTGATTTGCCATAATAAGCTATTATGGAACCACAACGAACATCCCTGAAACTACCCCTCCGGCGCATAAAAGTCCGGGGCGCACTGCGGCATTAGCCATACTCGCGCTCGGAGACGAGTTGTGATAAGCATTATGTAAGGAGAACCGGAACCGCATCGGTACCTCCACTTTACCCAGAATCAGGCCATCCAACTGTGAGCCATCCTCCAAATTAGCATCGTTTGAAAAAGTTTAGCCCGTGATGGCCTAGCTAGTGACTCCTACCAACCAGTCCACTGATCAATGGAAGGATTGCATTTGCCATTCCTCGATCTGCTCGCATCCTGAGAATAATTTTCTGTCCGTGTTCCTCATAATCAAGCTGGTTAGCACTACTAACGTTCCCAGATCTCATCCCCCTTTATAAAGTTAGGAGCTAGGCCAGATAAACTCATTGCTTTTTGTTTAGTTTTGGAGCGAAATCCCACAACTCCCCGCCTACCTCGATTCTTATCTCTGCGTTGACACGATGACTAGCAGGCCTTGTGCTGCTCACTCGCTTGGTGACGCAGCACTTGGTGGCCCAGTGATGATGCCGGGGTCCACTCTTAGCGCGATTGACAGTACGAAAACTAGAGTGAGTGTTACCATGTTGAACTACCAATGCATACTAGCATACGCCCCATTTTTTGCACATCAGGACTCAAGCGTCCCAAACAACCCTTCCGAACGCCACAGCGTTATCACTGATAGCGGACCGGAAGCTATAGATTGGGAGATAGGTACATTCACGACTGTCGGACGTGTAGTCGCGGCTTTCAATACCTTGTGCGTTGGCGCGGATATGGATCCGAAGTGGAACTCTGGCTACCCACTAGTCATGACGTCAAAGACTGCCCTGCACTACAAGAACACAACTTGTGTCCAGACTTCGGAGGATGGAATGGTGTACACGTTGGTTTACGACATTACATCACGTGGCGCGTCGTGTATTATCTGCCCCTATGATCGCATTGCTCATCCTTGGCTCGTCCAACGGTTTTGTCTCGTTAGTCTTCGCCTGATTTGTTGTAGTGTTTCCCGCCGTTTTTCGGAAGTTTTCCAATATATAATGTATTTTCCCCCTTCTTTCTACGATTACTGTCTCTTCCTAACATACCCAACTGGAACCCCCCATCACTGTCAAATAATATCATTTCCTCCACCGTTTCCCTCCTCCAAGTGGTCCAAGATGCGGTTCCTAAACGCCCTTGCATCATCACTATGTTTTTCCTCGTTTACATACGCTTCCCCTTATCGTCCAGACCTCACATCCTACAATCTCAATGTAAACCAATCCGCCCGGTCCCCTACAGATTATTCAACTACAAGATCAAACACCAGTTATACCGCATCTCCGCAGAACTGGCGTTCAATCCCAATATACACCGTCCTTACGGACAAGTTTGCTGATGGTGACCCTTCAAATAATCAGTTCTTTAACTCCCCATACGAATGGGATTGGAGAGAAACCCAGCTTCGTTTCGGCGGTGACATCAAAGGTCTCACCTCAAAACTGGACTATATCCAAGGTATGGGTATCAAGGCCATATATATCTCAGGTACAATATTCTTGAACATGATATGGCAAGCTGATAGTATGTCCTTACCTAAATCGCATTTACAAGTCAAACATGTTCACTTCCTTTAGGTTATTCTCCTCTCGACTTCTCCGTATTGGATCCTCATTGGGGTACTATTGATGACTGGGTAAAATTCGTCGACATCGTACACGCACGTGGCATGTATGTCATGTTAGATTTTACAGTCGCAACCATGTCCGACCTTCTAGGCTTTGAAGGGTTTGTTCACTCTATCCACTGACCACAATCACTTACTCACACCCACCAGTTATCTCAATGTCAATGCCCCATTCAATCTCGATGAATATCCTACAATCTACAAAAACCCAAACCATCTCCCCTGGGGTTTTGAGCAGTATGTTGATTTTTCCGTAAGTGATTATGTTCGTTCGCCTCGTTCCGGAACCTCATTTTACTAACTTTTTTCCTCAGGTCATCAATGACCGTAACACCTCTTGCCAACTTCCCGTCTTTTGGAAAGATGATGGAACAATTCAGACTGTGACGGGTTATGATGGTTGTTACGAGTCCGATTTTGATCAATATGGTGACATGGAAGGCTTTGGTGTTCACCCTGACTGGCAGCGTCAGCTTTCTAAATTTGCATCCGTACAAGACCGTCTCCGCGAATGGAAACCTTCCGTTATGGACAAACTCACTACCTTTTCTTGCATGACCATCACAGCCCTTGATATCGACGCCATTCGAATCGACAAGTCCATACAGCTCACTGTCGACGGCATGACCGCTTGGGCATCTGCAACTCGTGCTTGTGCCGCTAATCTTGGAAAGAAGAACTTTTATATTACTGGTGAAGTCACTAGCGGTGACACCTTTGGGTCCTTATACATGTCAGTCGCTAATTCACTTGTCACTAACATCAATTGATCGTCTTTACAGGGGACGTGGCCGTACCCCGACTATGCTGCCCCCTGGATTCCTTCAGGCAGCCAACTTGACAGAATCTGAAAACCAATATTTCCTGCGCCCACAGTCGTCAAATGGTCTCGATGGCTACGCGTTCCATTACCCAATATATCGCTCCCTCACCCGTTTCCTCGGAATGGACGGAAACTTGGCTGTCCCGTATGATCTCAACACCAATTTTATCACCGCTTGGAATCAGATGTTCATGAACAACGACTTCTTGAATCCAAACACTGGCCTCATCGACCCGAAGCATTTATTCGGAGCAAGCAATTTCGATGTTTTCCGCTGGCCCAGTTTGGTGAATGGCACATTGAGATCCGCATTGGCATCTTATATCACGCAGCTGGTTATGCCAGGGGTTCCATTGGTAGGAGCTACACTCGACCGTTTGTTGCAGTACTTACCTTTACAGATCTACTATGGCGAAGAGCAGAATTTCTATCTGTACGACTCCACAGCTTCAAACAGTCTCTTCGGGTGGGTCACTAACGCCTTCAAGTGATTACTTTTCTCACAGTGCTACCTTCAGCCGTCAAGCAATGATGAGCAACAAGGCTTGGCAGCGTCACGGATGCTATAGACTTGGATCCACCCAATACTTCAACATGCCGCTTGAGTCCGCCTTAGTGGGATGTGACGACGATTGGAACTCGCTCGATCATTTTGACCCCACGACGGACATGCATCGTCTCCTGAAACATTTCTTGTACCTCCGAACCACCTACAACGTCCTCCAGGATGGCTTGGACCTTGTACAGCATGGAAACTGGACCTACTTCGTCGAGTTCCCAGGTTCGAACAACGTCGCAACCGAAATGGGCCTCTGGTCCGTATCACGTGCAGGTATCCCGAACGTACAAAACTTGACGGGGGCGCACACCGATCAGGTCTGGCTATTGTACTCCAATCAGAATAACTCGCAGACATTTTCGTATGATTGCAGCGGTCCGCTGTGGATATCATCGCCCTATGTAGGTGGGACGATGGTGAGGAACTTGCTTTCTCCATACGAGAACTATACGCTCGTGGACTCGGGATTGTCGTATTATAATGATGGAAGGGGACCGTGGTATGGATGTCTCCAGACGGTGGACATGGATACGTTCGGCTTCAAGGCTTTGGTCCCTATCAGCGAGTGGATCCCTGCCCCTCCTATGCTCACTAAGTTCCTGCCTGGGCATGACGCGCGCATCAAAGTCATGCGGGGGGAGCCAAACGCCACGATTGTGAACCTCGTGCTGGAGTTCAATGCGGTAATGTCGTGTGATAGCGTCACGCAGAGTTTATCGTTCAACATGTCGTCTTCTGGCATCGGTGGGCAGCCTATGCTCGACCTGACTTCTGTGGTGTGCAGTACTGTCACAAATCCTACCATGTCGCCCATTGTGGGAACTCCGTACTCGCAGTGGTCGTGGTCTGGTACACTGACCGATGTTCCTGATGGAATTTTGGAGATTATTGTTAATAATCCAACATCGTTCGACGGGACGCTTTCTACTGGGGTATATTTGTTTTTCTGTACTCTGTCGAGTTTTCTCATGGCTTATAGAACATAGACCATCTGCTACTGCGCAAGGGCGAATCCAACAATATCATGGTGTTTCCCGAGTCTGATTATGATAACACAGACTTCAACTACACTGAAGGCCAGTATACTTTCACGCATCGTGCCTATGGGGCGGATATGTTCAGGTACTCAGGTGACTTCGCACTGAATTGGTCTAATTGGACGAGCTGGGAAAATGTTACGACCATACCCGCTGACGTTCTTAGCAATTCTGATACTTTCTGGACGGGACAACATCTCATAGTACAATGTGAGGCTCGTAGTGCTGCTGCCTTTTTCCATTCTCAATATTGCGGTAGATTGGAGTGGTGTCGCGACTACCTCAAGCGTCGTCGTGCACGCCGATCTGGACTACGAGCAGCAGCGTCGCGTTCCCCAGTTCCTCGCTCGAGGTCCTTTCAACAACTGGGGTCATGACCAGGGTATTTCCAATTCCATGAACCTAGTCAGTGATGGCATTTGGGAGCTCGAAATCATGGCTGCGTGGCCAACATACCTGCAACTCAACGTGTTTGGGTACGATGACTACTACTATGGCGACATCGACGGGGACGGCATTATGGATCGACTACCACCGAACAATATTGCGCCCAACTACCTGAAGTTGTCAGCGCCCCCTTATCCTGCGCTCGCATGGGCACTTGTCGTTGATGATGCCACGTTGGCGTGGACCCTTGAGCCCCGCGGCCAGGCTTCTGTCAGCGCTATCATGTACGGGCTTCTGTGCTCTCTCTCCCTCATTACAGGAGTTCTTGCAGTCGTCGTTTTCATGTACTCTTTCTACGGCATCCACCATAACCGGTACGGTGTGCAGACGAAGTCGGGTGCAAGCAAGCGTTTCCCTATCATCGGACCACTCAACAAGTCGACCACAGACTTCAAGGGGAGCGTGACTCCCATCACGGAGAACTTGAAGATCTTTGGGCGCAAGTCGAATGCGGAGATCATAGGATGGCCCGAGGACAAGAACAAGCGGCGCCAAGTCCTCATCGCGACGCTGGAGTATGAGATCTTTGACTGGAAGCTCAAAGTCAAGATCGGAGGTCTCGGCGTGATGTCATCGCTTATGGGAAAAGCTATGACGGACGTTGACTTGATCTGGGTCGTTCCAAAAGTCAAGGACCTGGAATATCCCACTGGTGAACCTGCGGAGCCTATCAAGGTTATCATCTTCAATGAGCCTTACCTTATCGAAGTGGAGACGCACGTGTCAGACAATATCACCTACGTTATCCTCGACAGCCCCGTCTTCCGTGCACAGACCAAATCAGACCCGTACCCAGCCCGCATGGATGATCTCAGTTCCGCCATCTTTTACTCTACATGGAACCAAGCCATCGCAGCCACCGTCCGCCGATTCCCCGTGATCGACATATACCACATCAACGACTACCACGGCGCGCTTGCTCCAATTTACCTCCTGCCCAAAGTAGTACCCGTCTGTCTCTCGCTGCACAATGCCGAGTTCCAGGGTTTATGGCCGCTTCGAACAAAAGAAGAGACGAAAGAGGTCTGCTCCGCGTTCAACATCAGCAAAGAGCATTGTACGAAATACGTCCAGTTCGGAAACACGTTTAACCTGCTTCACGCTGCTGCATCGTTTATCAGCGTTCATCAAAAGAGCATCGGTGTCGCTGGAGTGTCGGACAAGTATGGAAAGCGCAGTTGGGTGCGGTATCCTGCTCTGTGGACCCTCAAGCATGTTGATTCGCTGCCTAATCCTGATCCTACGGATATTGCGGCTTTGGATGAGAACCCGGTGGCTATGCGTGAAGTGCAGATCGATCAAGCTGCTGAGGCGCAGCGTCCGGAGATGAAGAGGCAGGCTCAGGAATGGGCAAATATCAAGCAGGATCCCAACTCTGATCTGTTTGTGTTCGTCGGTCGATGGTCGAAGCAGAAAGGTGTTGACCTGATTGCGGATGTCATGCCATCGCTGTGAATGCGTTTTTAGATCTTGTTAGACTCAGCTCTGATGAGACTTTCGCAGCCTTGAGAAACGCCCTTCGATACAGTTGATTTGCATCGGACCTGTTGTTGATCTTTATGGTCGGTTTGCTGCGGAGAAACTTACTCGGTTGATGGAGATGTACCCTGATCGTGTTTACTCGAAACTAACATTTACTGCGTTACCGCCTTATCTGTTCAGTGGTGCTGATTTTGTTCTGATCCCTTCCCGTGACGAACCATTTGGATTGGTCGCTGTCGAATTCGGGAGGAAAGGTGCCCTTGGTGTTGGTAGTCGACTCGGTGGACTTGGGTTGATGCCTGGATGGGTGAGCGCTCAAGGTCGTCTTCTTTGGGCATGATCTAACGAGATTCCTGGTAGTGGTTCCCTGTGGAATCTACATCGACGTCCCATATGCTGTCTCAGCTGTCGAAGACGATCAAGTTGGCGTTAAAATCCACAGAAGAAGAAAGAGCCATGCTTCGTGCTCGGTCAGCTGTCCAGCGTTTCCCAGTCGTCGAATGGCGTCAGCGGATGGAAGATATGCACCGAAGGAGTATAAATGCGAGCCGAAAGCTAGCTGGTTCAAATGCTTGGCGGAAGGCGGACAGCAAGACTGAGCCGTCTCAGCATGCGGTTCCGGAAGTAGAACATTGGAACCCACTTAATCAAGGACTGCTTGCTCGACCTAAACCAGCTGCCCAGAGCGCCATGTTGTCCCAGAGACTGGTGCCTAGTTCCCCTGGAAACCAGGTCTTAACGCCCCACAATGAGAGCTTTCTATCGTCATCGCCTTGTTTGAACATCAACCGCGATTCTTCATACACATCGGATACTTCAAGTTCTGACAAGGAGCACTCGCGGCATAGTTTCGCGACTAGTAGTCGGTCTGGGTACAGAGACCTTTTGGAGAAAGTGAACGAGACGATTGCACAAAATCATCGACATGCGTCAGATCCTTTTTTGAGTCCAACGACGCCCTCACATTTTCGGGTGGAGTCCATTGGCAATATCGTGGGAAACAATATAAACTCACCGCTGAACAAGGCTTTTGCGACGGTGCGTATCTCGAGAATTTTGGTGACCACTATCTTATCTCATTCGCTATTTAGTTCACGGATTCCGATGGCAGCGTTGTCTCGGAGTTCATGCAAAAGCTACAAGCGTTAAACTCGAATAACTCCAAGGGTGAACTCTCTATCGAGAAGTACCTCGTCAAGTCTGAGGAGGCTTTCTTCGAACGTGTGAGACGAGACAAGCTGTCTAGTGCAGCCAGTTACATTTCTTGGCACCCAGAGTCTATCTGGAGCATATCGGCTTCAAAAATTGGAAGCTGGCCGTTGTATACTATCATTATTGCTCTCGGCCAGGTAAGCTCTTCGATTCTTGATCCTCCGAGTCATCCATGAGTTCACGTTTGTTTTCAAGATACTCGCTGCAAATAGCTACCAGATGACTTTGCTCACTGGACGAAACTACCAGGACAACATCCAGCTATATGTTCTCAGCACTGTGTTTTTGGCTTCATCTTTCGTTTGGTATACGATGCTTCGCTTGAAGCCTTCTGTCTACGTTCTTTCTGCTCCCTGGCTCTTCTATGGCATAGCATTCTTTTTGATTGGCGTTCCCTCGTTGTCATCGAAACTTCAAGGGACTCATACCATCTTATCGGACATTGCCACTTGGTCATATGCGGTCGCTTCTGCTGCTGCTTTCATCTTTTTCGGCTTGAACTTTGGAGAGGAGGCGGTACCTCATTTTAAGGTTCTTTTGTATGCAGCTGATTTTTGTTATTTAGGGTGCCGCCACTGAAGTCTGGATACTACGCGCTTGCATTGTACAAGGTTCTCAACAAATTTGGGTAGCTGCACTGTGGTACTGGGGTAGCAAACTGAATACCGCGACGCCTGGGTCCGTTACGCCTTGGTGGATTATCTTTATTTTGTGGCCACTTTCAATAATGTCGTTTGCATTTGCATACTTGATGTTGTACGGACTGCCAGGTAAGTCTTATCTGAGTTCTCAGGCAGGATAATGATATCAACTACAAAACAGAGTACTACCGACAAACTCCTCCGAAACTCTCAAACTTCCTCGAAACTCTCTTCCGAAGGAAGCTAGTACTTTGGTTAGACTTTTCTTGCTCGGAGCAAAGTCGATGACGCTGATACTCCACACACAAGGTTCATCGCATCTGAAATCCTACGTGATTATTGGCTCAGCGGTGTATGTTAGGCCCCGTGCTTTGATACCTTTATTTTCTAACCTTATTGCAGCCCTACGGTCGTAACTGGAGTTTCCTGTGGAGTGTTCCGATCCCCAAGTGGGCGATCATGCTTCTCGTCATCTTTTTCTTCGTCGGTGTCTGGGCTCTCATGCTCTATATTCTCAGGTCCTTGAGTAAGACGCATACTTGGTTGTTGCCCGTCTTCGCTATCGGCCTTGGTGCTCCAAGATGGTGTCAGGTATGATCTTGTCCATGTTGCATAAATCTTCAGTCATCTAACTTTGTGTCGCAGACATTGTGGGGCACCTCATCTCTTGCGCTCTATATCCCGTGGGCTGGCTCAGGGGGGCCGTACCTTGGTCTTTCTCTGTGGCTTTGGCTCGGCGTTTTGGATGCTGTACAGGGTGTCGGCTTGGGAATGATTCTCCTGCAGACATTGTCAAGATCACACGTCTGTTCCACACTTGCTTTCGCTCAGGTCGTCGGGTCTATCTGTGTTATGATCGCCCGTGCAACTGCACCAAACCGCATCGGCCAAGGGAGCGTATTCCCTAATCTCGGAACATGGGACTTTTCGCAGGGTCTCAAGGGCAGCCCGATGGCTTCTGCTCCATTCTGGATGGCGCTGGTCTGCCAGATCATCATTGTACTAGGTTACTTCTGGTTCTACCGCAAAGAACAACTAGGTAGGTATTCATGCAATCTGACCATGGAGATAGGCTCTAATCGCCGTTGCTTCAGCTCGACCATAATTATTCGTCATCAATCACGCACATACTAGAACAGATCGCGACACTGCTTATCATGGTGAATGGGCGAGTGACATAGCATAGCAGTGTGTGGTCGGTGTCTCGAACTCGGTAGGTAGTGTAACATACAGATCAACGCTGCACAAGGCGAATTAGACCTGAAGAGCAAGTGAAGAAATGGATCTGACAATGTAGTTATAGAGCCGTTGTCAATGTAAAGTACTTCAAATTTCAAATCTAAATGATAGTACATCAGCACCGATAACAGGCGTGAACGTAGCGCCGTACTTTGCGCCGGACAGGTTTTAGCCGGAGGGTTGGTTTCAGTGACCTTTTCGTGGTTTCGGCCTACCATATAATTTAATCGGACCTCGATGACGAGAAGAAACTCGGACGCTGAAGTAGAAATTTGTCTAATAAATCGTCTATTCTACTCAGAGCAATTTAATATGAATAGGTGGCCAAACCAAAACGAAATCGACAAATGAACGACGATAAAGTTGGGGTGAGACAAGGAGATTTGACGCGCTAATGATGCTAATGGCAGTGACTTTAGGCTGTGAGGCGAGAAGCGAAGATAACTTGACCAATGCGATGAATATGAAATGATTTAGGCGCTTGCACAGCTGAGCACACACGCTCCTCGAGTTGAGCATTTCTCTAGAGTCTTGGTTCGAGTCCAGCCACCCTGTCCACCGTTCTCACATTTAAGACTTCATTGCTCCCTGACGTCTTTACTGCTAACCTCTCGGTAACACTAAATCTTGATTTAGACTTCCAGTGCAGATGAGCTGACAGTTGGCTTCAGCAGGGGGCATAGTATTCTTCAAATCACTCGATACTAGGAGCCTGACCTTCGCACTGTCAAAAAAACTTGGTCGTACCTGACAATTTCACGATTTCGCTCGCGGAGACGTAGCCATGGCTTCTACGTGGACAAAGACGGAATCAATTCTGAAACCATCCATAACTTTGAAAGGTCATGAAAAATTCATCACATCTATGTCCTACTTTCCAGACGGCCAGCGAATAATCAGCGGATCCGGCGACCGCACCACTCGGCAATGGGATCTGAACACGGGCAAGGAAATTGAGGAAGTGCGAGGTGTTTGCAAGGAAGAGGTGTGGGCAGTGGCGGTGTCGAGGGATGGTCGATGGGTTGTGACTGGTAGTGGTGGATGGTCGAATCGTGCCGAGCTGACAGCCTGTGAGGTTGGGACTGGGGTGGTGAAAAGATTCGAATGGCACGCAAAGAGGATCAGATGCATTGATATCTCCGAGGACAACACGTTGATGGCAAGTGCGTCATGGGATGACACAACGCGGATATGGAATCTGGACACCGGAAAACTCGTGGCCGGTCCATTCAAGAGCGAGTATTGCGTGGACGTAATTCGAATTTCCACAGATTCAAAGAAGCTTGCGGTCAGATCGGGGTCGTACCTTGAAATCTGGGATGTCCCATCACAGACATTGGATGTCACGCTCAATGTTGGAACATACACATCTGTGCCAATATTCTGGACAAACAACAACAAAAATATTTTGACTGCATTCACCGACTACTCAATCTACGAATTTGACGCATCGACACTAAAGACTGTTGGTACTCCCTTCAAAGGGCACACCAGCTATATCCGCGGTCTGGCACTGTCATTTGACCATACTCTCCTGGCCAGCGCTGCTCATAACTACACCATCAAGCTTTGGGCTTTCGAGTCCCGTCAGCTCCTTGCCTCCTTTGACGTTCAGCATCCTAATATCCTTGTCCTCTCACCCGACTCACGCCAGCTGGCTTACACAACATTCACCAATGATACTACTTACAAGATCCACGTCTGCAATATTCCACCCGAAGTCTTTGCTCAGGCATGTGTATCCATTTCCCGCAAACATTCACTTTGTATGCTGACATTCCCTTACAGACCATCGCACGCTCAAAAGGACCCATAGAATATCTCGAAACCACAACTACGTCGCCTACCTTACCTTCACAGCTATCCCCGTTACTGCCCGACCTTTTCTCTTCTTCTCACACTCATACAGTTAGTGTGGAGCCTGACGACCTTAATGCAATGTTCCGAGACCTCTCAGAGTATATCATCAAGGATGGAGAGTACCCTGCTGCTCGTGGCGGGTTCGGAGAGATCTGGAAAGGCACCTTCCATATCGATCCTAACCCAATCAGAGTTCGTTTACCATCTTTTGTCCGTCCGTCTGTGTAAATTTTTATCATCTCCCAGGTCGCCGTGAAAACATTGCAGGTGTACCTTGATGATCAACTTGGACCAGACAAGACAAAAAAGATCCAGGCGAGTGTCTCACCGGAAGATCGAGTTCCTCACTGACACCACGAGGCGCCATTTCGTAGAGGATCATGCGTGAATTCAGGATATGCGCCAAGCTCAATCATCCAAATATCCTACACATTTATGGTTATACCCATGGCTTCGGCCCATTTCCAGCAATAGTCAGTCTTTGGGCGGAGAACGGCAATTTGACGGTCTATTTGGAGCGTCAAGGTGCGAGTCTGACTCTCGTTCGACGATTCCAATTGGCAAGTCTCTCTCTTCATGCTTATTGAATAGCCCGTAACTAGACTGATGGAAATTTTAGCTAAGGGATATCATAGCTGGTTTGCGATATCGTATGTCATAGACTTTTCTCTTCCCGGACGGAGCTGTAACTACTCTTCACAGTCCACGCCAACAATGTCATCCATGGCGACTTTAATGGGGTAAGTTCAATCTTCTCGATCGTTCCAATTTTATTGAAACGCGAGCTTCAGCCTAACGTGTTGATCCATGGTGATGGCACTGCGTGTATTGCTGACTTTGGCCTTTCCTTGATGTACTCCGAGTTTATAAGCGCCTCCCAGGCATCCTGGACGTCCACGCTCAAAGGAAATGTGCGATGGATGGCTCCTGAGCTGCTCGTAGGGCCCGAGGATGACTCTCAAGTTCGACCAAGCGAACAGAGCGACATGTATTCGTTTGGCGGTATCATGCTGCAGGTATGTCTAGGTTAATTTTGTCCTCTTGTTAATATGAAAAGCTCTACTCGTAGGTCCTCACCAACAAAGTACCCTATTATCACCTCACGAACGATGCCCGCATCACACTCTGCATAGCCAAGTCGCAAACACCCTCTCGATATCGTTATCCTGAGCTCCCTGAGCAATACTGGCCATTCATCGAGCAATGTTGGTCTACTAATCCTTGGGGCCGTCCCTCGGCGGATGGAGCTGATGAAGCGATCAGGAATGAATTTTACTCGCTGTCCAGGTCGCGTTGATTTTTCACTGTCTCGCATTCTGTTTACAGTACAGCCGCATAAATAGATCTAGGTACTCATGTAGGCTCATTCCATGATCTCTTGTAATATTGGAACACGCTTGTGCTATGATGAGGACCGTCAGTTGTAGGACCATCAGAGTTCGGAAAATCATTGTGAATTATCCTGTTCACGAATGCTGCGACAAGCATGTCGCAGGACGAAAGACGAGACGGTAGTTTCTTATTTACTATGGTGCAGGTTTCATCCTGTCCAGACTTTCTGTCAACTTTCCGTGGTCATTATCGTGTCACGTCAACCTTATAACACAGCTCATTAACACTAGTTAGGCTTCATGCTGGCGTGATCCTAAATGTATATAATGAAAGCAGGCGCAGATTTAGCTGAATGACTCGAAAGGTACAAGATATTGTTGCTCGTAACACATTCACCTCCCATTTCTAGGCCGACATGCAGATAAGAAGCTCCGATCATAATGCTGGCGTTGTTGATGGTGTCTCGAACTCGGTAGTTAGTGTAACATACAGATCAACGCTGCGCAACGCGAATTAGACCTGAAGAGCAAGTGAAGAAATGGATCTCACAATGTAGTTATAGAGCTGTAGTCAATGTAAAGTACTTCAAATTTCAAATCTAAATGATAGTACATCAGCACCGATAACAGGCGTGAAAGGAAACAGAGCACGCTAAAAAATCCTGTCCAATTTTAAAATCATTCTTTTCTCATTAGAATTGCGCGAAACACAGCATTGAATGTAAGTGAAGTCTCCAGCGGTACGGACTTGAGTACAAGGTAGCGTACCTGTAGCGAGTACACAGAAAGGCAACAAACTGATGTCCCAAAGAACAAGCGTGAGCCCCAAATCGTCGGTCGTGATACCCATGGACGTCACGGCAACTTTCCTCTCTGACGTAGACATCAACACAAGGATGCATTCAGAGGTCCTTTCTTGTCTGTCTGCATGTCCATGAGCAGGAAGGGATATAAAGGAACTTCAAGGAAGGCAATACCGCCTGAAAATCGATGACATTGTCGGAAGCGTGGATGTTTTACGCAAGACATACTGAGAAGTTAGAGGTTAGCGGTCTTCAATTCCACATTCTCCCTTCTTTTCAGGTGGCGAATCAATCTAGAGTGTAGTAGGGTGAGCAACTGATAGAATGCGCACCAGTGATGGAGCTAGAATAATCGAGATGATTAAATGCGCACCAGTGATAGAGCTGGAATAATCGAGATAGGCATCGTCAACGAGTCAAACAGCCAGTATCAACACCGATATGTCGGAAGTCTCTCAAAATAATATGACCTCACCAACTACTCTCATATTTTGCTTGTGAGTGATTTCAATGACCATAAATGCTTGAGCCTGCCACGGCCCACGAGCTTAACAAGGATGCAAACACGCCGTTTGATCAAGGCAGGACGAATTGCAGATCGGACGCTTCAAGTTTACTAGGCCTTGGACTTGATGTACGATCAAGGTTTGCGTTTCGTTGGAGCTGTTCGAGGTTCGGTCAAGTCGGATATTACCGAGATGCAGCTTCGAAAGATATTAAACTTAGAGTATCCACAATGGCACGAAGATGTTACTAGCGAGTGCATGGATTGAGTCGAGCCTGAGCCTGAGGTATGATGAACGAATTCAAGTTGTTTTGGGTTTGGCCGGCACTGGCCGATTCCACTTACGTAATATACGACGTAGCACTTACCCCGGCAACAACACAATTACCCAAGTGGTTTCGGCCTACCATATAATTCAATCAGACCTCGATGACGAGAAGAAACTCAGACGCTGAAGTAGAAATTTGTCTAATAAATCGTCTATTCTTGCGTGTCGCCAACAACGACATCAGTTTGAATACGAGTTATAAGCAACATAAGCGAGAGTGTGTTCGTTGTTGAACATCAGAGTTTAGCGTCACAATCTTTGCGCTCATTACGGCCACTTCGCCGCCCTGTGTCCTTCCTTTCACCATCCCCCACTTCACAATGACGTTCCTGCTCCCTCTTGTGAATGTCTTGGTGCTCATGCACGTTGTCATGTATCTCCTGTTTGATGACGTTGATGCCCTGTGGGATCCGAGTCGGCCCCTCCGTCAGACGCTTCCAATCCTTGCCGCTCTTGTCCCACTCGATCATACCAGGCACAGAGTTTTGTAGTGCATGCAGGCAGGATTCAGCCATTACATTCGCATCGATGCCCTCGCGCTCACACGCCAACCGTAGTCGATTCGAAGGCATGAGGAGCGCACAAGCGATCTGCTGAGCCTGCGTAGGCGCATTTGACGGCTGGAACTCAAAGTCTGGAGCACGTCTGTAGCCCCAAACGGCGATGTAGATCAATATACTCCTATGATCAGTGTAAATATTTGTGGGGGTGTTGTTTTATAAGCGCACGCAGTGAGTCCAAAAACAGGTTTCACGCCGTCTGCTTCGCGTCCGGTGAGGAAGCTATGCAGGCGAACTGGACCGCCTCCACCCCATTCCCACTCCATTGTCGTATGGTAGGGTATCAAAGGATCTGGAACACGGTATGGATGGAAAGGGAACGACGACACGAGGAAAGAAGCGAGTGGTTGTGAGAATATCGAGGTCACCTCTGACTCATTGAGACTGGGCTATGACCCGAGAAGATTATAACGTCTAATGATATCCTTCACATGAGTTCTACATACCTGCACAGTTTTGTCCAGAACGAGGACAACAACCCTAAACGGCTGTGTCAGTGCGCGCAAAAGATCGATGACATACTCACGGAGTCACTACTGTCTGGTTACCACTAAGAAAGGGCTCCATCACACACAACAAGGGTACTCGTTCTCGGTCTGGAATAAGCCCAATCTATAGCAGAAATTACCTCTGACATCAGTGCTAGTATAGGAACCCGTGTGATTACATAGTTCTGTACCTCCTCAAAGGCCTCACGCCTCTGCAGACGGACAAGTCAGACCAAATTCAAAAAGGAATTTCATGTGGGTACCGCAGTGTCCTCGATAGTGTTATCTTGCGGCTCCACCTTTCCTCCCGGAAGTGCGGTATCACCCGCGTACTGTCTCAGGCTAGCTGACCGCCTTTTAGGGCAATTCAGTCGCATACAGGACGCAGCTGATAAGGAGCTCACCGACTCAGTAAGACATACAGGTCTCCCGCACGACCGATAAACAATGGAACCAAGACCGCCGCGCTCTGACTCCTAGGGAACTTGACCTGCATATGTCGTGCACGGTAACTCGAGAGATTCTCGATGCATCTAAGGACCATCACCATGCACAGCTACAGCATTCTTGCATAGTCAAAGCAGTCGGGACGCACTGTCTAGACTCCTCTTTCATTGTGGGAAGTGCAGCCTCAAAAAGCTCGACGGTTGGTTTGGAAAATGTACCGATATAATATGGCTGGCGAGCGGATTCCGAATCGTCTGTAGGCATCTTGGGTAACGAGGAAAGTAAGAGAGAAGGTAGTTCTCTATTTATCGGCTGCGACGGCTAGTATACATGTGCGTGCTCAATTCTTACCATGTCAAGTTCAAGTTCAAGAAGTGTCAAGTCCCAGCCAAACAATGACATAAGCCACTGAATTAGGATCTTGGAGCACTCTGGTCCTTCGAGCCTTCACTGGTTCCAACTTGACATGAGCACTCAAGTACTCACAGGCTGCGATGAACGGATTCCAGTCAGGCTCATCATGATTGCTGTGCAAGGCAGCAGAAACAAAGTTTTGATTGAGAAAGAGTGTATTGAAAACCCATGTCCAGGGACCTAATTATGTAGGTTAAATCCTATGATACGTACGAGTGCATAGTCCAAGAAGTCGGATGATACAACGATGCAGTGATAAATCTCAGGACGAGCGGCAGTGTCCATATATGCGACCAAACGATTGTCTGTAATAGAATGAAAATACGGTGACGAGGGAATGTTCAGGGCACGTTGGCGCCGTTCATGAAGTAAGGAATATTATAGAGATCACGCAATAGAAAATGTTGCTCCCTCTATGACTGCGACAGAATCTTGTCAATCGACTCGTTCAAAAAGTCTTTCCGGGATGTGAGATCGGCTTTGGGGAACTTGGCCATGATCGCCTCACGAGCGGTCCTACAAACAATCAGTACAGGATGGTAAGGAACAATATACTACGTACTTTTTCGTGACTGTCATCAAATCTTGCGTGCTGAGATAGTTCCGTAGGGAATTGAAGAGGTCATCGTCGGTAGGATTGGGGTTGAAGCTCGGACCAGCGAATGGATTCACGGACGTCGCCATCGAGAACATAGACAGAGGCCGTGCATCTCCTCCGATCGCAGGTAGCATACCAAAGCCCCCTGTCTGAGAGCCTCCCGTCATCATAGGCATGTTCATCATCATTGCACCTCGTGAATCTTGAGGCATCCCACCGTATACACTGCCAGAGTGCTGGTACCCCAGAGGCGGAATCATAGGCATATGTCCATAGTCCGAACCGTGTACTGACCCTGCTCCACCACTGAACGGCATGAACGGCATCTGTGGAATGTTGTACTGAGGTACAGATGGCTGCCGTCCATCATGCATCGACCCTTGTCGAGAACCATGGCTGATGTGAGAGGGGGGACCGCGGATATTGGAATTTGAGTTGTTCTTGGTCATGTTCGTATCTCGATAGTAATCGCCGGTGAGAGATGGATGGAAGCTATGAGGAGACCCCTGTCGAGAAGGAGGGAAACGATTGGAACGAGGCTTGGTTAAACCTGTCTCATCAGAGTGATGTGAGCCATTCTCCCAAGCTTCTGCCTCGTAGTCTGGGAATTCAACTGTGAGCTAGGGAGTAGTAAATAAGCATCGATGTTACTTACCGCTGAACTTCTTCAACGGAATCATTGACTCGTCGAACCGCTCATCCTCGTTCATGACAACCTTCTTGTTACCTCCATCACCAATGACAATACGTGTATTTCCCCAAGAGAAATCGTCCATGCACCAGAACGAGTAAATGGGTAGGAAGAAACTGTACACCGGATATCTGCAACAGAGGTAAATACGCGTTACAATGCTGCACACGAGCTACTCACGAGAGAAGGTAGACTACCATCCATCCTACCAACATAAATTCACGTTTGATGATGAAGATCAAAGCCTGTAATGTACAGTAAGTTAAGTCCTGTGTATTAGTACACGATTTACCTGTAACCCATAGGTAATACCCAACATGATGATGGAAATTATTGGCAGAGCCGCATTGCCAGTAGCAACGACAACGATGAGATAAGCCAACTGTTGTAATAATACGATGAGGAATGCATGTCAGATTCGATACACTTGAGACTCACGTAGACAACCGTGGCTGGCAGGATCTACAAGAAAATGTAAGTCAAGAAGTGCGGACACAAAGACGCAACACTCACGATGGTGCCCAAGAGATCGATGAAAACGAAGAACCTCATCGAAAAACAGCAAAAACCACAAAGTTCAGGCAAAACTACGAGTTCGCACAAGTTATGGATTGTAGAATTGATCCACCGTCTCCGCTGTGAGAATAGAACACGCCAAGATTCAGGAGCCATAGTATGTGCAACTGCATCCGGAATGAACTTGGTCTTAAATGTTGGGAAATGCTTTAGGAGGAGCGTCGTCAGGAAACGATCTTCACCAAGGGAGAACAGATTTTTCTTGTGCAGCGTATCTATGTTGCCTTCCGCGTACTCGTCAATGATACGGTTCGAGATGATGATAGGCCGACCCTTGTCTGCGGTGCGGATACGGTAAAGCGAGAAACATCCAGGAAGACATGATACCGAGCCGAATAGACTCTCGAAGGCCTTTGACAAATGGTGAGAGATATAGTACTCATATACCTGTATTCAATGTCATCTTGGGCAACAGTAGAGGCAAAGGGGTGAACAAACCTGAATCATCGTCCACCATGAACCCTCCTCGTTCGTGAGCTTGGTCTCGCCACAGATACCAATGATACTTGAGTCATCCGCAGCAGATGCAACCAGTCGATTCAGAGACTCTGGCGTTACTTGCTGCAAAGGGCATTAGCGTAAATGGAGGAACCAAGACGATGAACTCACTGTGTCAGCGTCGACAGTGAAAATGTACTCGTAGAAAGCAGGATCGATGCCAATGACATTCCTCATCTGGTGGTAGATTTCGAGCTCGAGAGGCGACATTGGTGCATCGAAGTGGACACGATTCAAGTAGTGCATGAGGAGAATCTGACTGTCACGCTTGCCCCTGTTTCCAGGCTTCGAACGCTCAGTAGGCTTGCCAACTTTCACAACCACCATATACCTGTAAAACAACTCAGACTCGCCGTAAGGTAGATGAGGGACAAACACTCACGGAACAACGTGACCCTCAAATTCATACAGGCCAGAGTATACCTTGCCATAATTGAGCTGTTTCGAGCCTTCACCGATCGATTTAAACAACAAAGGTTCAGGATCAAGTTTAGGATCCACGCCAAGAATATCCAACACAATACGGGGAGTCGTGCGGTCGTTCCCACTCCCGATAATGTTACCGTCGCAGATAATGAAGAGCAGTTTCCGCTTGTCATCGTAGTTCAATGACGCCAAGGAATCAATTGTCCGACGCAGAGAATCCTCGCCCTCCGTGTAGCAAGGGATTTGACAAAGGATAAACTTGTCTTGCATCTCGGGCGACCGTTTGGGAGATAGCTGGAGTGCGGAAAGGACTAGGACGGATATTATCAATCAAATAATGACCAGCTGAAAGAGAGACATACACTTCAGCACGATAGACGCGCATAGGATACTCGTAAACACCACTAACAAGTAGTTCTGAACAAGACACCTTGGCGTATCCCGGAAGTCAGTTTCGCCAAGATAGAACATATTCTTCAGACAGTTGATGTTGGCTGCCGCCGTGCTAGAATCGAGACCTGCAAGAGCAGTATTAAGTGGCTTCGTAATATCCTGCCCAGCTTGCTGTTTGAAGACATTTGTGACGTCCGTGCTCAGGAATTGGTAGAGACTTGTTGCGCCTTGATTGATCGTTACAGTGTTGATGTAATCAGTCAAGTCATATACGCCGCTTTCCCAGATAGCCCAGATACTAGAAGTCGTGTAAGTAACCAAGTGGATTATCAATATGTAAACATACCGTTGAACGGTCTGGTCCGCAGCTTGTGCAGCAATCTCCTTCGGAGTCCAGACCAAAGGCCCTTTGTGATAGTTCTTCATCTTTGGCTGGAATGTCGCAGTGTACCAACCCGCATTATCAAGTGCGGTTCCCTGCGTACTCTCTGCGGCACCAGACATGTGCATGGCGAGCGGCACGACAGGGGTAAAATTCTTGTACACAAGTTGCACTGAGGTTTGGGTGACGAGGCCCGGGCAGGCTAACGTAAGGGGTGGGGGGAAATAGTTCGTCAAGTCCTGCCCTACAAGCTCCTCGAGGTCACCCGCTGAATTACTAGTAACACCGGATATGTCGCTATGGTCACCGTGGATGAAGTTCGACATGTCATAAACCTGCCCCTGCACCGAAACCCACCAGTCGCTGTTGCCAGTGTGCTCTGAGACCTCCGTTGGTGACCACGCCTTGTCGAAATTAGGGCACAAAAGACGCCCGAACTCGACGATGTAGAAGATCACGAGCGCGTTCATGAGGAAAATGAGAAGGAAAATTGTAAGTTTTTCGCGCCAGGCAAGCCGGATATCAGGGCGTTTCATACGGCCTACGTAGCGAAGGACGAATGAAGGGATCCAGCCAGTGAGGCCCCAGACTAGGAAGAGCCACCATCGGCGCGAGCTGCTTGAAGGAACTTCTTCGACTGCGGCTGGAGCCTTGTTGACAATCATCTCACCCTCTTTGGACACGAAGGGAGGCGAGTTCATGCCAGGGCTCCCGCCTTTCTTGTCCCATTCGGATGCTGATTCAGCATCGTTGTCGTCGTATGCAGGGATTCCTAAGGCAGGGGAAGGTAATCCGGCGTTTCCGTACGGCGCCAAACGGTTGGGATCCTGGTATCGTGACCCTCCGCTGCTTGCCCGAGCGATCAACAAATTATCCCTGCTCTCGTTAGCATATCCTCCATGGGCACCATCTCCTTGGGTGAAGTCCGTCACATCATCTCCAGCAACACTCTCATCATCCTCAACATCCTCTCCAGAACGCCTCGTTTGCTCTTTCTCACCAGCCCGTACAACATCTTCCACAGTCTTCCATGCACCATACGACAGCCAAATGCTCCGATGACCTATGACATAATCTGTCCCCTCCATCCATCCATTGCTTGCCGCGCACTGGCGGATCCGCTCCATCTCCGACCCCCGCATTGTGGGCACATAGCGGTCGCAGAACTCGGTCTGCTCAAAGTCTGTCACGAACTCAATGCTCCGACGTGCAACGATATCAGGTATAAGCATCGACCGGACCTGCGCCTTGACGCGACGCTTGTCAAACGAGTTTGGTGAATTGGAATCATTCGGACGGATGCATGATATAGTCCAAAGGTGGGTGTGGTCGAGAGAGGTGATGATTTCGGAAAGGGTATGGTTGAGTTGGGTAGTAACAGGGTATATCTTGGATGCATCAAGACGTGCATGTTCCTTGCTTGCTGGAGGTACAGAGCCATCCGGTGAAGCAATGGGGGTGGGTGAGCGAAGTGGGCGAGAGGATACTTGGGCTTGTACAATGATAGCCTCGTCCTTGGAATGTCTTTCTGCTGCAAGAGAAGGACCGGAGACAAGCTTCGACATAAATGCATCAGAGGAATTGCGCAAAAGGGTCACAAACGCAGAATCAAGCAGGTCGGAGTCCTTCTCAATGAAACTCGTAACGTCATACGAGCAGTTTCCTGCGTAGTGGTTGATGCCAAACAGGTTCTTCTCGCTAGCACCAATCTGGGATGGGCTCGCCACAAAGGACGTGTGAGGCCCACACTTGGAGATGAGGTCCTGCAGCATGTCTTCGTCTTTCTTCTCACCTGCCTTTCCAGACTTGAATGAGGAGCATGACTTGCTGAGTACGCCAAGTATGCCCCCCGGCTTCTTGGTCGAGCGCTCCGATACATGAGCACCCCGAAGCAGTTCGATGCAAGCAGAGTTATCCATAGTGGATATCGAAGGAAGAGGAACCCCGTCGCCGATGGCGTGACTGTTGTACCCAATCCTGTCCTCAAACACATTGCGAAGCATGTATGACTGCATGACTTCATCGGCGAAGTTGATGCAGAATTCGTCAAACCCGTTCTGCCCATATGCTGAAATCAAGGGAGCGGTCCCCGTGAATGACATTGAACCACTGCCGGTCGGACCACGAGATTGGAATCCAGGTTGATCGAATATTACAATCTGCGAGTGTGGGAGCTCCTCCTGATTGGCGCGAACGACCTTGTGGTTCGCAGTTTCGACGACATATGCAAAGAGGATAGCATATAGATCACGCATGAACTGGTCACGCTGCGCTGCGCTCTGCTCCACGTTCAGGAGGACGGTATAAAGTTCCTTGCGGACATAGCTCGTCCTGGTCGTCAAAATCAAGGTAAGATCCTCCGTGGACACACCGAGGAGCTTCGCCACCTGCTCCAGTACATGTGCATTAGCAACATATGCAGAGACATCGCGTGAGTCTGCTTCTGAGAATTGGATGTTACTCAGCAGGAGAATTGCAACAAGCAAGGTGAATATCGACGAGATATGCTTCGTCTTGAAGCCCAAAGTACGCATCGCCGCGAGTACTTCTTGCATCGCAATGGCGTCATCGCTGAAGGGGCCACTCGGCAGGCGATAGCACCCTGACGACGCCAGTAACGAATAATCCGAAGGATCCTCAAGCCCAAAGTAGTCCCGCTCCTGAGGCGTAGCACCGGCCAAAAACTGGTAGAAAATATGGAATGTACGCTCCTCATGAGTGAGGCGAGTAAGGCGGGATTTGTCAAGCGCGAACGCAAGAACTTTGGCTGACTCAATGCGTCCACGGGCATTGAAATGAAGCTCGAAATAGCGCGCATGACGCGAGGCGTTAGGGTTCAGAAGAGTTTTGGCATTCCCAAATGAGTCTAGTAACGTGGAGAACGCCTTGATTTGGCCTGCGGTGCGTTTTTCCTTCTTTGAGCGTGCAGAGAGCCGAAGAAGCTGGTCAACTAGAAGACGGGTACTGTACGACTTGCCTGAGCCGGTGATACCTCTGTCATTATTGACATGCTCAGTAAGTAGACAATGAAAGACAATGTACCATACGAACCGGGTGATAACAGACTGGGACTGATTCCGCCGACGCATGAGGAGATACATTTGCGCGGCAAACTCATAGAGATGAGGTTGGAGCAACCGAGAGCTCGCAAGTGGCAGGTTGGTATCTTTGTAGCACCGTTCTTCATACTCCTTGGCACTGATGTCGTTGACATTGGCGAGTGTTTTGAATGGGTTGACGACGAGCAAGTTGGTGGTGGCTATTCTTGTATATGGCAAGTCAGCACGAAAACGTGTGTTAAGGACGGTGACGATGGCATCGTCGTTGGGGTACACCGTTGCTGAGGATGACGATGAAACGAGGTCGATGAGGTCGCCAGAGTTGACGGCGTGGTTGGCAAGCGAGCCGGAGGCCATTGCTGGCCCTCAAATGAACGACAAAAAGATTGAAAATGAAAGAAGGATCAAGGACAAGAAATGCCAGAAGGAAAAATCGGTGCGGCCTTGTCTTGCAAGAGCAGGTAAAAATCCAAAGTAACGTGTGGCCAGCCGACCCGATCGTGTCATCCTCCCAAATGGGGTTGGGTTCTAGACCGAGCAACCAAGGAACCATAAATTCCGTTCTCTTTTGAAGCATAGCTCATCATCATCCTACAGCGGTCGATGTCGTAGTGTAAAGAACAGAATAGTATTTAGACATGCGCAGCAACATCGTACGTATGCTATAAGTAGACTGATCGTCCTCCCACTGCCCCAATTGTCATGATCATGCCTCACTGTCATTCGGGGAAATGTCTAAATCCCAATCAGTCATTGAAACGAGCGCTCACAGGTCACAGACACAACTTACCGGGATCTCCGTTCACATCTATAGGCCCACCAGCCTCGCGTGCAAGGGCCTCTTCCCACCCTTCCTCAAATAGCTCTGCATGCTCAGATGGGTGCGCGATGCTCCCTGCGATCTTACCCTTATTTTTAGTCCGCAGCTCGCCTCGCCATACGTCGACTACCTTTGGTACCTCGCTACGCCAAAGTTAGCATCAAGTATTACATCCACAAATGAAGTGCACACACCTTGGTGCGTATGTTCGTGCAAAGAGCGCAGCTTCGGGTGCACGATTCGTCTTCACGAGTAGATCCACACAGGGTTTAGCATCGCCGAGCTGGAACAGCGTCGCAAATGCCAAATTGTTCGCACCCTTCTCTTCAGCTGTCGCTGCAAGCTTCTGCAGCCCCTCCCGATCACCCGTCGAAAGCAGAAGTAGCATCAGCGCACTCAAATCACCCGCTTTTTCAAAGGCTTCCTGAGCCAGATCAAACCGCCAAACCGTAAGGGCGCGATCGCCAATTGCTTTCCACTTTGTCTCTGCCTCTGGCTCTAAAACAGAGCGTGCAATCTTGACCGCCGTGTCTAGGTCATCGAGCTGCAGTGATAGGTCAAACTTGTGATCAGGGTCTGTCGTGACCTCCAGAGCAAGCTCCTTGAGGTCTAAGAAAAGGGTAGCTAAATCCTGGACCCTAATACGTAATTAAAAGCATGCATACCTCGACCATCCAGGAACCGAGCAACTTTGTTTAGCTGCTCCTTGGGCAAAGTGGGCAATATTTCGGCTGCTGAGTCCATGTCACCACGAAGGACAGCTGTCTGGTATTCAACAACGCTCAAGGATAACGAATATCCGAAGATATTCATGTCCTTGTTCGCAAGGTACACCCGATTATGTGCGGGTATGTACCCCAATATAAACATCGAGCTATAACGATGTCAGCTCAAGGTGATGACCGAAGCGCATCATGCACGCACGTATCAGATGGGCTAATCGTGTACGATTCATTGCCCACGAAGTAGTTGAGGCGGTTTCCAGCCGTGGTGTAGATAAAGCAATCACCTATCCATTTCGCCGTCTTCACGCTGATAAAAATATAATCAGTTGAGGATGAAACTTCTGCTAATAACACTGCACCTGTCCGAAATCTCAGCAATGACATCAAATGCTTCCTCAACGCCCTCATCTGTGATTTCCACGCCCTCCTCTAGTTTGAAATTGTAAGCATCTCGATCAAATTTGAGGATATAGTAAGAGTCATCCGATACAATCGCTACGAGCGTCCCTGTCGTCGACCAAAAGATCTATCAAGATATTAGCACCATAAATGTACAATTTGTGTCAGAAACTTGCATTTTTCGCATCCACATCAATCCGCCTCACAATATCCCCACTTTCCCAATCCCAAAAGATTACAAAACCCTTCCCGCGCGCGCCAAGCACCGGACCCCCATAAATGGCATCTACTGCCCAACTACCTGCACCTTTCATCCCCGCACCACCACGCTCCTTGAAGTTCTTGAATACACGGAGCTTCACTTTGGTCTCTAGTACTGCGTACGTGTTCGAGTCACCTGCCCACGCGAAGCCCGTACCCGACCCGAACGCCTTGTTCCGCCATGCGAGCGCCGTGTAGATAATGTATTCCCCATCACCCACAACAGTAACGAAGCGTCCATTCGGAGAGTGCAATAATGACGTTGCAAAGATCTCTGTAGTGCCGATCTCTTTGATCGACAAGGGGACGCGGTTACCATCTGTAGCGGCGATGTCAGAAAGTGTGGCAAGGTTGCCAGATAGCACGACTTGGTTCTTCGTGTATATCAATTTGCCTGATGGGTCCATACTGTACGTAGGTTCATCCCGGCCAAGCTTGAGAGACATCAGATATATAGAGAATGTGGACGATGCAAACAGACCTTGATCACGACGACACCCTCATCAAAACCAACGGCTACCTCATTCGCATCTCGGCGCAATGAGACGCACCACGCGCGCTCAAGTGCATAACTGAGGGTGTTCTCCAGACGGTAGGTATTGCTATTCCATATCTTTACGGTACCATCTTCACTGCCGCTGATGATGATAGGCAGATTGGGGTGGAATACAGCGAAGCTTGGGTTGTTTGTGTGTCCCTCCATCGTTTGCACACAGCTTTTGCTAAGGTAGTCCCAAATCTTGATAGTCCGGTCGTCACCTGTTGTGATAAGGTATGGCTTATCCGATCCAGGGTAGAAGTCAACGTAGTTGACGCCCTTGTCATGCGCGTCCATAGTAAAGTTAGCTGTAGGGGAGCCAAGGGACCACATCTTGACGGTCCGGTCAAGACAAGCAGATGCAAAGGTATTCGAGTCTTTTGGGTTGAAAGTGATGTTCATGATGTAGTGTGTATGGCCTTCATAGACCTGGCGCGAGTTGAGCATGAGTGTAGACTGAATCATGGTAGCACACCTGAATACATTTCCACTGCTTGTCCCAATCCCAAGCTTTGATCGTCATGTCATCACTCCCAGTAAGCACAATGCTCGCGGTTGGGTGCACGGTAAGGCATCGTATATAGTCAGGGTGGGCCTCGAACGCGACGACCTTCTCGTGCGTGTTGTAATTAAAGACGCGCAATTGGAAGTCGTCCGAGCCAGCAACAAACCAATTTTTTCGGGGAATAAACTTAACACAGCGTACAGGGACAGAAGAGACCTCGAAAGTCTTGACAAGTGCGCCAGTTTCGTGGTTGTAGATGTTGACGGAACCGTTGTACAGACCCGTTAGCAGCCATGGCTCGGTAGGATGGAAATCAGCGCCTTTGACCCGGTCGGATCGAGAGAACAATTTTCGCTTGTTGAGTCTAGATTAGATTTAAGAAGGTAGACTGACTCTGGGACTTACATTGACATCGAATAGCATGGCGTCGGCGTCGTTCAGCTCGTGTTCACTGTTCTGTACAGTATTAGTGACCGCTTATGGTGTTTCTCCACCCCTCGAAAGAGGGTCATGAAACGTGGCTTCTGCTCACCATTACTTTGAAGTTTGTCCCTTGCAATCTCGTGATCAACTCAAAAACAACACCAATTATTAAAAGGCATTTACTCGTGTATTCTGGTCAGGAGTCCTGATAACTAGTTACCAGAATACATGCCACGGTTTGTCTATGTATTCGATCTTGGCAATTGTGAACGTTACCACTAAGCGCTGAACGTTGACCATTCCATAGAGTCTCAGAGTCTTGTTTGATTTATCGTAGAATCGATCGATGCATCGTGTTGGCCTGTGTGATGGAATGATGCTGTAACTCGCCGCCTCGCGCATTCCATTAAGTTATGCCATGAGGTGCCAACACCTTTTATGGCATGGCCGAAGTTCAAGGAGGTTTTAAATTGAGCCAGCTGAGGCACTGGACTTCAAGTTAAAAATTTTCCTTCTCGTCAGGAGATTAGCTCTTCCCCAAGCACTCCAGGATTTCGTTGTTGTGAGTGTACCTTCCTCAGACTGAGAATTAATTTGGCCTAAGACTACTGGCAGGACATGAGTCACCCGCACAATATTAACTGCCTTCCAGCGGAACTGCTCCTGAGCATCTTCCAACTCATAGGGACCCACGATGGTCCCTGCACACTACCTGGAATCGTCGCTGCGTCGCACGTTTGCAAGCGCTGGCGATACCTCGCCCTCCAAACACAGTCTCTCTGGACTGTGATCTCAATTTCCAACAGGGAAAAAGACTATGCCCACCATGCGCGTGTCTGGCTGGCACGAAGTGGTGTATTACCAGTTGATCTAACTATCCACTGGGACTCGTCATGGGTGGAACGTGAAGCCGAAGAGGCTCTTTTTCCTATTGACGACGCAGCTCCATGGGCTGATGAGACCTCACAATATATTAGACGCTCGTACATGGAGTATGAGCGATTTCGCGATCTCAAGCGTCAGTCACTCATGCGTGAGCTCGAATGCCACAAACACCGTTGGCGCTCCTTCAAATGGAATGCAACTTCGCACCACCTGTTCGAGGGAAGCGTAGATGCGGATGTGGTAAGTGTGTCATGTTTTACATCCACACATAGATTGCACATTTTCTTACTGTACTGAATAAGCAGACATTAGTGGACGCCTCCGATCACATTCATGGCATGGACTCAAATTCAGCAATTTATATGACGGTTTCTCGCGACTTTCCCTCATTGCCTTCCATTGACAAAGTGTCACTTGATTCTAAAGCATCAGTTCGTACAGGGAAGAATTCATTTTTTACAAGGAACACAACAAGCATGCGTAGGTTCTGGTCAAAATTTTGGGATTTGCTGCACTTTTAAATGTTCTGTCGTCGATTCGACTATAGTACGTCTCCAGTCACTAACCTACAGCGCATACGTACCGAGTACAAATGATTGCGTATGTATTTCTCAAAATTTCACCATTGACTTGGTGCTCCTAATTATAAGTGACTTTGATAGGTCGGGTGTCGTGTCAATATTGTCAGTTTTGATGATGGACATACGTACTGTAACTATCTGGTTGGTTCTATTTGGCAAAGGCTTTTGTTTTTAATATGTACAAACAACTACTGTGTATCAGCACTAGTTTATTGCACGACTTGGCTTTCTGACGTCTCATAGCAACTGAGTACAGCTATGCATCATGGATTCATGTTGCTTTCTAAAACTACCATCTGACGGCTCTCTTCCATTTGAATGGGGCATAGACACATCACAATTCATGGCATGCCTGTTTTGCTCAGCCTCTGTCAGGACTCAGGACTCAGAAAACCTGCTAGCGTCTGACTGACACGGCAACAAAGAAGGTGGCCAGGGTCTAAAAGTGATGGGAAATGGAAGACATAAGCTCTGGGGCAGGCAACAACGTGTACGATCGTATCGCCTCATACATCCCCCTTCTTGCCGCATCATATGCATTCACGAGGCCCAGAAGCTGTGTCCATCGCGGAAGGGGCTCGGCTTTTGATCAATGTTACCGGAGGCATGGCGCAACACTTTCGTTTGCAACTTTACAGCATATCCACCTGATGTGACTCCCCCGACTTCTGATAGGGTTGACATTCCTCGTCTGCGACATTAGTATTATCTATGCTCGGCCCCGCAGCGGGCTTTAGGGTCTCACACGAGGCGTCTTACACCTCATAGACCTTACACGTGTTAGCCTGATGGTCCACCACGCGATTATCATCCACTAATCGCGCGCATCTCATCATATCACTGCTGCTTAGAACCGGTGCTAGTGAGTAACTTCCACGTCTTTTACCTCGTCGAAACCTCCAGGCATCGCTACTATTTAGACCGCACAGTCCGACGTTCGTCCATATTGCATCCCCTTAACATCCTACTCGCACTGTGTGCTCTTGTCTGTTATCTATAGTTTTTGCTTCCTTTGCTTCTCTTGACGATCATCCACATCGCTTGTAAGCAAACTTGAAGTGATGTCTACAACTCCTCCTCCCAAGAAGACTCTGCGCTCTCGTATGGGAACGGCAATGCGTCGCTCCTCTACGAGCTGGGGTCTCCCAGGTTTGCCAAATCGCTCAGGCTCAACAACTCCCCCTCTCCCAGAGCCTGATTCCGCCTCCATAGCAGGGTCAACCTCTCCAAAGTTCGAGCGTGAAGGCTCTACTGCATCCCTTACGCAGGTCGATACTACGCCTCCTCCCAGTCAAATGGCTCCTAGTACCATCCCTGAGTCGCCTGCTCGTGAAGCAGCTGCCCTTGCTAGTGAGGCAGCCTCTCCGAGTCAGGGTCCATCTCCACTCTCAGGGGGCGTTGTTAACGCCGAACCTGGTTCAGAACCTTCACGCAAAGCCACCGAAACGTCCAAGCCCGAACCCCCCTCCGAAATTCCATCCGTCGTGGTTAATTCGCCAGAACCCGCGACGAAGGATGCTCTTTCTCCCGTGTTCACAGACGAACCAGAAGAGATCGGCCCACCCGAAGAGCGTGCTCAAGTATCTGCTCCTCCAGCCTCAGCGCAGGCTCCTAGCGCCGCTCCAAAGCCTACTCCGGCCCCTTCTACAACACCTCCACCTGCCCCAGCCCGTGAATCCACACCTCCAGTTTCAGCTGCTTCACCTCCTCCAGCAGCTGCTCCACCCCGTGAATCCACTCCTCCAGTTTCAGCCGCCACACCACCTCCAGCAGCTGTCCCAGCCCATAAACCCACTCCTCCAGTTTCAGCCGCTACACCACCTCCAGCAGCTGTCCCACCCCGTGAAGCTACCCCTCCAGTTTCAACCGCTACACCTCCTCCAACAGCTGCTACACCTCCACCAGCAGGCAAGGTGGCAGATGGCCCTTCAACAGCACCTCGGATACCTGCTTCTTTACCAGCACCTGTGCCCACTGCAACATCTGCAGCACCTCGTACACAAGCTTCAACACCTCCAGTACCGCCCTCTGTACCACGATCTCCCCCTGCACAGACACCTGGCCCTACCACAACAACTGCAGGTTACTTTGACCTTGCAGCTCCCCACACATCGTCTCCCCTGGATGAGCATGTAGATGAGGGAGCAAACGTCTGGGCAGATCATGTTTCCCCTTCTGTTTCACCTCACCCTGCCCCTGCCCTGCCCCTGCCCCTGCTCCTGCTCCTGCTCCTGCTCCTACCCCTACCCCTGCCCCAGTACTCGAAGTCGACCCACTTGCCAATCGCCCAGCAGCATCCAAAGTAGTGAAAACCACTTCTCGTCCTCGGGGTTCATCCGTCTCCTCTGCGCAGGTGATGGCTCAGCGACAACCAAGCCGGAAGCCAAGCTCGACCTTCCAGCCCCGCGAGCGGGAGATTATTGGGACCACGTACACTTGGAGTAGTCCGAACAGTGAATTCAACCAAAGCAAAGGGAGCCTGGCGTGCGTCTTTTTTACTTGTTTTCTTGGACAATGGTCTGATGACCACTTCAGAATGCATTCGGAGGATCCGTTCGCAGATCCAGGCCAGCGTGGTCCTGGCTACCATCTCTATCCACCTCAGCAGCCTGCTGACCTTGCATCGCCCATTGTTCATGAGTATGTGATGTATTTTTTGCACTAGCTTTGAAGTAATGGATTTGTTAGTGCTTTTGATCCTCGATCACCACGAGATGAAAGTATGATAGCTCCTGTTGAGCCAGTGGCGGTACCACTGCCCGCCCTGCATGAAGTCATGCTTACCCAGTGAGTTGTATGTTGGTGTCCCTCGATATATCTTAATTCTTGATTATCAGCTCTGTTCGGCAAGTCTCTTCAGGCTACACCTCGAGCGACGGGGCCAGTACTGAGTACCCCCCGAGTAAAGACATACCCCTAGAAACGAAGTTTGTTCAGATCGGTGTTTACATGAGGTCCTACATCTAACCTAACCTTACAGCGAGCGTCTCCCCTTGATCACTCGCTCAGCTCGCCCGTCTACGCCTCCCATTGTGACCACGTTCTCGCACCCAAGCCCAGAAAGACAATCTTATCATCCACATAACTTTGGTGTCAGCCATCCCACTCCACAGCGAGCCCAGCGTAATCACCTCGATGGCAATGGCTCCGCACATACTTATTCGTATGGGTCGGTGTCTAGACCGTATGCTGGCCGTGGATGGATAGAGCAGGCGCTACCTCACGGTGCCAAATACTTCGTGAATCCGCGTATTCAAGCCACAACCGATATTGACCTTCGCAACTTGGCAAAGCTGGAAGCGGTTATGTCGGCTGTCGAAATAGCCGGCAGCGCCCCTGAAGGATGTGAAATGTGGGCCAGAGAAGGTCCCGCCGTGAAGAGAGGTTGGAGGAGACAGAAGGTGACTGGAGGGCCAGTTATCAGTTGGGTAGACCATCGAATCCGCAGAGTCTCGAGTGACATTCCTAGTGTCGACGGAATTATCTTCTCTGGGGAAGATGACAGTCAGTCACATCTTTTCATATACAGCTCGCTTGCTAACCAGAACACGCAGGACTTGATGACGAGTACAGATACTGGTCATTTGTGGAGACTCACCCCGCGCATATTTCATTGCCGCAAAGTGCTCGGCAGGAAGCTTTGGACGCTCTTCATTGGTCTTACACAGACCCATTATTGGCACATCCTCAGCCGATCCCCCCTCCTTTCACCCAAGAGGAGTGTCACAAGTTGCTAGGTCATCTCAATGGTCCGTTATCGTCTGCTTTCTCAAGTGACGACTCAATTTTGTGCAGATCCCAACCTACGATCAACTACGACACATACGCGGATGATTGCCCGCATCTTGCTTCGCGTCGGTATGTAGTACTCGAATAATATTGAACACCCCTTGATTGTGTAACGCTGCAGCTCACTGGCGTCAAACGCACTTCCGACCACATAAGCCTCTTCCCCACGATGTCCCTGTTATGCGGCGTCCCAAACGACACGTGCCTATGGGTCGCATGATTCTCGATATCATTACCGGTATTCTCTGTCTAGGTATTCCATTCTTCCTCGTTGATCGGACAAACTATGGTGGCCACGTTGACTTGGAGGGCAACATCGTATCTAATTCCGGTGGTCCTTTGTTCCTGGCTGGTGCCTGTGCATGTCTAGTTGTGAGCGCGATCCCTCAGCCCGCGGTTAGATAACTAACATGATGCAGGCTGCTGTCATCCTCAGCGCTTCTGTGACGCTCATGACATTACCCGGTCTGAGTGGTATCGCACGCATGTCAGGTCTCGTCGCCATCATGTGCTCAGTACTGAGCATGATCACCTCGTTCATTTCCATCATACGCCAAAAAGCGGAGATGTCACACGGGGCGCCGACGTCGGGCTCCGAAGGATTTGTGCTCCTTACTGTATGTTTGTGTCACTTGCTTTGCGATGATCCTATACTAATACCGCTATACTCTTAGCGCCGAAGTGTCCTCTTATCTCTCCCACTTGTATTCCTAGCCTACTCTGTCGCAGGCTTCATCACTGGGGTCGTTATCTACTCGTTCAACGGGGTGATGCCCAACTTGAACGGAATGGCGAACGGATCTCTATCACAGGTACATTGATGATTGTAGTCATGGTTGGCGCTCGGCGGTATTGCTGGAGTGCTTATCGCTTCTTTCGATGTCTACTGAAACCAATTCGTAACGATTTATGTAGTGTGTATGTTAGAACTGGGCTGTATCACGAACCTGTCACGCTCTCCCATAATATAATAAAGCAAGCAGTATGAAACGAACTCCAATACATATTTTTTGAGGAGTCTCATCGGATCCTAAATAAAGTTCAAGGATAGAACCTTGATGAGGCAGTCACGTGCGCATTAGCGGCTTTGCGACTGATTTCATTAGGCTAATTGCAAACTCGATCAGACCTTAGGCCTTAGGATTCATTTAGATGCGAAGTACGTGCATTGATTATGATAAGTTACAAATAATTTAGATGAGTAATGAATGATGCTAGTGATACATGGTGACGGAAACCAGTCCCTCAATCAACGACAACAAGCCCATTGAAACTCTTCCTTCCCAACGCCATCATCATGAACTCCACAGGAGTGAACGTTCTCCTCACCTTTACTTGAGTCACTTCCTCCCCGTCCTGAACCACTTCCTCCCACTCCTCTTCTTCAAGATTCCCACCCATGAACACCTTCAACAGCGACGGCGAGTACCCGCTCAGCAGCGCAACACCCTTCCGCTCGCCGGTCACAGGAGCAGTGACACCTGGATAACGATCCGCGGTGGACAGATCCCAGTACATTATCTCCGCCATCTCATACCCTGCCTCCTTGTACGCCTTCTCGATCACATCATGATTCGTATCCCATTCCGCCGCATTCGGTGCACCCTCCAGAGTTCCTTGCGACGAGTCGAATTGCATATCCGTGAACACGAAGATCCGCTGAATCATCTGGTTCTGAGGTACAGCGTACTTCTGGGCAAGCGGGAGAAGGAGGTCGAGGAAGACGGCGTTGAAGTTAGTGTTCAGGGTCCAGTTGGAACGCGACATTTTCATCACCGTCTCACCGAGTGAAATAGTGCCTTCAGGGTCAAGTACGATCATCTGTGGATTCGCGGAAAAAGTGATGGACGCGTCCTTGAAAGGCGGCTTCGCTAGACGCGCCAAGATCAGGCTAAGGGAGATAGCAGGCCAGATGGGAGGTACGGAGGACCAGCATGATTCGCTATGGGAATAATTGACACTGCCCATGGACCCCGAGACATCACAGATGGCAATGCAATTGTCTAGTCCACCAGCCTCGCGCAGACGCTCGAGGAGCGTCGCCCACTGTGCCTCCACCACATGCACTTGTGTCTCCGCAAGCTTACGCTTGTGCTCCTGGATGGCAATTCCCAGGGATGGCTTGCTTGAAACTGACAAAGGATACATGTACTCCGCAGACTGCATGACAAACTTGTGCGGGAGGAGCGTTGCACCACTGATCTGCTTCTTTCCTGACTCCACATCTGTCAGGTAATAAACAAAACGGTCGGGATCATGATTAAAGAAGTGTTCCTTATTGATGTCCATGCAGACGGATGAAATACGGGAGTAGACGATTTCGGACCAGCGATTGGCGGACATGAGGGGCTCAGGGAGGGACTTGAGATGACGGGAAGGTGAAAGAATGTGACGGCGGAGGAAAGAACGCAAGACATGCAACTCCAGGGCACTAAGGGAGAGTGTGACAGGGATTTTGTACACGAGGGAAGATGTGATTTGAGCGTGGTGCAGGAGGATGCAGATAGCGGAGGTTATGTTCGTGACCCTATCGTGCGAACCCCTGGGAGATGGCGCCCATTTTGTGGCTAGGGAGAGCGAAAATATGAGAGATATGTGGTCCTTCTGATTTGCATCTGCTGGAAGGGAGGCTAGCTCATCAAGAATCAAGACGTCTTTGACAAGCCGATCTGCAAATAGCCTGGAAACAGCGACATACAGAGCACGATACTTTGGCTGCTTTAGCTTCTCCACAATTCGTGCATGGTTCGCACCATTGGCCTGAACATGTTTTTCCCTCGACCACGCTTCCTGCTCGGCATTAGACTTGAATTTAGGGCGAGAGTTGCGAGGTGTATGATTATGAAGGAAACTGAAGTGTTCAGGGGCAGGATAAAGCTCGTCAACAGTAGCCAGGGCGAGGATGTTAAGCAGGTCCTTCCAGTACCCATGAGGCATGTTCACGCGCTTCTTGGTATCTTTGCCTTTGACAGGACAGACACGAGTACAGACAGGCTCTACAAGGAGATGGAGGTCGGAAAGAGCGGTGCGAGGGTGGTTTTCGAAGAGCCAGCCAAATGCCATGTAAAAGAGCTCCTTTTCGCCCTTCCCATCATGGATGCTCCTGAGAGACCAGATGATTCGGAGGGTGAGAGCCGGGTCCTCAGCCCAGGCCTTGAGAAGATAGTCATCAATGGCGGACCGAGATACCTCAGGATGTATGCCATTGAATGCATCGAGTGTGGCCGAAAGAGTGGAGCTGAAGGCAGGCGAATCATTTTCAGTGAGCTTGTGGTGAGCAGTGGAATGGAGCACATCCATCATAGCATTAGAATCTGCTGGAGGATTTTCAGAGATTACAATAGGACTAGTGGCATCCTCAGAAACAGGAAGGAGAACGTCAAGGAAGTTGGGATTCGTCAGCTCAGGGATAGCGGGGAGAGTGACGTTCTGGGAGGAAGCAGCGGCAATAGGAGCAGTCATACTATAGTTGTTGACATTCTTGCAGTTACGGTAGTAAGAAATCAGCCAAGTCTGATTGATCAGTGGGTTATGGTGCAGGTGGCGAGACGAGCACGACAAGGGCATCCCCTAAACGAAGGGGGCTGCTTATAAACTGCCAGACTGGCTGTGGCATTCTGACTTGGTCAGTCACAATGACTCGACTACCTGAGAGCTCTCATCACCGTTCTGTGCAGCAAGCAGTGGGGTATGAGTCAACGAGAGTCGAGTCTTTGCAAATTGAGAGCGGAACCAAATGATATTGCATTAACGACTTGAATGTCGCGGAGTTCTAAATTATAGTCAGGATGTGATAGTATGTAATACCAGACTGTGTCATGATGGAATAGATTCTGATACAACATGCGTTGCGACTGCAAGGACACGAGAAAATGCAGTATTCGAGAGCAACTCGTTTGTATCGCTGGCAGGAACACCTGACTCAGTTTGAAAATAATCTATGTCTGTCGTATTCTGCCTTTATATAGTCCAGAACTTGATCAACCGAGGGCCGCGTCTCGATCTGTGTCGACCAACATCGTTCAATATAGCGCCAATAAACATCGGAAATTGCAGGTTGTTCGGGTCGTTTTGACGGATCGCCTTGAGATTTGGCCACAATGACAGGAGGCTCCAACTTCATGTCGAAGTACGGGGGGCGGCCAGAGAGCACCTAACAAAAGATTTAGAATCATTCATTTGCTACAGTTAAGAGGGTCTTGGCGTTACCTGCATCATAATGCAACCAAATGAATAGATGTCGCTAGCCTGATTTGGGTCAACAACTTCGTTGGGCCTTTCAGCATTAAGCGGTATGATGATTTCAGGAGCAGCCCAACGAATTGCGCCTGGCCTGTTAGATGCGAAGAAAGATGTCTCGTGATCTGTCAGCAGGCGCGACAGGCCAAAGTCCGCAAGGAGAGCGTTGCCGTTCTCATCCATAAGAACATTAGGCTGAAATTTTATGACTCATACGGACTGACTAGTGAAAAAATTGTGACATACAGGCATAAGGTCTCCGTGTATAATGTTTTGAGAATGCACTGATTCATCGTGTATCGTCCAAATGAGGTCACATAGCCACAACTAAATTCACTTACGATACTGCAGACCTGAAACAACTTGAAAGAGCTGTATTTCGACTGATCTGAGGGTGCGCTCATAAGCTATAGATAAGAAATGCTCACAAAAAGAAAGAGGTGATATGTCACAGGCGGTAACTGCTTACGCCATATTTTTTCCAGATATGCATTGAGAGAACCGTTTTCCATCCATGGACATACTAGCGCCGGGACAACTTCAAAGTCGTCCGTAGTACCATACAGAGGCAGTATGTGCGAGTGTTCCAGCTGTTGCCAAACAAAGAATTTCTGACGTATTTTCTGGAAAGTGATGGTAAATGCCACATACATCGACTACTCGAGAACTAACCTTGGTAAAATTTTTAATGTCTTCTGGCTTTCTTGATGGCACTCTGAAAGCCTTGACTGCGACGTTTCGCAGGGGTATCTATTAGAATTGAGCTAATCTTTTGAAAAAAACCAATTAATATACAAACTTCGATACCGTTCCAGAGAAAGGAACGTTTCAATTTGCACATCCAGACATTGCCGAATCCGCCACTACTGCAGGGGTATTTCTCGGGGCGTTAAATATAAGACGTGAGATCCCCAGGTTCATCGTGGTATTTGTTGAGGTCAACAACTCTGGAAATAAGGATCTTCAGTCTCAGCTCAAAGTCCTGTGTATCGGAGAAAATATACATATTTTGAGTAAAGTTGCGTCGGAGATGAACGAAGATCACCCTCCAAGTAAAGGTCTCCACATGCATTCAGGTCCTCGAAACTTGAAAACGACCCAGAGGGCAAAACAATACGAGGCGATTCAGAGTCAGTGCCACTCGTTGTAAGATCCGGGACATTTTTTGATTCAAATCAGAGTCATTGCCCTACAGTACACAGAATTCGTCAATGACCGTAAGGCACACATTGATAAGCAAGTACTCACTGAAGTAGCACTCTAACTGATGAAGCGTGAGATAGACTGCGAGAAATTAGTACTCAGTTGCGAGTCTTTTGACCTCCCAGAACCTGCGATCTTGGCTGTGATTTCTCCAAACACCAGGTGATTATCCACCTGTTCACGGCTGCTGAGCCCAAATCAATGAATTCACTGTGACAGGTAATCGTAAATTTGAAGTAGGTTTGCGGAGTTCAACTGGTAGACCCTTGTAATATCGAGTGATGTTACTGCAATAGTGTCGACACGAGCACTCACAATGCTGTTAACTCCACAACAAGAGTGATCATTCTCATATCACAAGAACAGCTCAGACGAAACTCCCGGGAGAAAAACTCGGTGCTGTCTAGTGACCGACTAGTGTTTCTCCGCGAACAACGGTAGTACTTAGTATTTGTCATGTACCACACATACCCAGGCCATACGAGTACGCAATAGCACTCTACTGAGGTCTGATACTCCGTTATTCGAATATTCGCGGAACCGTGACGCGAGCGCTGGTAAGCCACGGAGTTTTGTGTGCCCTGGTATAGATTGTTATCATTCGCTCCTCAAAACGAATAACCCGATCGGATGATCGTTGGAAACGATCATGATCACAGTGGATCAAATCAGCGATCACTCGAGGGACGTTATGCGTAAAAACTTACCACCCTTAGTGACAACAGCTACTTGTTTAAGATATGCTTCCCGTGTTATGAGAACGGGATTGAAAGTGGTGTCTAAAATATCTGCCAGATTCGGATGTCCGCAGCCGGAGTGAAGGGAGGTTTGACACGGCCCGGGCCCAGCGTCAACCTGCACCAACTCCGTTAATTCCTTTAGGGTATATGTTTGTGTGATGTCTTCCAAAGTTTTGCCTAGAGTTTTGGGGTGATTATCTGTTGGCACTGTTGAATCCGAAGAGCAGAGTCGAAGAAGACCGAGAGACCCGATGAACACTCTGCAACCTGTGTTATGAAGATAAGTCCATGGTATTGAATATACACTCAGTTGGCTATACAAGCAACTGTATTAGTATATGTACCTATTGAATATACACTGAATGAAAGTATTAGCTAGGTAAGTAGACCGTAAACGAAAGTGTCTCACCTCAGTTGGCTATACAAGCAACTGAGGTGCATAGATGACAATGAACAAAGAAAAACCGTACGTGATTATGTAAGTAAGCAGTCACGTGTTACGATAACCGTTATCGTCGTTTGTACTGACTTCCAACACATGGAGATTCCAAGCCTAATCGTTGTTGCGACCGCGGGGGACTCCCAGCGTCTTTCCCAGGTCCGTACTTCGCGGCAATTGAATAGGCAGAACGGTACCATTCAGTTTCAAAGAATGCCGATGATTCGCACAAGCGAGTCACGTGCAAGAATTACTGGCACCGGAACATCAACACACGACTCGGATATGTGGAACGTACTAATGCCAATAGAATCTCTCAATTAGTGAGCCAATACACCTCGTGCATGTCGATTATCCGAAGCTCAACGACTGCTCTAGGAATTTGACCAGAGGTATTATGAGCCGATAGTGTGGATGTACTTACATCTACTAATTCCCTCCAGTTCACTGAGGCTGGGCTAACTTTTTGGGCTGGTACAGATAATCAGTAACAGGAAGTTTTACAGCATGGTGCACATCCAACGCACACAGGTATGTGGTTGTGCATATCGTAATAACTGCGACTTTGTGAACTAAGGAACATATTTGGCATAGCGCTTCCTACTGCATTTATAGCATGCCATCAAAGGTATGAATACCACTTACATTCAGCATCTCACTTCTAATATCCACATCCTGGTGCATTGTCAAATAGTTAGAAGTTATGTCTAACAATGCGCTGGACCATGCCCCGACAGCCCCTCAACAGGGCTCCGGCATTTCTGATCTGCTTGCATATTTCGGGCTAGTGTTGAAGTCACCTTTGACATTCATTCAATGGTCATACCAAGAAATAGTACCCATGGCTCTCTCGCACCCCAATCCGCAAGGCGTCGTTCCCAGTCAACTCATCTCAGACTCGTGGACTGTCCTGAGGGAAGGTCACAACACTGATGTTACTGAGTACACACATTACTTCCTTCAGATTTTATTGACTGAAATTTACAACAGCTCGATGGATTCATCATTAAAATATTGCGGGTGGACACCAACAAACCCGGCCAATTTTCAGCATTCTGCGGCAGAATCTCAGTGCAGCCCCATCACTGATCTCACCAGGCAAATTTTTCGTCGTGAAATATACCCAACGTTGTCGGGTACGTATAGTGACGTTTGGCGATCAACGTGGTGCCATGGCAAGCAAAAGCGTGATGTGAGTAGATTTTACATGTTAGAATCCTCAAAATACAAACGACGTTTTCAGGTTGCGGTCAAGTCGCTGAAAATTCCATTTTTGAATGAGGATGAGAAAAACAAGAACTGCCAAGTATGTTCTTTCGTTTGTGCCCGAGAAAACTTGCTTAAGAATGACTCAGAAACTGATGGACAAAGTATCATCTTGGGCGCGATTACTTCACAAGAACATTTTGCCACTATATGGAATTGCACAAGATTTCGGGCACTTTCCGTCATTAGTGACGCCATGGGTGAACGAGGGGTCGTTGAATGACTACATCGATAGTCATCGTTTGTCACTAGGGTGCAAGTTGGATCTCGTGAGTAGCCTTTTGGTCGGAAATAATGTTTCTCACTCTGCATCTGTGCGGCCTTAGGCCAAGCAGGTAGTAGCTGGCCTCGGCTATCGTTGGTTTTTTTTTCGTGACAACGACTTTCATTGATTTCAAATGTAGTGCACGCTCATTCTATTGTGCATGGGGATATCTCTGGAGTAAGATCACTGTCCCTAGAAGTATAATTCGCTAATACTAGTCTAGCTCAATATCCTGGTGGACCATGAGGGTAGAGTGCAATTGTCCGACTTCGGAGTCATGCCACTGCTCGCGGACATCCCAGGTTCGGCTCAGCCATCTGGAGGCGTCCGCTCAGCTGTGCGATGGACTGATCCTCAGTTATTCGAGGCGCAGAAAGGCGAAATCAATCCATACATTCCAACGGAGCAGACTGACATCTATTCGATAGGCAGTATTATTCTGCAGGTATGGTACATTATCTTCTCGTGGCATCTCCCGCTCACCATATTGCGACTTAGTTGCTCACAGGATCAATACCTTATCACGATATCAAGAACAACATTCATGTCGTTGTATTATCTTCGAGAGGCGTCAAGCCCAAACGTCCTGACGAAACGTTTGTCACTAGTGCACAGTGGAACTTTATTCAAAGATGTTGGTCTCCTACCAGTCGTCCAACTATCGAGGAAATACAAGAATTTCTTGAGTCTGAGCTGCGGATGGCAGGTTTGTCTCAGCGCATCTGATTTCCAGTACCTACGACTACACATTCACAACACGCTTACAGACAGAATATTTAGTACAGGCTGTACGATTTGCTGTACCGCTAGTTTTTTTTTGGCATTTGATGAAGCCAAGAATTTCACTACATTGTTCCATGTCTTGTCTTGCCAGTGGTTGTCGTACATGCCTGATTGTGACCAGAATACTGTTTTTGTTTCATCTGGCCTCTTTGATTGTGTACGAACGAAATCGGCTGGGGTTCAATGAAATATCGGCGAGTCCCATGAGATTTTCTTGGCTTGCGGGACCTATGGTGCGCCTCGAGGAGAAATTTGTGGAAAGAAGTTTCATGAATCAATAGATTTAGTATCGTCCAATACTAGGCCCGGATCACCGGCTAGTGAAGCCGACTCGAAAGGTGCGCTTCCAGCCAGAATACGTCACAGACCTACTTCAAGTTTTATTATCTCCACAGCAAGCCATCAGTTTCCGCGGTATATCGATATAGAAATTCTCTCTGCCCACGTTCCGGGGTACTATATTCAACAGCGCTGAGTCTTGGCAATTTGAATTTTGCCCAAATGCGGCTTAATTACAGGTACAGGTACGCGCTGTAGGTGGGGAATTGACGTGGCTACGCCACTCGACTCGTCCGTGGTTATATAAGCCTGGTCCCGAGCCTAGATTTACATACCATAAGAAATATAAGGCTGATTAATCAGTGAGTTAATGGTGCAGAGCATGACAAGTGTGAATGTCACAATCTACCCTTCACTTAGAGATACGGCAATGACTCGACTCCCCGAGATTTTTTTGTTACCATTCTGCACAGCAAGCAGTGGGGTCCATAGAGATGAATCAATGAGAGTCAGTCTTTGCACATTAAGAATGGAACCGAATGATATTGCATTTAATAACTTGGATGTCACAGAATGCTAAATTACAGTCAGGAGGATGTGATTCTAGTAGTCCTGTCATGATGGAATAAATACAACATGTGTTGCTACTGCAAGGACACAAGCCTGGGAAAATGTGGCACTTGAGATCAACTCGTTTGTATCACTGGCAGAAATAGCCAACTCAATTTGAAGATGACCTATGTATGTCGTATTCTGCCTTTATATAGTCCAGAACTTGATCAACCAAAGGCCGTGTCTTGATCTGTGTCAACCAACGTAGTCCAACATAGCGCCAATAATCATCAGAAATTGCAGGCTGTTCAGGTCATTTTGACAGATTGCCTTGATATTTGGCCACAATAATAGGAGTCTCCAACTCCATGTTGAAGTATGGGCGCTGGCCGGATAGCACCTAATGAAATATTTAGAATCATTCATTCGCTACAGAAAGAGGGTATTGGCGTTACCTGCATCATAATGCAGCCAAATGAGTAGATGTTGCTCGCTGTAGTTGGCTTGGGAGCAACTTTGTCGGCCCTTTTAGGATCAAGCGATAGAATTTCAGGAGCAGTCCAACGAGCTGCACCTGGTCTGTGAGATGTGAAGAAAGATGTATTGTGTTCTGCCAGCAGGCATGACAGGCCAAAGTCTGCAAGGAGAGCATTGCCGTTCTCATCGATCAGGACATTAGGCTGAAATCTTATGAGTAACACAGACTAACTAGTGAAAAAATAGTGACATACAGGCATGAGGTCTCCGTGCACAATTTCTCCAGAATGCACTGATTTTATCGTGTATCGTCCAAATGAGGTCACATAGCCACAACTAAATTCACTTACGATACTGCAGACCTGAAACAACTTGAAAGAGCTGTATTTCGACTGATATCAGGGTGCGCTCATAAGATATAGATAAGAAATGTTCACAAGATGAAAGAGGTAATGTGTTTCAGGCAGTAACTGCTCACGCCATACAGAGGCACTATATGTATGTCATTCAGCCCTTGCCAAACAAAGACTTCCTGATGCAGTTTCTGGATCAAAAGTAATGGTAAATGTCACATACATTGACTACATGAGAACTAACTGTGATAAATTTTTTCTTGTCCTTTTCATCCATCGGTAATGCCTTGAAAGACTTGACTGCAACGTATCGCGGGGGTATCTATTAGGATTAAGCCTATCTTTTGAAAGGAAACCAATTAATGAACGTACTTCAATACTGTTATGGGATAAGGAATGGTCCATTTTGCACTTCCAGACGTTGCCGTATCCACCACTACAGTGGGGGTAATCCTCGGTGTGTGAAATGAACATCGTGAGATCCTTGGGTGGAGGGTGGTATTTGTCAAGGACAATCTGTCTGAAAATGAAGATGACCAGTCTCAGCTCGAAGCGCTGTGTGTTTTGGTGAGAAATACACAAACATACTCGTGGTGAGAGTCTTCAGGTGCCACAACCGGGGATCCAGAAGGTGATTCAGAATTATTGCCTTTGGGGTCAGCATGTCTAAAAATGAGGATGTCCAGTTTCAGCTCGAAGTGCTGTGTTTTGACGGGAAATACACACAATTCAGCGTGAGCCCGGTCCTATTGGTACACAGAATTCAGTCAATGTCTGCCAGGCACCCGACAAGCAAATACTCTAGAGATTAGAGGTAGAGCGGATAGAAAAGGTCTAACAGGTAAGAATAAGTCTCAGTTTCTGGAAAGAACTCTTATTGACGAAGCGTGTAGCTAACAGGTAAGAATAACTACACTGAGTCAGTTAAGTGTAACAATAACAGTAAAGGTATAGACTCACGTCTCAGTTTCTGGAAAGAACTGAGACGCTCGTAATGGTTGGGCACTGGTATTAATACGGTAAGCGCTCTCGATTATTTTGAAGGTGAAAATTTACTTTGGACCATTTCGGTCCCGACGTCAACAGGTACTCCCTGTTCCTTCCATTCCCGACCTCCCTCAACCAATGACTTGCGCTCATACCTGCTGCTTGTCATTTCCTACTTGTCATCTCGTGCCTGTCCATCGGGTCTCTTGGTCTTCTTCGACTCTGTTATGCCAACAAATACTCACCTGCAGACTAGTGCGTAACTTTAATACTAGTACTAAATAAAGAGAGGATAATATCCTATTTACTAATCATTTGTCATCAATGTTAATCTACTGCCAGGTAGAAGAGTACTTGCTGTTGGACTGTGGAACCTTTGCAGGTGGTCGCAACATTATACTGCAGGGAGGAGAGAAGACTTTGGAGACAGAAAGTGTCATGAGCTACAGCACGTTGAGAGCAAACTCATATTTATTGGACTGGGAGCATCCTTGCAAATTTCACAGAAGTACTAAATCATGAGCGTAAGCTTGCCATCACATCACGAGCCCCTTCAGTGACAAATTCCATATTATACAGGTCACCGGACCTACATAATATCCCGTATAAGACGGGCCAGCGGACTGTGGGCCAATGTTATGTATATCCCCGATGTTGACAGATGGGCCGGGAGGGATATTATTTCCAATGGAGACAGGTGGGCCCATCTATGCTGATATTATATATATCCTCGAAGATGTCGGGTGGGCCAATGTAATGGTTTATTGTATAGATGGGTGGGCCGAGGTACAGGAAGTATTTTGTACACGGGTGGGCCAAGGGAGTGGTGGAATATGTATTATATAGATGGGTGGGCCGATGTAAGGGTTTATTGTATAGACGGGTGGGCCGACATACTGGAATTATTTTGTAGACGGATGGGCCAACAGAGTGGTGGAATATTTATTATATAGATGGGTGGGCCAATGCAGGGGGATGTTATATAGACGGGTGGGCCAAGGTAGTGAGATATCTGTCTGACATTCACAGATTACTGAGTCCCAGATGCACAAAAACCGAATCCCATTGTGCAACATCCATTCCAGACACCCGAACACCCCACCAAGTGCCGAGTGCCGAGGCCTGTGCCCTGATGTCTGAAGCCCGAAACCTGAAGCCTGAAACCCGAAAATATGTATACAACATATCCATATTTCACTCATTGCACAAATCACCGAGTGTCGAGTGCCAAAACCCGAAACTCGAGATACGGTACACAAATCACCAAGTGCTGAGTGCCGAATGCCGATGCCCGAAACCCAACATCCGAAGCCCGAAACCCGAAGCCTGAAACATGAAAATATGTATACAACATATCCATATTTCCCTCATTGCACAAATCATGCAGTGTCAAGTACCGAAACCCAAAACTCGACACCTGGTACACAAATCACCAAGTGCTGAGTGCTGAGGCCTGAGCTCCGATGTCCAAGGCCCAAAACCTGATGTCCGAAGCCCCAAACCCAAAGCCTGAAACCTGATAATATGTATGCAGCATATCCATTTTTCCCTCATTGCACAACTCACTGAGTGTCAAGTACCAAAACCCGAAACTTGAGACCTGGTACACAAATCACCAAGTGCAGAGTGCCAAGTGCCAAGGCCCAAAACCCGACATCTGAAGCCCAAATTCCAAAGCCCGAAACCCAAAAACATGTATGCAATATTTCCATTTTTTACTCATTGCACAAATCACTGAGTGTTGAGTGCCAAAACCCGAAACTCAAAACCCGGTGTGCAATAGGCAAAGATAATGAAAACATGGAAGTTGTTGTCCGAGTCTAGGTGAGTGTATTGGTAGTCTTTTCTTGTCCATCGGTTATCATTTGACCAAGATATAAGCTAAAGAAATCTGAAACATTGGCGAGAATGAAAAATGAAAGTTGTAGTCCAAGTCAAGGTGAGTGTATTGGTAGTCTTTTCTTGTCAATTGGTTATTTCATTACTCGGTACTCAGTACTTGGTTCTGATACTTGGTACCTGGTGTAATGATAGTTGCAGCACTGGGCTCAAAACCCGTGTTTTTGATACTCACATTAAACAGTATTTGTCCGACGCATCCCTGACACTCTGATCCAGATCCCGACGCCTGACCCTGGCCTGAAAGTTTCGGACCCAACATTTTTGCATCGGATTCATCCTTCCTATGTCCTGTCTAGTCGTATCTATCCCCACTGGTGCATATTTACTCATTTTCGCATTATTGAATATTACAGACAGTGTTATTACATGTAAGCATAGACCATTGCACTTTTGACATTTTTCACGATTTTCAGTATCTTGCCCTTGCATCCATGATCCAACCTTTTAATATATAATGAGCATAGCTTATATTATTGCCTCTTATGACCAAGATCAGCTCACAATAGGCTGGAGTTTGTGAGCTAGTGTGCATACTTGCCATTTCTCCTGATAAGGGGCCCATACCTTCAAAACATTGAATCTTCATGATCAGAAACCTGGAGTACATTTAAAATATATTAAGTATCATAGACATAAATTTACAGACAAATCCACCAAGAATTGAGTACTGAGGAAGTGAAATAGATAAGAAATGGAGTGTGGGAAACTTCAAAGACCCAAAGCATCGAAAATGGTCGGTGAAGCAATAATAGGACTTTAATGCTGAGTCAACTCATGTTTTCACTATATCCCTTCCACCCACCCCCTACCCTCAAGGCAGTAGGCAGTATGGGTTCCTTAGGTAGTTTACAATCTATCCTACATATTTTTAATAAAATCTTTGGCCTGAATCATCTATAAATGTGACTTTGTAAAAATATGTCTATTGTCACATTTCACACATATGCCTGTCATTACATCAATCCTTCATGTATCTTTCTAAACTATTAGGGCTATTATAATGGACATATATGGGTGTTATTCCAGGTCTCTGATCCCATCACAGGCTTGTCATGTTGGATATCTCAACATAATGTGCAAGTCTCACTATTAATATTCATTCTTTTATCTTTATGCTCACTTACTGCACACATGTACAAATGCACGCCTCATCTTTACATCATTGCTAACATGCCAGACAAATATATAATCCTCATACCTGCATCATCCTACCTCAGTCTATTTGTTCTCAGACTGAGGTATGACTATACATTCATTATCATACTCGACACTGACTAACATTTAACGTAGTCTTCAAATAATCTCCAATTGACAAGAATGACATGAGTATGAAAATCAGTGGTTCTGAGCCCAGCACTGCAACCATCACTACACTGAGTACCAATACTTGGTAGGACCACCAATACACTCACATAGACTTGGACTACAACCTTCATTAAGAAAGTTAAGCATAATAATAATTTTCATTTTTTCATTATCATTTTCCTATATTGACTAGCGAGTCCCGAGTCCCGACCCTTGGTAGTCAGTACAATTCCCAAGTTATTTGAACCCTACATCAATGGATAATACATACAAATACAGAATTCATGTCCAGTTGTAGTCACGTGTACCGGGTGTTGAGTTTCGGGTTTCGGTACTCGACACTCGGTGATTTGTGCAGTGAGGGAAATATGGATATGTTGTATACATATCTTTGGGTTTCAGGCTTCGGGTTTCAGGCTTTGGATGTCAGGCCTCGGCACTCAGCACTCAGCACTTGGTGATTTGTGTACCGGGTCTCAAGTTTCGTGTTTTGGCACTTGACACTCGGTGATTTGTGCAATGAGTGAAATATTGATATGTTGTATACATATTTTCGGGTTTCAGGCTTTGGGTTTCGGGCTTCAGACATTGGGGCACAGGCCTCGGCACTCGGCACTTGGTGATTTGTGTACCAGGTGTCAAGTTTCTGGTTTCGGTACTCGACACCCAGTGATTTGTGCAGTGAGGGAAATATGGATATGTTGTATACATATTTTCGGGTTTCGGGCTTTGGGGTTCAGGCCTTGGCACTCAGCATTCGATGATTTGATTAATGTAAATGAAAAATGGGCATGTTGCATACCGGGTTTCAAGTTTTGGGTTTTGGCACTCGACACTCAGTGATTTGTGCAATGACTGAAAAATGGATATGTTATATACATGTTTTCAAGTTTCGAACTTTGGGGTTCAGCCCTTGGCACTCGGTACTTGGTGATTTGTGTACTGGGTCTTGAGCTTCGGGTTTTGTCACTTGACACTCGGTGATTTGTGCAATGAATGAACAATGGACATTTTGCATACATGTTTTTGGGTTCCGGGCTTCGGATTTTGGGTCTCAGGCTTCGGGTCTATCAGGACTTGGCACTTGGTGATTTGATAACTGGACTTTTAAGCTTCAGGCTTTGGGTGTTCAGGTGTTCATGTGTTTGGTGTAAGGAAATAGAAATTTCACACATTTTCACCAGTTTCCAGTTTCCACTCTCGAGCTTGGGGTGTTCGGGTGTCTGGAATGGATGTTGCACAATGGCATTCAGTTTTTGGGCATCTGGGACTCGGTAATCCGTGAATGTCAGACAGATATCTCACTACCTCAGCCCACCCGTCTATATAACATCCCCCTCCATCGGCCCACCCGTCTATATAATAAATATTCCACCACTCCCTCGGCCCATCTGTCTACAAAATAATTCCAGTATGTCGGCCCACCCGTCTATACAATAAACCCTTACATCGGCCCACCCATCTATACAAGAAACCATTACATCGGCCCACCCAACATCTTCGAGGATATATATAATATCAGCATAGATGGGCCCACCCATCTCCATCGGAAATAATATCCCTCCAGGCCCATCCGTTGTCTTAATAACCGAGGGTCTTATATAAAGTTGTGTAAATGTAATGACACCACAATTACACTTTGGATAAGACTGCTTGCCAGTCCTCGATTAACACGGTCTACGACTTTTCCTATTTCGTGGTAGATAACGTGTGAGTTCTTGGGAGGCTCGCTAAACTAATCTTTTTATAAAGATCAACCTAGCCGGAGCTTTACTTTTCTTTATTGAAACTCAAATCTCTTATCTAGGAATAAGCTTCTAGACACGTAATTCGGTTTCTGGAACGTATTTGCCTAGGAAATCTCCTTCTAGGCTCTGGACTTGGATACTGGAACTAGTGAGACATGGTCTCAAATATACGAAATATGACCAAGATCGCTTGGTCTATGGACACCTGACTGTGAGACAATGGTCTCAAATATACAATATATGTTCAAGATCGCTTGAACAAAGGGGACTATAACTTGACCAAGATTGCTTGGTCTATGGGACAACTAGTGAGACGTGGTCTCAACAATATGATAGATGACTAAGATCGCTTAGTCAAAGGGCACAGAGCAATGAGACAAAGGGGTCTCAAAGACAATACATGTGACCAAGAACGCTTGGTCTATAGCACTAAATAAGTTTCTAAGGTAAGAAACTTATAATCTCAAGGGAATTCTTTTCCCTGCACTTGTCTCACTTCAAAGGGACTAACTTTGCAAGTGAAATATCTGATAGGCAGATTGCTACAAATGGGAGATCATATTTTTTGGGGGGGAGAATGGGCTCTCCTTATATACATTTTGTGTGAGAAAGTAATCTAGGTTCACAAACAATAAAAAATAAGGAGGACCAATCAAAATATTGGGTCAAACCCAATAAAAGAATAAAATACAAGTGAAAGATGGAGCTATGACATCATTGTGGAGCAAAAGATTCCAGAACCTTCCATGAGTGAGTCAGAGTGAGTCATTGTGGAGCAGAATATTCTAGAAGGAAATGACATCATGAATGATGTCATTGTAGAGTAGAATAATATAGAGCTTGATGACATAATATCTTTCAACAGAATACCTGCAGGAGTATCTGTGGAGTCTTATGACATCATAATGACATCATACCCTATGGGTACAATTTTATGAAGTGTCAGGTGAGTCAAAGCATCCTAATGAAAAAGTAAAGTAAAGAAACACTAGAGAAAAGTAGGTAGCAAAAATAAGACAGTTGGCAGGAATTGAAACGCAGTCAAAATAATACAGTTGGCAGGAATTGAAACACGGTCTTTTTGGATAGGTTTTTTATAGGCTTTGTACTTTTCTCTATGGTTTTCTCTAGCCAAAGTGAATAAGCCAAAGGCAAGGCTATACCTTAACCTTCATTTCCCTTCTCACATCAACTAGGTCTAAATGTGATTCCCATCTCACATTAGACTTTTTCCGTCAAAACATATTCAGATCATGAAACTTGGGGAAAACTGGAAATATGGACCATGGTTTGAAACCAAGGTATGGGTTGACTAGTCTGAGGACTAAGCTAACAGACTTTATCTTTTGAGGGTCGCCTAGTATTCATGTCCATGCATGATTCCCACATCATGCAGGACACCGTCAACATCGGGGATATACATAACATCGGCCCATAGTCTGCTGGCCTGTCTTATACGGGATATCATGTAGGTCGGGTGACCCGTATAATACAGAAATATGTCACTGTAATATGTGACATCACAGCATGAGGACATTATCCAAAACATCAGGTGGATGGTCACCTGTTCATGGCTGTTGAGCCCGCTTGCGTACTGCCACTGATCAATCAATCAGGTGGCCAGCCGGTCACCGGTCCCTATGGCCAACCTTCAAGCTTCTTCCAACAATAGAATACCGCAATCAATCACTCATACTAAAGTGTTGATGTCTTCTCTGGTGAGTGATCTTTCGATACCATCATGAAACATAGGCATACTGATCAAACCAAAGTTTGTTCGGTTCAATGTACTTGAATGAAACATCACACCTATAGTAGTCAGTCTGGTTTTCATATGCATACACGCGGAAACAAATTGCCACGCTGATCATACCACAGACCTTGAGGCCGACTTGTGTGCGCAGAACACCACATGAAACTTTAGAAGAAAGCTGCCCTCAATGTCCGATGTAAGTGTGTAACAGTGCCAACCATATCACCCAAGTGACCATCTTGACGCTGAGCGAATGCACCTCTTGTATGTGGTTCTCCCTGACCACTTTGGCAATTTAATTAGCTATATGAGGTGATAGTGTGGATGTACTCACATCCAATTTCCTCTAGTAAGTTGAACTTGTGATGCAGCTGGTGCACAGACTCTACAAGCCATATTTAGTATCATGCACATTGGTTGCACACAGGATGTTTGGCTGGATGCATGCATAGAAGTTCGAAGCACTGCACAGTGTAAGATCGCGGATTCCAGCCAAAGGAGAACCTTGGAGATTTTGATACTTCCTATGATCATGAACTTTCTGAAAATACCCCGACACAAGAATACCTCATGTATAGTATTTTACAGAATTGACAAGTTCCCTTGAATTTTCACACAGAGGAATCTGGCAGCGGCCCGCCGCCCGTGCAGAAACTCATCATGACTGATCATGCAAATTTATTGAAAATCACCAAGTCCGACTTTCTCTCATTGACGACAACCACAACGATCACAGTGCTATTTTCAACAGTGCTCCAGACAATGATGGATTTAAGTATCAGAGGCACCTGGTAAGGTCAATTGTGATGCGCTTCCTATCTTTCTCCGCTGTTCGAGCACCAGTGCGAAACAGCACCTCGAAATCAATCCTGACCAATGCATAATCCAATATGACATCCATGCCCTCAGTGTTAACTTGGAAGACTCATATGGTCTTTTTTCTATGTATATATACCATTTTAATATCATTTTAGAGGGTGGGTATACTTGAGAATCAACCTCATTCGACGGGAGCTATTGAATATGCTATCAGTGACTTCGATCCCCGTGTAGTGTAACCGCTTGAAGATAAAGGTGAGTGAATGTTTGTTTCCAAACTCGATGCTCACCAGTGATGTTCTATCAGAGTATGCCTCGAGACTTGCCACAACACGGTCCATCTCCCCTTCCCTGTCTTCCGACCTTTCTTCATCAGTGCCATCTACATCTCTCACTGCTGGCACTCTATCTGGCGAGCTCTCATCTGTGCTATCTGCTACCGGGTCCTGATGTACTCTATCTAAATTCTCCAGCTCTGCGGTACACCGGTTGAGCCTTGAATGAGCGAGGGAACCACAGTTTTTGCAAATTTGCCAGTGTCCTTGCTTTGAGGGGAGGTCCATGGGGTGCACGGCGAGGAAGATAGGGTAGTTGTTGATCTGCGCTTATATTTACACTGTACTTTTGTCCTGCTCGCACATGCATCAAGTTCTATCAGTGAATTTAGAAGCGCAGAATGGCATCATATGTTGGCTTCCAAGTAATCTAAGGAACATTCTCAGAGAAATGCATGGTGTATTAAGTGAGGAAAATGATGTTGGTTTCCGTAAATCCTGATACATTTTCTACTGGTAGAATTTTGAGGGTAATCTCAGAATAGTATCAGGAAATCTCAGACTTTTCTCTCATTACCCTGTTTTCATATTCTGTAACTTTACAATTTGCAGCTGTGGTATTGTGAACTAGGAAGGAACCTGATTGAAAATAACACAACCTGCATGCATTTATGGCATGCCGGTCGAAGGGTATGAATACGAGTGCAAACTTTGTTCTAAAGTTTCATCATGTGGTGGTCTGCACGCACAAGTTGGCCTCGAGGTCTGTGGGATCCAAGATGATCATGGTAATTCATTTCAGCGCGTATGAAAACCAGACTGACTACAGGTGGGATGTTTCATTCAAGTACATTGATCTGAACAAACCTTGGTACACAGAACAGACTTTGGTTTGATCAGTATGCTTGTGTTTGAATTGCGATACTGTAACGGCGACTGATTGTGGTAATCTATTTTTGGAAGAAGCTTGAAGGTTGGCCATAGGATATGACCAGGACCATATACCAGCTGGCCACCTGATCGACCGATCAGCAGCAGTATGCAAAACTCAGTGGCTTACCAGCACTTATCACTATTCCGCAAACGAAGTCATAAGGTTTTTGTTTATGTAAAAAAAAACTTCATCATTATCCTATATATCGGGGTAGAGTTCTTGGCCAAAGAACTACCAGAGCGAGGAATAGACCAGGTTCCTACCCAGTCGCAGTGTCAAGAGAAAGAGGACGGCATCCGAGTTGCCGTGTGCAAAATTCAAATCACGTGCACTTTGAAGTTTCCAAAAGCAGCCCAAACTTTATTCCTCATACTCTCTCGACAGCGGCTGGCAGAAAACATTTGTAAACATTGTTCAGCCACCGTAGCAAACCCTTTGGACCTTCATAATTAACTAGCAACTTTGAAAACTGAACTTGGGGTTTACATATTTGTTTTGTACTCGATATGGAAACATACTGCAGCATCCTCGACATGTTTGATGAAGGCAGTAGCCTTCTGGATTTCCTCATCACAGTCCTCACAGTACCAATATTTTCCAACCACCCTGCAGTTGTTAACCTTCTGGCCAACATGTCTAATATTATGTGCGCCTTATTATGACAGCAGAATTTATATAAACCTTTAATTAAATGGGCCAAGAATGCCATTAGCACAGAATGTGTGAGAGAGGTTTGAGAGCTCACAAAAGTGGAGAATGGGTGGCATTTTAGCACTCTGCATGCGAAAGCCGAGCAAATAGAGGGCTTCTGAATTGGAGGTATGGCTTTGAAGATTGAGGGGGAGGCACCGGTGCTATGGACCCTTCTTGATTCTCTCTTGTCTGTGAGAGCTCCCCAAGTCAAGAAAATTGAAAGCAACCTTGAAGGGGACATGGTGAATGGAATAATGAAACTGGATGCACAAGAAGCTGAGGATTCAGAATACTGGGCTCAAGTAGATGACCTAGAAGGTGTTATAGAAGGCATCACTGGCAATTGTGTATCGAGAGCTGAATGCCTCGCATCTCAATGTGATGCGACAATAATACTGGTATGAAAAATGCAAATAAAATTTATGTTCGATCTAAACAGACCTCTTCCAGTGGAAAGTAGTAATTGTGTTGCTTCTAAAGAAAAGCACGAATCAGAAGGCCAACTCACTGTCAAGCATATTTGGAATATTGTTGCAATCAACACACGCACCAGAGAAGGTCATTGAAATGATGGTGAAGATGGGTCTCTCAATATCCATTGATGCAATTCATGATACAGTCCATTCACTATCTGCAGAATCAAGTCACACACTTCAAAATCTTGGACAAACACTTTTAGCAGCTTATGCATATGATAATTTCGACATCAACCTGAAGACCACCATTCCGGCTGCATAAAAATCCACTGACACTCTGAAACATCTTACATCAGGCTTACTGTTTTCTCTAAAACATGGAGTCACTTGTAATGATATAAAATGTTCCTATGGTGAAAATCGCGATGTCCTGCATGATGTGGGAATCATGCATGGACATGAATACTAGGCGACCCTCAAAAGATAAAGTCTGTTAGCTTAGTCCTCAGACTAGTCAACCCATACCTTGGTTTCAAACCATGGTCCATATTTCCAGTTTTCCCCAAGTTTCATGATCTGAATATGTTTTGACGGAAAAAGTCTAATGTGAGATGGGAATCACATTTAGACCTAGTTGATGTGAGAAGGGAAATGAAGGTTAAGGTATAGCCTTGCCTTTGGCTTATTCACTTTGGCTAGAGAAAACCATAGAGAAAAGTACAAAGCCTATAAAAAACCTATCCAAAAAGACCGTGTTTCAATTCCTGCCAACTGTATTATTTTGACTGCGTTTCAATTCCTGCCAACTGTCTTATTTTTGCTACCTACTTTTCTCTAGTGTTTCTTTACTTTACTTTTTCATTAGGATGCTTTGACTCACCTGACACTTCATAAAATTGTACCCATAGGGTATGATGTCATTATGATGTCATAAGACTCCACAGATACTCCTGCAGGTATTCTGTTGAAAGATATTATGTCATCAAGCTCTATATTATTCTACTCTACAATGACATCATTCATGATGTCATTTCCTTCTAGAATATTCTGCTCCACAATGACTCACTCTGACTCACTCATGGAAGGTTCTGGAATCTTTTGCTCCACAATGATGTCATAGCTCCATCTTTCACTTGTATTTTATTCTTTTATTGGGTTTGACCCAATATTTTGATTGGTCCTCCTTATTTTTTATTGTTTGTGAACCTAGATTACTTTCTCACACAAAATGTATATAAGGAGAGCCCATTCTCCCCCCCAAAAAATATGATCTCCCATTTGTAGCAATCTGCCTATCAGATATTTCACTTGCAAAGTTAGTCCCTTTGAAGTGAGACAAGTGCAGGGAAAAGAATTCCCTTGAGATTATAAGTTTCTTACCTTAGAAACTTATTTAGTGCTATAGACCAAGCGTTCTTGGTCACATGTATTGTCTTTGAGACCCCTTTGTCTCATTGCTCTGTGCCCTTTGACTAAGCGATCTTAGTCATCTATCATATTGTTGAGACCACGTCTCACTAGTTGTCCCATAGACCAAGCAATCTTGGTCAAGTTATAGTCCCCTTTGTTCAAGCGATCTTGAACATATATTGTATATTTGAGACCATTGTCTCACAGTCAGGTGTCCATAGACCAAGCGATCTTGGTCATATTTCGTATATTTGAGACCATGTCTCACTAGTTCCAGTATCCAAGTCCAGAGCCTAGAAGGAGATTTCCTAGGCAAATACGTTCCAGAAACCGAATTACGTGTCTAGAAGCTTATTCCTAGACAAGAGATTTGAGTTTCAATAAAGAAAAGTAAAGCTCCGGCTAGGTTGATCTTTATAAAAAGATTAGTTTAGCGAGCCTCCCAAGAACTCACACGTTATCTACCACGAAATAGGAAAAGTCGTAGACCGTGTTAATCGAGGACTGGCAAGCAGTCTTATCCAAAGTGTAATTGTGGTGTCATTACATTTACACAACTTTATATAAGACCCTCGGTTATTAAGACAGTGAATCAATCCTCAAAGTGATTTTTCCATTGAACAAACCTGGAAAGACTTACTGTCGCTACACCAAGATGTCTCGCTTTCTTCAGGTCTCGCTCGATGAGACCAATTTAACTCCTGGAAATTTTTGCATGACCTTTACTATCATGGACCACCTTATTTTGCACAGTTTCAGTCTCAAATACCAGCTCCCCAAGTTCTAGAACAAATACCAATTGTAAAAACTCCAATCGTACCAGCCTCGGCAATGGATGTCAACAACTCAATGGTTGCAGGAAACATTCAGGCAATCAAGAAATTGATGGTGCAAGGTGGTGTCTTTGATCCAGCAGATGTGGAAGATGGCGAGTCGCCTCATTTTACTGAGTATGTGGTGCTTGTACATGGAGATCTGGGCATGGGCAAACACATTGCATCTATACAGCAATGTCGGTCCATTGAAACAACTCCATGGCAGCGATTCCAACATGTAGTCTTTGTGCCTAGCTTGTTCCACTTGAAAATGGCAGCCACAGATGCAATATGGAGGACATTGATCCAGCCAATGTCAGTGCATCAAGATCAGACAAGTCTGATGCATGATATTGCACAGCTACAGCCACATGAGACAGGAATTTTTGGATCCAAGCCTGGGTTCTGGATGATGCACAAGCTCATTGGTCATGATGGGATCTGTTGACATTTGGATTATTGGCGGATATAAGTCAAAAGAATGAACAATGCTCACAAAACACTTGACAACTTTGCCATTTCTAAACAAAGCCTAGAGGAACTAAAGGAGATTGCCAACCGACTCTCTCAAGAATATATTGCTACCTACAAGCTAACACGAGCTCATCAGCAGCCTGATGAATGACGAGATAAACAGTACGAGAATAACTTGTTGATTAACAATTATTTTCTATTGTACAAGGAGCTATCCTATGCAATGAATATTGGAGACATTGTGCGTGTTGAAACCTGCATCATCACATGGTCATTAATATTTAAGGCGACGGGCAAACACAAATATGCCACATGCATGACAGAGTTTTTGATAAACTTGCATGTCAATTATCCAGCGGGTCTACAGTGAGAAGCATGCCTTTTCATTAACTCGAGTACTAATATTTTGGCAGGAAAGCAATACAATACCATTGGCTAGTCAATCTAACCAGAAAACCTGGACACTTCCATACCATAGATTGGTGTGTAGAGCTCAACAATCTATTCATCAAAGTGAAAAATGGAGGGAGTGGCTCGAACTGTACTGTGTGGCAAGGGTCATTCTCGAGTCGCATCTGGTTGAAATCTATTGCAATGCTCATTCCATCATCGAGGATAACTTTATGTGTACTGGAGGAACAAGTTTGCAGGCTGCACCTAATATGAAAAAAAAAATGTTTCAAGGGTTACTAATGAAGATGTGATCATCATCTCCACACTCACATGCCCGGATGACAAAGCACATACTTAGTTCCAGACCTTCTTGACAAGGGGCACGAGCTATTTGAGAAAGGATGGAAGGGAATAGTAGATACAGAAGATATAGACAGTAAAATATTAGATGAGGTAGAGCAATCTACAACTAAAGACATTGTAGGAGAGTTATGATGTTGTATGCAGCAGCAAAATAATCCAGGTTGTGCTAGCATTTTCCTTGGTAGCAGATGATTGGTTTGCAGGATGCTCTCGACAGTGGTGATTACGAGCTTTATAGATAGTGTTAGTAAGTAAACACTAGCCATCAGTAAAGTACATACCATTATGGCCCTCCTCCCCACAAGCACTGCATCACATCTTTCACTTTGCATTATGAGGGACCAATGTACTTGTGTTAGCGTTTGACAAGATTGCACGAGGCTGTAGTGGGGCTGATGTCATGGGCATAGGAATTGGGCACACTTGGTGAATCAATGTGATAATCACATCTCCATGTTTGCTGGCTCCTGACCAACAAGTTTCCTTGACCAAGTTGGCTATGGACTTCATCTTGTAAAAATGAGCACACTCAACAATCCGGTCCATGATACTATTGGGCATTACAACCCTGGGTCCAAGATCATTTAAATGAGAATAGCCATAGAGCTTGATGGCGGTTTCCTCCTGCCAGTCCTCAAGTGCATCAACCAACTTTAAATCAAGTGAGGTCATGGAAAACTTGACAAGGCATGAGCATGAAATTTGTTTTTGTTGTTTTGGGATTGCAGAGGTGAATTGGGCAAAGTATTCTGGTGTGTGAATATCACAACAAACACTTGACTGTGTGATGAGGCACCAGAGACAACCGGTCTCACTGAGAGCGTCGCATTGGTGATGATCAGATTCTGTGATTTGGATGATGTCTCAGGCACGGGAGTTGAAATAAATAAGTAAGTCTTACCTGCTTCCTCATTCTTGAAAAACACATTCAATACCTTATGACAACAGCCGATCCCAGGACATATATCAGCATTAATGAAGTAATCCATAGCTGGTTCAAGGCCGGTCAGTTGGGGGGGTCTTCGGTTGAGGCTGGCTCATATCTATCTTCTCTCTAGGGTCCTCCATCTTTGCCTATAATTGCCAGGCATCCATTGTATCATCATGGTAAGTCTGTTGGATGTTAGTGCTGCTGATTTCTATATCATCACCAGATGCATCTGAACTGTCAGATCTTTCTTCTTCTGCGGGAATGCTTGTGACAACAGGAACATTTTCGCTGGTAGTAGTAACAGTGCGTCGCTTTTTTGAAGATGTTGCCTTTTTTTTGGCTTGCTCCACTCTCCGTTTCTCTTTCTCAACTCTATATGCATCAAAGCATTCCTTCTCAGCAAATAGTATTGCAGTCCCCTCCAATGGCATATCACGAACGGCACAACCAAAGCGCTGCCATAATGTAGACAGTGAACAACATGTTGCCTGCCACTGAATTACAATGCAGACATCAGCGATATCAATGCCCTGCATTGCGGTAAGTTTGTTGATCAATAATATCCTTAATTCCCACTTACCATTCCAAAGGATTCGGTTGTACAAAAACCCCATGTGATTTCCTGTATATAATTCCCCACCTCGTCTTGTTTAAAGTAAGTCATCATATTGGCATTAAACCACTTGATTTTATCTTGATATTCTTTCAGCAAACACAACCTTTGTGGCCTTGATAGCATGGTTTATATTGTCAAAGAAGACGAGAAATTTAGGAGGGGGCAGGTCTCTGAGTTTCCACTGGTCAGGAATGAGGAATGCTAGGTCCATGAAGCTTTGATATGTTCCCTGGATGGGCTTTACTCCAATATTTATATTTGGCCGATCTATACTTCGACAGATTGTGATAAGTTTGTCCCCGTTCTGTAGATGGAGTAGTCTGATGACATCCTGCAGTGTGGATGAAGATAGTGTCGCCGACATCACAAGAAATGATATGTCCAGGGGGAGGATGAATCTCAGTCTACTGAGCTCTTTGAATTCTGGGCAAAATTCTCCCCATGAGATGACACAATGTGCTTCGTCTATAACCACATCTATTATGTGTGACACAAACAAAGGATTTTTGAGTAGCCTTTCAAATCCTCCGCGCTGTCCTTCATAATTTGGTTGGGACTGATTGCAATAATTCTATATTCCAAGTTCTCTATTGCCTAGTACATAAATGATCATTAATTGCTAGATACTGTTGATAATCCTCAAACCTGAAAGTTAGATGCTGTTGCAGTTTCTGCATGTATAGATATAGCTGAAATTCCTGCTCTTTTGAGGTCCATGACATTTTGCTCACCAAGTAAGTTCAAAGGAGTAATCACAACTTGTATACTGGTGGAGTCAAATAATAGAGGCATCCAGAATGTGAGGGTTTTACCCTTGCTGGTCCCAGAAATGCAAATAATATCATGGGCATGGAGAAGAAAAGCTTCAGCAACTTTGAGCTGCCAAAGGCAAGGCCTACATCTAAATACTTCCTCTGTCTGTGCACGAATTAGAGCAAGAGAAGGCACCATGATGACAATTTTTGATGATCAATTACCAACTTAAGAATATGGTAATGTTACATAACACAGAATATGTAAACCCTAAGTTTAGTTTTCAAAGTTGCTAGTTAATTTTGAAGGTCCAAAGGGTTTGCTGCGGTGGCTGAACAATGTTTACAAATGTTTTCTGCCAGCCGCTGTGGAGAGAGTATGAGGAATAAAGTTTGGACTGCTTTTGGAAACTTCTAAGTGCATGTGTTACGACTTGGATAGTATCTGTTGGCGATGCTCAAACAGAGCGTGTGTCGTCAACGGTCGAGGACGTCCTTGGGCTAGCCCAAGGTTAGGGGTCTTACTTGGCGAGGCTTCGGCAAGTAAGATTTGACGCCTATGTCCAAATCGGGTAGCTTATGTCAAGCGGTTTGCGAGACGATAAGCTATATCGGCCTAGGCTTACGACACCCAAAGGTTAATCGTAAGGATCGTCGTTAATTAGAAGGACAGAAGTCCGACTAGTTAACAGGGGCTTTGCTCGTCGATGAAGTCAATGAGTAAAGGTCGAGACTATAGGCTTATCTGCGAAGAGCAGATAAGAGGATAGAATATAGACTGCTGGCGAGGCAGAAGGATCACTCTGGTAAGAGTATGAGGTCAAGAACCAAGTAGATTCAAGTTAAGGAATATGTTACATGGTAGCGAGTTTATATAGAGGACAGGAAGCATATTAGTGGATGATAACTCGTACTACCAAGAGAAGTAACAGTAAAGGGTATGACCATAAAAGGAAGGCACGTTCGAGGTGAGACACGGGTGAGCTCTGAACGTGCGGATAAGAAAGTGAGTCAAAGATCAGAATAAGAAGTGAAACATGCAGGGGCATGATCGTGCAGCTGCGGAGCTAAGTATAAGTCGCATGTGCAACTGCGCATCGAGTCAGAGATCAGGAAAGGAAACAGGGTAAAGGGGATGCGTCGTGCATCGTATCATAGGTTACCGTCCTGGACAGTAAGGGCAAGGGGACTGTCCGCAGGATCAGTCAGGAGGTGGAACGGAGCATGGATATGCTTCGTCAGTGAAAGGATCCGGCCAGATGTACTGGCTCTGCTGAAGCGACAGGTAGAGAGCGAAAGGGAATGTGAGAATGACAAGGATGACCAGGGTAAGGTCAGGGTAAGGGTGTGATGCAAGGGCTGATACGAGGAGGATCAGGAGAAAAATGATAGGGGCCCAAGCGTCTAGATGTTCTCGTAACAGCAATGAGTGAAATATGGATATGTTGTACACATATTTTTGTTATGACTGGGATAGTTCTGCTGTCGAAGGTCAAAGATAGACCGTTCAGTCGACAGTTCGTCGGCCTTCCTAGTACAAGGAAGGTGTCTAGTTCAAGGGTTCTCTCTGCACGAGCCGTGGCTTCTATGCAGGATCAGCGGCGAGTGGTTTTAGCACTTCTGCCTAGGCGGTGAGTGGTTTTAGCACTTCTACCGCAATCAAGAGTTCAGGCTAAGACAGTGAGTGACTGTCTTAGAATCAGAGTTCAGGCTACTAAGGGTGGAGACCTTAGTAGATCAGGTTTCAAGGGGAAAACCCAGTAGATCAAGTTAAGGAATATAGCTATGGTACATGGGGTTTATATAGGTAAAAGGGAGCGGCACAGCCGCGACAAGAATGGTAACAAAGATAGGAAAAAGAGTACAACCTATCAAGATAGTAAAGATAGGTGAAACCACCATGCGGCGCAAGATAGTATCTATGTTACAATCAAGAAGAAGAGAAGTGTGGACAGCCCACTTGATAAAGGAATAGCCGAGTCTAGGCTGGTCTAGAGTCGGCGGCATGGTTACAAGAAAAGAAAAATGAAATAGGAGTAAATGTTATTGTAACAATTTTCGGGTTTCAGGCTTTGGGTTTTGGGCTTCGGACATTAGAGCTCAGGCCTCAGCACTCAGCACTTGGTGATTTGTGTACCAGGTGTCAAGTTTCGGGTTTCGGTACTCGACACCCAGTGATTTGTGCAGTGAGGGAAATATGGATATGTTGTATACATATTTTCGGGTTTCGGGCTTTGGGGTTCAGGCCTTGGCACTCAGCATTCGATGATTTGATTAATGTAAATGAAAAATGGGCATGTTGCATACCGGGTTTCAAGTTTTGGGTTTTGGCACTCGACACTCAGTGATTTGTGCAATGACTGAAAAATGGATATGTTATATACATGTTTTCAAGTTTTGGACTTTGGGGTTCGGCCCTCAGCACTCGGTACTTGGTGATTTGTGTACTGGGTCTTGAGTTTCGGGTTTTGTCACTTGACACTCGGTGATTTGTGCAATGAATGAAAAATGGACATTTTGCATACATGTTTTTGGGTTCCGGGCTTCGGATTTTGGGTCTCAGGCTTCGGGTCTATCAGGACTCGGCACTCGGTGATTTGATAACTGGACTTTTGAGCTTCAGGCTTTGGGTGTTCAGGTGTTCATGTGTTTGGTGTAAGGAAATAGAAATTTCACACATTTTCACCAGTTTCCATTTTCCAGTCTCAAGCTTGGGGTGTTCGGGTGTTCGGAATGGATGTTGCACAATGGGATTCGGTTTTCGGGCATCTGGGACTCGGTAATCCGTGAATGTCAGACAGATATCTCACTACCTCGGCCCACCCGTCTATATAATGAATATTCCACCACTCCCTCGGCCCATCCATCTAAAAAATAATTCCAGTATGTCAGCCCGCCCGTCTATACAATAAACCCTTACATCGGCCCACCCGACATCTTTGAGGATATATATAATATCAGCATAGATGGGCCCACCCATCTCCATTGGAAATAATATCCCTCCCGGCCCATCCGTCTCCATCAGGGATATACATAACATCAGCCCATAGTCCGCTGGCCCGTCTTATATGGGATATTATGTAGGTCGGGTGACCCGTATAATATGGAATTTGCCACTGAAGGGGCTCCCTGACTAAATACACCTTGTAGACAAACTCTCCCCCATGCCAGATAGGCACAAGGCTGCCGATGATGGGGCGAAATGTGGCTGAGGAAAGGTAAAGTATTGGAAAATGAAGCAGAAGATGATGCGACTAGGGAGGCAAGGCAAAATCAGGCTGAAGGCGAAACTGAAGTAAAGTTTCTAGGTGCAATAAATCATCATCTAACTGACGAGCCTAATGCAAGGCTCCTTGTGAACCTCCCTTGAAGCTCGTCACTTCAGAGGTTGAAATACACCTTGCTTGTTGACTTCTCTTTCTTGACATGGAAGGTCTCAACGATGGTCATGCGGTGAAGATGATTGTACCCCAGGTGAACCCCAGAAAGATGGTAAATAATTATGTCGATCTGGCATTTCATATGCTAACAATACTCATGGTAGATCATTGTCCATGCCCAGGCTCAACTGCTATGTAGCTCTAATGATGAAGTTGGCCTTGTCGTATTGTACCTAGTCATATATAAAGACTGTTCATATTCCCTTCCCAGCATCTTCTTTCAAACTTGCAATGCGGTTGAGTACCAAATAATTGCCTTGCCTAATCCCAGGAGTAACATCTGAGGGTTCATGTAGAGCACCCAAGCGAGAGTCTGAATCTACTGCGAGGTACAACATGCAGACCTTGAATTGTACACACTCCTTTCCGACAAGCTGCCCTGGTGTGATTTCCGGAGTGTGTGCGTCATGGGAGCCCGCACCTGGGATTGCTTTGATTTTAGCTGATCTCACCCAAGCCTCCTCGAGGGCATCTGCGACACACCGCTTTGCAAACAGCCAGAAACTGACTTCCACCATGGCACCCTCGATGACTTCCATGCTATTAGGGTTGATATCAGCCTTGAAGTCAGGGGTAGCTGCTAGGGGGTTATTACTCTTGAATAAAGGGTGAAATATCCTTGTCTTGTCGATGCAAACAGGGCTTCCAGAAGATGCATGTTCTGCGACCCACTGGATATACACCTTGGTTTTTGGAGGGGTACCAGAATCTTCGAGATGACAGAATACCTCTGTCACCTCACCAGAGGCCGAATCAGTCTTATATGATGTGCATGTAATTGGGTAAGGTGCTTGGAATAGACTGACACTCTTTCCAGGAGCAAGGCAGAAGTAATATTTTGAGTCTTCGAGCCTGAAGTTGCCTGCATTGATGTAAATCATGCAGGTGAATGGGATTTGTGAAGATCCGAGCTGGGGATTCTTGGGATGGAATAATTTGTCCACCATTACGAGGTAGTCGTTGGGCACATTCTTGATTATGACTTTGAGAGGATGCATGACCATGAAGAGATGCGGTGCACTTCCTTCCAGGTATTGCCTCACGGTCTGTTCAAAGCGTGCAATTTGTAAGTTTGAAGCAGCCATTGAGACACCCAATGTGCTGACAAATGACAAAATCGCACCCAGAGGTATGCCTCACCTCCTGAGGGCAATGAGAGTGTAGAGACGAGGATCGTCCCATCCGCTCACATAGCCTTCATCTACCAGCTGGAGAATCTTTCTTTCGAATTGATCATCCCTTGAAGACTAAGATGACCAAATTCAGATTGCCTTGGTTTGTACATGTCCAGGGCGTCACAGAGCCACTCATATGACTGGCGTAAAAGCAATGAATTCTGTGGTACAGAGGGAATGACTGAAATCCATAGGTCAATCAACAGCAACGAGAAAAGGGTGCCACAATGCTCATGAGATGTTCTTGAAGCTGTCCACGAGGCAGTGTGTATAATTGTAGGTGGGGTATATCTTCCATTTATCCAAGGTGCAATGGTGGCTTACATCCAAAACACGGTACACTGTGAGGTCCCACATCTGAGGGTTGCCATCTGTGTTCATATCCCTTATATCCCTGCTCATCGTGATGCAATAAATGAAATAGAATGAATTTCATAACCATATAATATAAAGAACTGACAATACACGAGTGTGAACAGACTGAATCATTTAGTCTATACAGGTTCAGGTGAGCTAGTACCGAGAGTGAGATTGAGAGGCTAAAATGAGGGTCAGTGAAAGAAGACGACAGCATGAATTCAGTTGCAAGAGCGAGTGTCAATCGGGTAAACAGGCAATAAAATTACACATACCTAAACAGCTCTCAGTCTGCGTTTGAAGGGTCCGGCCTCTACGTCCACTCATCTAGGTTGACTGGTGGCAGAAGATGACTGTGACAACAGGAGCTCTTGAACTCATTATAATCAGAGTATCGAACTAAAGACTTGTTGATCCACCTCCTGGAGCTAACATTTTTGGATCGACGTGGGTTTTTTGCGCCAAGGAGGCAGCTGGAAACACTGTTGCCACAAGGCATAGCTTTTAGTGCAAGGGTACTTTCAAGTTCCGGGAGAGACACATACGCAACTGTCGCCACCTTTTCACCCATCAGAATTGTCCTCAAACTCGCAGCTCGGCTGGATATAGAGATCCATCACATAAATATCAAGGGCGCGTATTTAAACGGAAAACTTACCAATAAATAACTTGTGGCAGCCACTTGGCTTCAAGTCGATCAAAGTTTGTATGGTCTTAAGCAAAGTGGGCGTCGATGCGCACCACTGGAACAAGTTGGTTGAGATCTTGACGAAGTTTTGGTGATGACCGAGATCACATGTGAGTTGATTACATAATACTTACAATCATCTTATGCTGACTTCGTAGTTATTTCAAGTTGAATGTCTCGTGCCGTGTTTTATCATTTTCTTCAGACTCGTATATCAAGGCCAAGGACCCCTCCAACTTCGCCGAGGTCATTGAAATATTGATTCACGCTGGAATGCATGATGATCTTATTCACTTCCTCCAAATGGCTTGCAAGACAGTGCCCAGAAGGACGGAAATACCTAGTGCATTCATTTTTTCAAGGCGTCAATCCTGAACTGACACTTCGTACTAAGGGTTTGGAAGCAACTCCATGCTGCATTCATTGAGAAAGTCGAGTTCAGATTCATCAGTGATATTGTTCAGCTATTTGTCTTCTGACTATCACCACAGGTGCAAATCTGTGGCTCAAGGAGCAGCAAGAAGCTGAAGCCCCAATTATCAACCCTACCACCTGCCACCAATGCCGATGGCAAATGGCGACGGCATGGTTGGTATGATGCCTGTGAGTTTCCCTGCATCCCTGAAGGCATGCACAACTTATTTCTCATTGTTGTTAGCAGAATGAGATTTGATCATCCATGCACGCTGGGCTTTATTGTAATGCTGCAGGTGAGTATTGTTTGTGCAGCTGTGCTTTAAATGAGATAACTGACTGCATGAGCTCGCACTTCATAAACCTTGACCCAGGAGTTCGACCACTTCATTTGCGTATGAGAGAAGATGAAGGAGCAAACACCATTGACCTTGCGGATGCCAACAATGTCCTACAAAGATCAATAAGCGCAGATCCTGCCATAATGTGCCTTCACAACAAATTTTATGCCTTGAAGGGTACAGTTATGCATGCATTACAGTGGATGGAATTACTTAAAGCTCTTTCTCTAGCTGCCCGAACATTTCAACATTGAGATGAAGCAAAAGGTCAAGTCACATGCCAAAGCAGAAGATATTGTGTTCTGGAAGTGGGTGTCAGATATCACCATCAGTATGGTCACTGACACGGCTGTGTACCACTGGAACATCTCAGACCAGACGTCCCCACCTCAGAAAGTGTTTGATCAACATGCAACACTGGCTGATGCTCAACTTATCAACTATTGTGTGACTCCGGACAAGAAATGGCTGGTTCTCATTGGCATCACTGGCAAAACAATGAATTTCTCGGCTTTCAAGGTCAAGGGCGCAATGCATCTGTATGGTTGTGAATGAGGTGTCAGTCAACTCATCCAGGGGCGTGTAGCTACTTTTGCAGAGCTAAAATTTGACAGACACCAACATGCCACCAAATTGTTTGCGTTTGCAGCCAGGACAACGACTGGCACCGAAGTTTGTTTTCTCGCGACCCTGAAATATATGGAATCTCAATATCCCACTAGCTTCATGACATCAAAATCAACCATACAGCTCCTGATCCTGCCTTTGTGAAGAAGGCAGTAGATGTCTACTTCCCTCCTGAGGTGACCAACGATTTCCCGGTGGCAATGCAAGTGTCGAAGAAACATGGCATCATTTTCCTGGTTTCATTCACCTGTATGACCTGGATAGTGGCTCATGTGTGTACATGAGCCGCATCTCTGGTAACACAATTTTTGTCACTGTCAAGCATGAAGCTTCAAACGGTATCAATGGTGTCAACAAGATGGGTCAAGTTCTTTCGGTCAGCGTTGATGAACAGATCATCATTCCGTATATTTTGACTACTCTCAATAACACAGAGCTCACTTTCAAGCTCACCAGTCGTGCAAATCTCTCTGGTGGGATGACATCTACATCAAGCAGTACTAGCAATTATTCTCTACTGGACAGTATAGCGAAGTCGCAAAATTTGCTGCGAACTCTCCCAGGGTAGTGTTCAAATTGTCGACCATTCACCCTTTTAATGTATGTTGTCATGTAGGGCTTACTGCGGACTGTGTAAGTCATCGAGTCCTGCAAACAAGCTCCAGCGCCTAGTGGCTTGTCACCAATTTTGCAGCACTTCGGTGTTTCACTGGCGAAGGGTGAGCTCAACCCTTTAGAGCCCCTCGAACTTGCACACCCAGTGTTGCAACAGAGAAGGAAACGGCTACTTGAAAGTGGCTCAAAGTGTGGTCCTTCTTGCTTGTGTTGATGTGACTGACTACATCTTCTATCGACTCAATCACCAAGGTCCAATCAAGAACCAGATTCATCAACATGTCTAAAGCAGCACGAGGCAGATAATTATGAAGTGAGGGAAGTCAGTACTACTGTAGTACATAGAAATGATAGAAAAGGCAGCTGTAATACACTGGTAACTTCGGGTCACAATCTAAGTAACAACTTGATGATTATCGGTTTCGTCGCTTTTGCACTCCAGAACAGATATGGTGATTCATTGCTGGCCTTTCTCCTACTTGCATGCATTTTTTGCAATGCTTGAATAGAATTTGAAAGTCCTTCACAGAAATCCCATCGCCAACAGATGAGTCAAGCTCATTCAACAACTCTGTCTGCTCCCGGAAGGTCCATTCTAATTGAGCGGGAGAGGGTGGTCGTCCTTTGTTACTCATTAGTGAAACTGTAGTGTTACTGCGACAAGTTCATACCTCTTCATGGGTACTGGTAAGCGACCAAAGGTGCCAGCAGGAAGTACATGTCCATCTTTACTGGAAGATGATCAATGTGAGTTCTAGTAAATGAGCATGACCGCAAAGAATACTGACCATCGTATCCGCATCTATCAGAGGCACATCTCATATTCCAATAAGTGGTCCTCATGGTCTTATTCCACCAAGGATATACAGCCACTTCTATGTACGCCCCCCTCCCACTGCCGTCAGCGCATAGGCAGCATGGGTATCTAAAATCATATTTGTTGTGGTGCTTCTCTAGCTTGGATGGCAGAACCTCCTTGCCCTCTCCATCAGTGGGCCTGTTTTTTTTTTGAAGTGGTGTCATCATTAGAGGATTCACAAATGAGGATCTCACCAACACCAATCAACCATTGATTTGGAAAAACTGTCATAGTGTAGCAAGGATGAGTGGCAAGTCTTAGATTCCACAATCAATTTACCCAACCTCTGAGCATCTTCATGATAGCTGGGTGGGGCTGTGATGACAGAAGAAGGTGAGGATGGCAGTTGCATTGGGCCGAAAGTGTGTTTCCTCTCCTACTTCAAAGCTTGGCCTCTAGTTATACCATGAATCGTTTGGTTGCTATCATCAATCCCATCATGGACTAGTATATCCTTCCGCCAGAAGTGCCTTGTAGGAACTTGGTGCTAGAATAGTGATTCACGTAATTCCATTGGCCATGATCATTGGCGCCGAGTCTGTTCCATTTTTTGCACATTTAGTGAGGTCTTTCATCTGATTTTGAGTGTGCTGAGCTCAATCCTCTCCATCCTTCCAGCTTCTCTTCATAGACCTGGCAAATTCATCGTCAGGTCCAACCCCTTTCAGGTGCACTTGTACTCAGGAGTTCATACAGGAGAGTGCCTACACCAGGCACCAGTGTTCATGTGTGAAAGGCAAGAAACACCTTTTCTCAGCATTATCCAAAGCGAAAGGTCTCTTGGTGTCTGTAAAACAATCCCGTGTAGATAACGACAGTGTCAGGCATCACTCGAGCACACAGTTTGACCATCCACAAGTACCATTGCCATCTTACGGCAAGGTCAATGAGACATCAAATGTATCTAATGTTCATTCAACTCCGCCAGAAATGCACCCTATGCAGGAAGTGTCATGTGATGCTTCATTGCACAATCCACCTGCTTCAGCAAGTGATGTCATTCTCAGCACGGCATCTATGGAAATAGATGAGGAGGGGTTATCACTGGCGCAGCGGAGGAAATGACATATTGGTGTTCCTACACCATTATGGTGCAGGCAGTGTGATGATGTGCTTCCACAGCCCCCACCAAGTGTACCATTCAGTCAGACTGTACAAGAACCGGAGTCAAGCTCACTTGCAAATTCTATTGACGCATCCAGCAGGACTCCTTCATCATTACCGGCTCCTCCTTTCCGTACAGTGAGGAATGTTTTTGGGCTGGTACGCCAGTTCTTCTCAGCGACTCCCCCATCTCATGACCTGGAAGAGGTTGTGACACTCCAGGACATCAGTTCTATCCCAGCTAATACTTCAGCGGAGCTGGACATCGCTGCCGAGCCTCACGACATTTCATACCATCCATACCCCAATTGATCCTCTTTTGAACTTGGTCACTGGTACTGGAATGGCGGTGTTCAAAAATTGCAACAAAGCTTCAAGGAACTCATCAACATCGTCAGAAATATGGATTTTGATTCTGATGATGTGTGAAGTATGCACTGGGATCAGAACAACTTGCAGTTGGGTGCGAGCATTCATGAAGACAGAGATGAATGGGAGGACGAGGATGCGGCTTGGCGTAAAATGGAAGTGATAATTCAAGTCCCTTTTTCACGGACCACAGCTCATCCAGATGCTCGACGCTATATCGCAACAGATCTTTACCATCGACCTCTTGTCTCTGTCATTTGGGAAAAGCTCTCAAACGCTCAGGATGATGAATTTTTTCATTATGAGCCTTATCACCTGCGATGGAGTGCCCCCCATCTTCAACGTGAAGTAAACATTCAAGGCGAGCTATATACATCACCGGCCTTCATGGATACACACCGCAAACTTCAGGAGTCTCCTGGAGAGCCAGGATGTTACAAGAACATCTAGACGCTTGGGCCCCTACCATTTTTCTCCTCATCCTCCTCGTATCAGCCCTCGCATCACACCCTTACCCCGACCTCGCCCTTGTTATCCTCATCATACTTGCATTTCCTTTCGCCCTCTACCTGTCGCTTCAACAGAGCCAGTACATCTGGCTGGACCCTTTTGCTGACGAAGCATACCCATGCTCCGTCCCACCACCTGACTGATCCTGTGGACAGTCCCTTTGCCCTTACCATCCGGACGGTAACCTATGATACGACGCATGCTGCGTTTCCTCTACCCAGTTCCCTTTCTTGATCTATGACTCAGTGTGCAGTCGCGCATGTATACTTATACTTAGCTCCGCAGTTGCACGATCGTGCCCCTGCGTGTTTCACTTCTTATTTTGATCGTTGACTCACTTTCTTATCAGCATGTTCAGGATCACTCGTGTCTTACCTTGAACGTGCTTTCCTTTTATAGTCTTACCCTTTACCGCTTACCTCTCTTGGTAGTACGAGTTATCATCCACTAATACACTTCCTGTCCTCTATATAAACTCGCTACCATGTACTGTATTCCTTAACTTGAATCTACTTGGTTCTTGACCTCCTACTCTCATCAGAGTGATCCTTTCTGCCTAGCCAGCAGTCTATATTCTATCTTCTTATTCACTCTTCACGGATAAGTCTTTAGTCTCGATCTGTACTCATCGACTTCGTCGACGAGCAAAGCCCCTTTATTAATTAGTCGGATTTCTGTCCTTCTAATTAACAACGATCTTACGATTAACCTTCGGGTGTCGTAAGCCTTGGCAGATACCGCTTATCGTCTAGCACCCGCTTGACATAAGCTACCCAATTTGGACATAGGCGTCAAATCTTACTTGCCGAAGCCTCACCAAGTAAGACCCCTAACCTTGGGCTAGCCCAAGGACATCCTCGACCGTTGATGACACACGCTCTGTTTGAGCATTGCCAACAGATACCATCCAAGTCATAACACAGGATGTCATTTACCTCACGTAGTTGTCGCACTAATGTTCTGGTCAGATGCAACGCACCTGACGACTTTCGGTAATATGAAACTATGGCCAGTATATATGTACTTCAGAAATGAATCCAAGTACCGCCGGTGTAAACCATCTTGCAATCTGGCCAACCATGTCGCATACTTTCAAAAGGTATGAAGTTAGCTATCCTCCTCTGCATTGAAGCTTATGTCTGGCAGCTTCCGGACTCGTTCAAAGATTTTGCATGTTCTTACACCGAGGGCAAGGGAGTCGGTTGTGAATGCACAACCCATTGCTACCGCGAGTTATTCCAAGCTCAATGGAGGATCCTACTTGATGCTGAGTTTTTAGACAGTTATGAACATGGAATTGTAATTACCTGTTGCGACAGCGTCAAACAGAGGTTCTACCCGCAAATATTTACATATTTCGCGGACTATCCTGAGAAGTCTGTTGTCAATACTATAAGCGAGATATTGTAACTCACAAAATCCAGGGTTCTTGTCGTGACTATTCAGCAGCTGGGAGGTTGCCCTTGCCCGCATTGTCTCATACCGACAGGACGACTTCACAACCTAGGAATGAGTTGTGACTGTTACAACTTGGATGGTATCTGTTGGTGATGCTCAAACAGAGCGTGTGTCGTCAACAGTCGAGGACGTCCTTGGGCTAGCCTAAGGTTAGGGGTCTTACTTGGCAGGGTTCCGGCAAGTAAGATTTGATGCCTATGTCCAAATCGGGTAGCTTATGTCAAGTGGGGTGCTCGACAATAAGCGTATCTGCCAAGACTTATGACACCCGAAGGTTAATTGTAAGATCGTCATTAATTAGAAGGACAGAAGTCCGACTAGTTAACAGGGGCTTTGCTCATCGACAAAGTCGATGAGTAAAGATTGAGACTAAAGACTTATCCATGATGAGCAGATAAGAAGATAGAATATAGACTGCTGGCTAGGCAGAAAGGATCACTCTTGTGAGAGTAGGAGGTCAAGAACCAAGTAGATTCAAGTTAAGGAATACAGTACATGGTAGCGAGTTTATATAGAGGACAGGTGGTGTATTAGTGGATGATAACTTGTACTACCAGAAGAGGGAACCGGGAAAGGGTAAGACCATAAAAGGAAGGCACGTTCGAGGTGAGTCACTGGCGAGCCTGAATGTGCAGATAAGAAATAAGTCAAAGAACAAAATGAGAAGTGAAACGCGCAGGGGCACGATCATGCAACTGCGGAACTAAATATAAGTACACATGTGTGACTGTGCACTGAGTCACAGATCAAGAAAGGGAAATGGGCAAAGGGGATGCAGTGTGCATTGTATCATAGGTTACCATCCGGACGGTAAGGGCAAAGGGGACTATCCACAGGATTAGTCAGGGGGTGGAACAGAGCATGGGTATGCTTTGTCAGAGAAAGGGTCCGGCCAGATGTACTGGCTCTGTTGAAGCGACAGGTAGAGAGCGAAGGGGAATGCGAGGATGACGAGGATAACAAGGGCGAGGTCGGGGTAAGGGTGTGATGCAAGGGCTGAGATGAGGAGGATGAGGAGAAAAATGGTAGGGGCCCAAGTGTCTAGATGTTCTTGTAACAGTGACAGGCAACAATGTACGACTCTTGCGCGGTCCGATGCCTCAAGGACTCAGGTGGTTTCCACAGCATGTAGCTTGATATACGAGAAGAACCATGGTGTTGACAGCACAGCGGTGGAGTTGCTTCTCAAACCTGATTCATGGGTACCAACCTCCATGAGTATGCTACTAGCTCCCTTTCTGGCTTCGACTAAGTCTTAATTAGAACATGTTTTCTGACCACCTTCATACTTTTGGATTCAATGTGTTTATTGTGCTGGTCGTTGATCTTTTGCATGAGTTTGAGCTTGGGGTCTGGTGCATGCTTTTAGTTCATTTATTAAGAATCCTTCATTCTTCAAACAAGGATCTGATACACGAGCTTGACAGGAGGTTTGCTGAACATTCATCTGATGCATTCTTCAATGGGCTAACAATCATCTAACTTTGAAAGGTATAGACAGGTCCCCCCTTTTGGACGAGCGACCATCAGGCGATTCTCTGCAAATACTTCAGAAATGTCGAACATGGCCACACAAAATTTTGAAGATCTTCTTCAAGTACGTGCGACACTTAATTTAGGTCTTCGTGAACTAATCTTGTAAAAGTGTGCTATCCCTGTTTTCAATGGACTACTCCCCGACCATCACAACAAGATTGTCATGAATCTCCTTTTCACTATGGTCCATTGGCATGGGCTTGCAAAGCTTCGGATGCATTCCGACCTCACCCTAGAGATCCTCAACTAACAAATGACTGATCTTGGTGAACAATTTCGTCAGCTCAAGGCAAATGTGTGCACTGCTTACCACACCCAGGAACTCGACCGTGAAGTTAATGCATGGTATCGTAGGCAGGCAAAGGAAGCGGCTAAACGGTCAGAGAAAGATCAGGCAAATACTACTATGGAAGGCGCTGTAGAAAGCTGATTTCTGCTGGGCTCAGCAGAAATTGTACTACCTAGACAACAAATATTTAGGTAGATCTTAGCACGACCTATGCTGCTATACTTGCAGAGCAAGTGCGTTCGATCCTAAAGGGATTGCTAATTGGTATTAGTAGTAAAAATGTGTCAGTAATGCAAATAACAAAATGTCTGATGGTGCGAAACGATGTCCGAAGGTAATCCGATGATGTCTGAAGGTACTTATCCAATGTCCGAAGCCAAAGTGCGATGTCCGAGATTTCGGACTTTCGGACTTCACGATAATAGGTCGGAAACTTTATAACGAGTGTCGGATTGCGAGTGGTATGCGCAAGTATAACAAGTGACGGAGTATGACGGTGAACAAATGGTAATATTTCATAATGCAACTAAGAACTACGAGAATATTCTGGGTGATCTGCAGAGTCGGGAAACGGCTCCTAACTACTGGATGATGATTGCTACAGGTCACTACAGAGTATTTAAGTAAGTAAGTAGAAATTCAGAAAACTACAGGTGAAGATAGTAGCGATATATTTCGGGTCCGATGTCCTATGTAATAAGACATGAGGTGCTGCGGACATGTAATAACACAGTCCGAATGTCAGAAAATGTGCATGGAAATAACTACGCACCTAGTGAGGCTAGTTCGGATGGACAAGACATGGGATGGACAAGTGCGCGCGAAGTGCAATCGGCCAATGCGATGTCCGAAGGTCCGATGCGCCGGATCCGATATGGAGTGGCTCGGACATGTGCGCATATGTTTCGGGTGTTGATGTGAGTATGGAAATACGTGGTTTTGAGCCCAACGCCGCGACCATCGCTACATCTCCTAGGGACTCAAATACTGACTGTCCTCAGGTGCATCAGACATGTGCACATATGTTTCGGGTGTTGACATGAGTATGGAAATATGTGGTTTTGAGCCCAACACCGCGACCATCGCTACACCGTGAGTACTTTAAAGGCCCATTCGCACCCACACAGGTCAGGCTATCTTGAGTGTGGTGGATCCAGCTGATATAGTCATCATCTGTTGAGCGGAGAGTTGATTGAGACAAGGCTTATCAGTGCACATTCATGGTAACACCCAGTGTATGGACTCCATAGTCTTATACACAAATATTGAGTAGTCAAACCACTGTCCGCATGTAAGCTTGTTCATGAAGGTGTCCTTTAAGATATCAACATGTAGCATAAACAAACAGGAATGATATTCTGTTTTAAATTACATCATTCGAAGCACGAACTGCATGCCTGCAGATCATCTCTTTGTGAGCGAATGGAAATGAATGCTGCATTTGGAAGACTGAGAAGATGATGGTCAATTTTGGCAATAGGTTCAATATCTTCGAGCAGTTTTGGTGGCACACCCATGTGGGTTTTAGGGCAGGGATTCTTAGATTCCATCAGGAAGACATTCACAGCACTGAACGCAAATTATGCATGGTAAGCAAGGACAAGAGTTGTTTGAGGGGACACTGACCTTAAGAAAGGCAACCTCCCCACTGCGTTCCTGAATCTGGGAAACTGGTCCAGGTTGTTGTACATCCCTCTAAGTGCGTACATCATGACACTGTATGTCCTAGTGTGTTGACGGCCCTTAGCTTTAGGTGTGCGCCACTGGTGAAGTGTCTGGTATATCTGATACAACAGTAAACTTTGAGTATTGCTATAAGCAAAAGACGAAGAAAACTTACTAAGGTCATTAGAGTGACCATCACGCCTATTCCGAGAACTTTGTTGCTTCGGACTTCTTCAGGAAATAAATCTGCAATTCTTCTGCAGCCATTATCCTTGGTCAAGCCATTTGTGGGTTGGAGCAGTGAAAATCACAAGAGCTCGACAAACATCTGGAGCTCCGCTATTTCCATGATACCGTGTTGGACCTAGAGTATGATAAGCCATGAAGTCAAATATGTAGTCCCAGCCTCTCACCTCTTCACGTTGATCGGAACTAAGAAGGTCATAAAAGTAATCGACCCTAGCATTCTTCTCATCTTCCGTGTTGCCTGAAAATCCTGTGTGGAACACAATGCACCCTCAAATAATCTTCCGCATTTCGGAAGTTCTGTTTGTGAGGTGAGTCGAGAACTATTCACAATGCTAAGAGTGAGTGAAGGCAAGGGAAAGGGCACAAGAAAAGTGTATGGTCAGTCGAAGGGTTTCCCATCCAACAGATGTCTTGAATTTTCCCAAGTTGCTTGTGACAATAACTGGTAACGCTCTTAGTTAGGGGATTGTAGACTTGAAGGAAACTCATGAGGGCAATCGTGCAATTCCTGTATTGTTGTCTTGCAGAGATCTAACGCTGTTAAGAAGCAGTTCATAATGAGTATTCTGAAATATTTTTCAGGAAGATCCCATGGGTTTGCTAGTCCAATCCAAAGGCTTCTGAGGTACAAACACTTAGTCAAGAACAATGGCCAATTCCAATGAGTGCATCGAAGTGAGTCAGTGATGTCCGACTTGAAATCGGAATCGAGCACAGTATCCTCACCTTTCCAGATGATGTGTTCATGGAACACTAACGTTGGAGGAGGGAGATGGGCATTGCTGACCAGTGCACTAGTGACCATCGAGTGGTGACCACTGGCAATTGAATTTTCCGATCCAGTCACAGTCCTGAAATAATTGTAATTGTAGTCGTCCCAGCTTGCATCAGCTGATGGAGGGATGGATGATGAAAATGCAGGTTCAAACTCTTGGTCTGTGGCAGGAGGTGCGGAAAGTTGTGATACCTGCGGAAAAGGTATTGCTTTGATGGTGGCAGGAAGGGCGAGTGGCATGAATCCATGCAAAAATGGCATAGCCTCAACTATGGCGGGAGGGGGAAATCGGTCTGGGAATTGCGACTGGTTGAAGTGAACGCAATCATTTAGGGTGGTAATCTAAGAGCAAGCAAAGTCAATCCACAGCACACTGCACCAGAAGCAACACTCATGGGCCACACAAGGCTGGGTTCCCTAACACATTTGGCCGAGAAAATTCGCTGTTGATTGCCAGCATAAATGCGCCATTGTAGGTCTATGTTCAGTCTTTCAGTGATTAATTTACAATATAGCGAGAATCTCACCCCCCGCTTTTGGGATACTTCAGAAAATGTTATCGCCCCATTGTGGGGAATGGCCAAGATGCCCACTATTTCTAAAACATCATGTTTGGAGTTGACAAATGAGTAGCTTGCACTCAGATGCTACAAACAAATACAATAAGACGACACAGTTGACTCAAGTGTGACTTACATAGATGGGTAAGAGCTCTTGGTTGATTGCCAAATATCCTAGGAGATGAAAGTGCTCCTTAAATCCAACAAATGGATGCTAATGCTACAAGTGAGAAGGAAATAATGCTTGAGAGACAATGTCAAACTTGTTTGCCCTGGACGAAAGGCATCAGTAGATGATACACACAATACAAAGTGCACATACAGATAACTGAAGGATCCTTGAAACTTTATTCTCTTTAGGATGGTAGAGATAAGTTGGAACAGATGTCGGACTATTTTCAGTCAAGAAATGAATGCAACAGTATTGATCTCATGTCAGCTCACCTTGCATTGTTTGAAAGAATGAGGCGGGAGGAATGTCAAGTTAGAGGAATTGAGATGACAAATTCATAATGGATAGCTAAGTGCTAGAAATGCTTGCGATGGCCGATGATTGGCAATCATGATTGGCGATAGCCAGGGAGAGGTAATGGCCAGGGACTTGAGTAATGGCTAGGGACATGTAATGGCCAGTCATCATAGCCAGGAATTGGCAATGACCAGCCGGAAATGAAATGATTGAATTGCAAGCCGGAAATGAAGATACGACGAACTTTCTGTTCAGAAGGACAAAATGGTAATTGGCCATGTATAAATTGTGTAATTACGCCAGTCAAGCTTGCGCTAGCGATGACTAACCAGGAATTGTGATCGCGTCCAGTGACTGGCAGCAGTTCTAATATGCAGTATCAGTTTTCATAATTGAACACGTGGTGAGTAAACATATCATTGAGCGCCTCAACAAGTGACGCCGTACTTCCATTTCATTCTTGTTCGAAGGCATTCAGCTCCTCGACACCAACATAGTCACCCTCTTCATCGTCCTCACCCTCTTCATCATTTTCTGCAGAAACTGGCCAGTTGGTGGTTTCCACAGTGCCCTCCCTTCCCGAATGTTCACTTTCCGCCAATGTTGCTGTATTTGGTGCATGTTCTGGGATCTTCGCTTCATGAGAATACACGTGCCCTATGCCAAGGCCATAATGGAAGCGCATAAGAGCATCTTGGTCAGCAAAGCTAAATTGTTGGGTTGTAGTAATAGTGATCATATATATAGAATAAGCTCACCTATTGACATAATACTCAAGCCAGTCATGTTTGTCCCCTGCGACAGCTGAAATTCCGCATTCACTGGGATTGTGCTTGCCTCGAGAGAAAGCCGGTATGATATGACATGACTGGAGGACAACTCCTGGGTCTACGAAGTCAAATGTGTTCTGATTTGCTAGAGGCATGAAACAAACGTGGCCTAAGGTGCATGTCTCCCATGAGTGGCTTTGTACTGGTTCATACCACCGAACATAGAGAAACTCTAATCGGCGGGATTCATACACATTCCCTGCACAGATGACATTCATGTGGTGAATTCCAAGAACTTTAGCATACTGGAATTTGCCGTCGTAGTCATTGTCATGGTGTTTGAGAAGCATGATGTTACAATGGGGAGTCTTCAGATTTATGACATCCTGATCCCTCCGAACATCATATGTAGTGTAGTTAAATCTTACAATGTTGTGGTGGTAAATCCGGTTGCATTTGAAGATAATTGAATCCCGTTCATTGGCAATGCGTGCTGATTTCTCCAGTGGCTCGAGACGATCCAAGATATGGTCTTTCAACCAAGGTAGGAAGTCCTGAGTCATATATGAGAATGACAGTGGTACGATGCAATAAATGTTTATTATCTTTATAGCCAGATCCTTTGTGTGGTCGCGGAGGTATTGACCAAAATCATCGTATATCTTCTCACTTTGGCCAATATGGTGGTGAAGCTTGGGATCGAAGATGGCTTCATTCCCCTCTGAACGAGAGGCTTGCTACTGACATTGCTTAATGTGACATAGTCGTGCTTGGTGGTGCTCGATCTGAGTCAACTGGCGAACAAACATCCTTCGATTGGTACGGCAGTATCTGCCTTTCGGCATACTCTAACTCTCCCTTGTAAAAATTGAGTTAGGACAGGTATGAGGAGCGGGCTATGACTTACTGGTTCAGTACTATATGAGTCTGTTGTTCCAAAGTAACGGATGGAAGTCACATAATCTCCCAGTGCATGAAACTTATAAGTGCCAAAATTAAACGACCTCGTCTTGCGCGACTGCTTTGATATTGGTGTATCTTGCGACTGCTCCGGACTTGCTTTTTCTTTCCCCTTAGCGTTGACACCCGCCCTAGGCTTTCGAGGCACGCTGTAGCGATGGTCGCGGTGTTGGGCTCAAAACCACATATTTCCATACTCATGTCAACACCCGAAACATATGTGCACATGTCTGATGCACCTGAGGACAGTCAGTATTTGAGTCCCTAGGAGATGTAGCGATGGTCGCGGCGTTGGGCTCAAAACCACGTATTTCCATACTCACATCAACACCCGAAACATATGCGCACATGTCCGAGCCACTCCATATCGGATCCGGCGCATCGGACCTTCGGACATCGCATTGGCCGATTGCACTTCGCGCGCACTTGTCCATCCCATGTCTTGTCCATCCGAACTAGCCTCACTAGGTGCGTAGTTATTTCCATGCACATTTTCTGACATTCGGACTGTGTTATTACATGTCCGCAGCACCTCATGTCTTATTACATAGGACATCGGACCCAAAATATATCGCTACTATCTTCACCTGTAGTTTTCTGAATTTCTACTTACTTACTTAAATACTCTGTAGTGACCTGTAGCAATCATCATCCAGTAGTTAGGAGCCGTTTCCCGACTCTGCAGATCACCCAGAATATTCTCGTAGTTCTTAGTTGCATTATGAAATATTACCATTTGTTCACCGTCATACTCCGTCACTTGTTATACTTGCGCATACCACTCGCAATCCGACACTCGTTATAAAGTTTCCGACCTATTATCGTGAAGTCCGAAAGTCCGAAATCTCGGACATCGCACTTTGGCTTCGGACATTGGATAAGTACCTTCAGACATCATCGGATTACCTTCGGACATCGTTTCGCACCATCAGACATTTTGTTATTTGCATTACTGACACATTTTTACTACTAATACCAATTAGCAATCCCTTTAGGATCGAACGCACTTGCTCTGCAAGTATAGCAGCATAGGTCGTGCTAAGATCTACCTAAATATTTGTTGTCTAGGTAGTACAATTTCTGCTGAGCCCAGCAGAAATCAGCTTTCTACAGCAGGTACTGGGACCACCCAGTTGCACCCATCATTGTCTATTCGTGGAAAGGCCAGGCTCTGCTGAATCAATAACGGATACATCAGACAAACATTAGTCTGAACAGAGGACATACTCACCCCCTCACGCCTAAGTCCCCATTGCCATCTCTCATCTGCTCATGCTCCCTTCTCATCTCTAAAGCTTCCATGTGTTACACCCTATGACGTTGAATAGTACAGACCAAAATCAATGGAGAGCCTGATGGACAATATATGAACCACAATTCTCATGTTCAGCTTGGGGTGAAAGAGGTAAGGGAAGGAACACTTACCATCATTCCTAGATAGAGATCAGGTGAGTCAGATCTCCCATGGTGGCAAAAAGCCTGATGACCTCACCTTCACAAGCGTATGAGAAAGCAAGGTCCTCGTAGGCCAGATTCTACACTTGGCTGTGGCTGGACAAAATACAGAGAGTATCAGAGCAACAGGTCTTCAGGTGGGAGAAAATGTTTTCGGGAAAACCTGAGTTAATTTTAGTTGTTAGTCCTTATTTGCTATCGTGATACAATCGATCAATTATTCCAGTGGCTATTCCCTCAATTATTCTACTTTGGGTGATTTACGTTACTGCCGTGTCAAGCTCCCACCCCACATTCTACATGAGATGTCACACTTAGCACAAACGGCTATGATGGGGCCGCTGCCCTTGAAAGGAAGAAAAGTCTTGGTAGGTCACAACTTTCATGATCAGCGGCACGTACATATATAAGTATTGCTTCAGACACAGGTGGATTTCTGGCTAGATTCAGTAAGGCGGTCAGTTTACTGCTGCCGGTTGTTTACCAAATTTATCCAGTGCCCTGACAAATTGGTCGCCCCACTGCCCCTGCTGCCCCAAAGTGCGTTGATCAAGGACATGGTCCTCCACGTCGCAAATAAAGTTAAATTGTTGTTTTGCGTGAGTGCTATGACTTTCGTTTCACCAATTTGAACGAACTTTTCTAGATATGACTGAGATGCTATCATGATCTTCATTTCATGCCTTACCCCCACTGTGTTCCGAATCATATACCATATTGTAGCATATCACCACCACCAACACATCTAGTTTTCAACTTCAACTTGCTACATACTTAGACTACCACCATTAAGCCTTGTCTGGCTGCTCTATTAATGCCGCTGCTGCTGCCTTACATACACTGGTACCTGTTCACGATTATTTACGATCAAACCGATCCTGCATGCACTGCAGAATGCTCATCTACCCATCCTCCAATTTACCTCTCACTGTAAACTAAGTATGTCCGCATGACTCAGCAAGATATCAGATATTGGTCGATCGGGTGCCCATCAGCACAAAACAAGGTTTCGGTAAATACCGTAAGCAGGCCCAGCTGTGGCGTATTCAACTAAACTACACTGAATATTTGTTCCTCGTCCTGACTCCACAATGTTCCAACCTATCAACACCATATCTCCTGGAACTTGTGATTTTTCGCGATCCATTGATCACTGTCTCACCATACACCCCACCACAAGTTCATGCTTGTTGATCTTGTCCTGAAATTCCCCGAAGGACACCTTTCACTTGTTTGTGGTAAGCTGGGCATTGGAAAGACCCTGTCATTATTGGGTACATCTCATGGAGCAAACTTTGGAATTCTACTCAACATAATACAGCTATACTCGGCAAGGCAGACATCCTCATCAGCCAGGCCATTTGTCTGTGTTCATCACCAGATGCATTCGTCGATTAGAAGGTCATGCTGCGAAATGCATATATCAAAGGTGAGCTATGAACATTGAACCATTTGCAGCACGCTTATTGTCATGTTTAGACAATACTTTGCTAGGTCTACCATTCAACGAAGAGCACTATCAGAAGACATTGGAGGTCGGCTACACTCCTAAAGCTCGACTGACTGCATCCTTACGTGTTCATCAGCAACCTCAAGGTCCTTGAGGATGGTGACCAGTCTGAAATTGGCGAGCATGGTGTATGTTGCGTTTTGCTACTCAGCATCATACGTACTGATCACAGTTGCACTTGCAGGTGAACTTGTTGGGTGCACAAAAAGCTTGATCATACCTCCTTCAAGTGCATCAAAGGAGAGCTTGTGCATGAACGTATGGCGATCCTTGTGTCACGCCGGGTCCAAATTTGCTTGACTGGTGCTTCATATGTTGTCGCTCTTGATGACGGTTAGTTTTCGAGCATTTTTGTGATCCTATCCGTCCTTCCTCTTGGTGTCTCTAGCAAACATGAATGTACTAATGTCTGTCCTTTGCCTGGTCTCATAGGCCTTGTCCCTGCTCTTCCCTCGCCAATCATCGCAAGGCAAGATGGACCAACTTCCATCTCTAGCCTCTCGATCCAAAATAGCTGTAATGAGACCACAGTTGATCTCAACAGCTTTTACAGCTACGCTTCGTGTTTTCTTTTAACTGCACATTCTTCGATGATGAAAACCCTGCCCAAGTCATCACTGTGTTCTGAATACCTGTGGCCCAACCCTCCAGACAAGCTGCTAGAGATATGCAGCGCCTGTGTAAGTGTTTTTCATCTTCATGAGCGGTCAATTGACTTTATTTGCTTAAGACTTTGTGGCACAGTTCCCTATTTATTTAATCTATGGATGAAATCATTGCCGGATCGTCTATCCTTCGAGCTTGTGGTGCTTCATGAGAGACATGCTTCATACCCCACTTTGGGTGAATGAAGGACTTGCATGAGAAGAAGTGAGAACACATTTGGTACATCAACAATTATGTCCTCAATGCCAATGTGCCTATTGCCAAGTGACATTGCAGGCCATGTTGACTTGTACGTTTACTTCCGTTCTCGCAAACCATTTGTGCCAGTCCAACGACTTAATCTTTGGGGTGAGCCTTACAATGCTTGAGTTGGTCATCATTGACCTTGCAGCACAGACCATTATATCGGGGAGGTTAGTCCCTGTTGAGGGAATGGGCGACACCCTCATCCCTCTGCTATCTCTTGTCCCTATGCGCGTCAACCTCAACAACCCTGGTTGTCTCTATCAAGTCCAGGATGACATCATTGCTGTAATTCCATTCGAAAATGTTCCTCCTGGGCAGGTGCAGAAATGGGTTAGATCGGGCACTGATTTATTCAACATTCTTTTCTCGGTTATGCACAAAGACCAGACTGCATACGAGATTTTTGATGTTGTGCAGAGTGAATTGCCTCAGCCAGACGTGAGTCTCCTGCCTCATACTTCATCATGCTTAGCTTTAGCTACCCTCATCCAGTTCTTCCTGTCCATGGAGATAGTGGTAGACATCTACCTTGCACGGAGTCTGTACAGCCTTTGTCGGTCATCTGTTCTCGTTGATTGAAGCTAGACCATCACGTTCTGAAGACGGCTGCCAGTGATGCGGGTGTCACTCTTCAGTGTTTGGGGCAGGCAGCTTGGCTGAAGCTTGTCTCATCGAAAGTGTCTTCCTATGACATAATGTTTGGGCACATTGTCTCTGGATGCTCTTTTCCAGGCTATGAAGACATTATTGGACTCATGTTGGTACATATTTTGGCCAAGGAGCAGGCTTTCACTGACCATGTGGGATGTAGAACACTATACAATGTTGTGTTTGTATCGGCGAAACCACGACAAACAGGGATTTATTGTGTTCTATCCATGCAAATAACTTGGCCGCCTCAGAGTGGCAACATGCTTCGCTTTGTGACATACAGTCTGAGACGGGGCTCTTTGATCTATGGGACAGCATATTTGTCTTTCAACCTCTGAAGTCCATATATTCAAGTCCATTGTGGAGTTTGCTCAATCCAGATGAGTTTCAAGCCAACCTTCAGGTACATACCTTGCACTTTCTGCATACTTCTACTAATCAGGCTACTTTAGTACCCATTGAACTGTGAGTTCCACAAAATGGATGATGGATTTTCTGTGACGCCTGCTTGCCTGTCAAATTTCATGGATCTGGAGTCTTTGGATCATGAAATGTCATGGCTTGAGCCCTTTCTCGCTACTGTCGTCTCCCAACCGAATGCCAAGGCCATTGTGGATGTTCTCTTGGACAGCAGAAAGCTTCCCCTCTATAGTAATGTGCCCACCACCAGTATTGCACCCCACAGAGGACTCAACCATTTACCTCCTGCATTGGTCAATGTCCTAGTTTCTATCGCCAAATGCTCTGTCGACAGGCTGGACCTGGACAGCCCAGCTGCAGCCATTGGGATTGACTCAATCACAGCAATTCAACTCAGTGTAAAATGTAGGGAAGCAGGAATCACATTGACCATCGCGGATATTGTTGCTTGCCATACAATCGGTGATTTGGCCACAAGGGTGGTTGAAATGGAAAGACGGTGTAATGATGGTCGCGGCGCTGGGCTTGAAACCAGGCAATCCAACACCTACGTTCATACAATTCCCCGACCTCCCTTGACCTTCCTAAGGCCGCGCGCACTTGTCCGAACCTTCCGCAGGCAGTTCTCATGTTCCGAGACCCGTCCGAACCTCGCAAGTTACCATACCATGTCCTATCCTCGTCCTTTTGACTTCGCTGGTGTGTTTTCCTTTCTTCTAACTATATGTTTACTACATCTTAGTGCTACACGGATAACAATCCCATCGGCATCCTGTCGGGAGCCTCGGAATATGTATAAGCAGTACGCATTGTGGCTTATTACATGTATACTTGCATTCTTGCATGCCTTGCAGCTTATTACATAGGTTCGGACTTGCTTATCTCGCTACTAGTTTCGCCTACGGATTCCGGCCTCTCACGGAAGTAGGATATAATCTTGCTCACTGGCTACTGATAGGACACTTCACTTCCCATACTTCAAGTAGTAATTAGTAGAGTCACCTCGGTATAATCGTAAACTGCGCAATCGATCCTTGTTCATTTGGAATGATTGTCTGGCTAGACCGCTGCCAATTTTGCACTTTGTTTATTCTCAAGTCCCGATAGATTAGTGTTGTTCCGACCTTCAGACGTTGCGCAAAGTCTTATACTGTTATTCGACGCACCGACATACTGACACATCGACACACCAACATATATAGACCTTCGGACAGCCTTTGCAAGCTTCAGAAGGCATCGCGCCACTTCGGACAACACTTTCACAGCCTTGGACGACCTTTGGTCGCATCGGACAAGTTTCTCGGTACTTTGGAAGTAGTCTCGGAACTACGGACGAGCATTAAAGAGGTTTTCTTCCAATATCTTGTCTACTCTCTAACTGTATAAGACTTCCCTTGCATTATCAAGGTAGTTCTTAGGTTGTCTCTTGGGACGAAGCATACTCGCATCTCTCAGGACTAGGGACTCACATTCAGTAGAGCCCAGCCCAGATCTACTCTTTACAACGGCCAAGTACCCGTCCACCGCATCTGGATTATTTAGTCCCTGAGATCGACTATGAAGCTGTCGCTGAGATTCCACCCGAGCGGCGCAGAGACCTCATGATTACTCAGGCAGCCTCTGGCATGAAATGGCTTGTTTGCACCTGGCAAAGGAGTCATCATGCACGATTTCAACATGTGTTTGCCTATAGAATGACCCAGAAAATTGACCCCAAACGATTGCACAGCTCGTGGATAGAGTTCATTGCTCGACATCCCATTCTCAGGTCAACATTCATCTCTACAAAGCTCATTCGGACATCCATATAGCGACCTTCAGTACCGACAGAATGGGAAGCTCCATCAGCAGGTTAGATCATGCTACGGAGTGCTATGGAGTGCTTCACAGCACTCTGTAATCATGTGTAATGAATTATGTTTCCCTGATGTCATTTGCTGTTGAACCACTGATTTGCCCGACAGCACGAATATCCTGCAGAGACGGATGAACGTGATCATCTCTTGGCCACCCCCGTAAGTCATGAAATATATGCATGATTTAGGCTATTAAACAAAATTTGCCTAGTTACATGCTGTTCAAAAAATCTTGCTCAAAGGTACCTGCATATGCTCTGGACCAATTGTTTTGACACATGTTGGCCAAGCACAGGCCTTCAGGTGTATTAATTTGCAATTGCCAATGCCATCTAAGTATAAGATTTTAATCGCTTGCAGGCTCTAGTTCTGTGCACCTCCTTTGACCATTCTCGCCAGACATAGAAATTTCACTTCCCTTGTGCCTATCATGTCATGCACAAGAGTGTCATACTTAAGTTCTACTGATTGTTGTCCTGCTAATTAGCTGTGCTCTTTGGGTGCCATCAAAGCTCTGTAGCGCTACTTGGAAAATTAGAACTTCTTGATGGTCAGAGATTTTGGCTGGCCATGATTTGTAAATAGTAATGGTTTTCTCAGGTGCTCATGACGTTCTTCAGTCGCCGCTACAAATAAGACACGTAATAATACAAACACCAAATCCTAAGTCACATTGATTCATCCATGATGTCAACCTGTTTTTCACATTCGCAGTTATTTGATGATTAAACTACTCGCATCAGTGTTCTTCGAATCACAAACTCACTCAGCATGGAATTATTGGATGCCTATATAGAGCTTATTGCAATTGACAAGGCTCGTACATATCCTCGCATTTATTTGCACATTTCAAAGACATTTAATATAGCTCCGGACCAAATTAAAGGTTCTATCATTCTTACTGAAAGGTCGAGTCTATCCTGGCGATCTTTGGGAAATCGTCGGGGAGCACATTATAGAAGTTAAGCAGGAGACATTACTCCGACAACATCTGAGCCGTTGCACTGATGGCTTCAAAGACAAAGGGCATGTCGTTGTAGAGCATCTTCTCATGGAGGAGAAGAAGAAACAATGCCAGATGGAGGTGTCTTTGTATAGTCAGGCCCTCGAATACTTGCAGCAACACCGGAAACATGAGCTTCCTTAACTTTGGTACATGAGTCAGTAGCCTGAACATTACTGTTACAAAGCAGTCTCCTGGTCTGCTTGTCCAGTCAAGTGGGACGTCAGGCCTCCTTCAAAAATCTCAAGATGTTCTACAGTTTGCTCCCCTCTAGCCTGTTCAACAGCAATGCAAGATAAATGTGAAGCTTGGTTAAAAAGACGACACGCCTTTTCCCTCCCAGCAGATGCTGAACCTTGGATGTCAAATTACCCTTTTTTGGATGAGCCTTCATTAATATCTGAGCCCACTACTACGCACAAAGCTAAATGAACATCCATTATTTTGAACATCAGTACTGCAGTTCATGTACTTGGCTATTCTCACTGTCTTTAAAGTGTGTCAGTTCATCATTGCCCATGTTGAGCACATGGGTCGCCACTGGCATTCAAGAAGCTTTCTACAATGCATTTCAGGCAGGACTGACATTGCATGCTCTTACTGTCAATGGCAAACTTGTTTATCAGCGCAACCTTGGGTTGGAGTTACTCATCTTGCAAGCAAAGATGCACCATGCCCAAGCTGAGATAAACCTCTATACAGTGGCCATTGAAAATGCCCACAAATGTGACTGCTCTACCACTAGTGGGTCTCCTGGCAGTATTTTTTGGAAGTGCTGATGGCCCTCTACAGACAAACTATTGTTTTCTAGTGGATTTATTCCACCGCCTCCATCAGACAAAATGTGTTACTATGAGGTGGATCATGATAATGTGACAGATAACTTTGATGATTTCGAATTTGAGTAATGTCATAAGTCACTCCACCTGTCACCCAGGTCGTCGCAACTCACCATGGTCTTGGACTACATATTTATTTTATCTTTTATCTTTCTATTGTTGCTACCAGTTGTATGATATACCTTAAGTGTTATGACTTGGATGGTATCTGTTGGCGACGCTCAAACAGAGCGTGTATCGTCAACTGGTCGAGGACGTCCTTGGGCTAGCCCAAGGTTAGGGGTCTTACTTGGCAAGGCTTCGGCAAGTAAGATCTGACGCCTATGTCCAAATCGGGTAGCTTATGTCAAGCGGGTGCTAGACAATAAGTGGTATCTGCCAAGGCTTACGACACCCGAAGGTTAATCATAAGATCGTCGTTAATTAGAAGGACAGAAGTCCGACTAATTAATAAAGGGGCTTTGCTTGTCGACGAAGTCGATGAGTAAAGATCGAGACTAAAGACTTATCCGTGAAGAGCGAATAAGAAGATAGAATATAGACTGCTGGCTAGGCAGAAAGGATCACTCTGATGAGAGTAGGAGGTCAAGAACCAAGTAGATTCAAGTTAAGGAATACAGTACATGGTAGCGAGTTTATATAGAGGACAGGAAGTGTATTAGTGGATGATAACTCGTACTACCAAGAGAGGTAAGCGGTAAAGGGTAAGACTATACAAGGAAAGCACGTTCGAGGTAAGACACGAGTGATCCCGAACGTGCTGATAAGAAAGTGAGTCAAAGATCAAAATAAGAAGTGAAACACGCAGGGGCACGATCGTGCAACTGCGGAGCTAAGTATAAGTACACATGCGCGACTGCGCACCGAGTCATAGATCGAAAAAGGGAACTGGGCAGAGGGATGCAGCATGCGTCATGTCATAGGTTACCGTCCAGATGGTAGAGGGACTGTCCACAGGATCAGTCATGTGGTGGGATGGAGCATGGGTATGCTTCGTCAGCAAAAGGATCCGGCCAGATGTACTGGCTTTGCTGCAGCGACAGGTAGAGGGCGAAGGGGAATGCGAGGATGACCAGTATGACGAGAGTAAGGTCGGGGTAAGGGTGTGATGCAAGGGCTGATACGAGGAGGATGAGGAGAAAAATGGTAGGGGCCCAAGCATCAAGATGTTCTTGTAACATTAAGCAGTTTGTACTTGTGATCACATTGGGGCTTAGCTACAGTATATGTATATTACTATACCATGTTCATGTGATCCAAGTGGCGAATGAAAGACACCAACTCTGTGACACATGATCAATCTTTGTAATCCTAAGTATCACACTGTCAAGCTTAAGTCTTTACTCACTTTATCTCGCATTGAGAGTTTCAAAAGCAACTTTGCACTGACTGCACCTTGGCGACGCGACACGGAGGGCAACACATCTGCTTTTCATGAGTAATCTCCCATCTTCCTCCTTATCAGAAGAGATTATGAGGACCATTTTCCTTTGTCTAGGGGGGGTGGGGGGTGGTTTGATAGTCGACGCCCCACCCATCTACATCTCCTGCGCGCTGAAAATTTTATCATTATATGATCCCTACACCCATATGCGCGACTAAGCTGCTCAACATCCCTCCACCATTCGAGAAGCGAATTAGGATGGTGTGGCAGAATATCACAGGCTACTAAACTGTTGTCGACTCCGAGGCGTAGATCAAAGGGGTATTGGCTGGTGAATAACTATCAAAGAGAAGGGACAGTGAGTGATAATGTCTCCCTAATCATTTATCTGTTGACCATTGAATCATGAACAATTTTCTGACAGTGCGAGTGGTCGCAGTGGTGCATCCTCTTATGTGACCTGCCTGGATGCTTTTGTCCTAAGAATTCTATTTGGTTCAGGATGGAAATCACTTTGTTATGAGCTTATTCTCCAATGTCAAACAATCAATTCTTCAATTCAGCTGACTAGACAGTGCACAACTTCTGTCTTTGATGCATATGCTAGTTGACAGTCACTTACCTCATCCAGTGCTGTGACTCAACCACTCCCTTCCTCCGTGCTCCACATCCTTCTATTTACTCAACTTCACCTTCAACTTCGCCTTCACCCTCGCCCTCGCCCTTGCCTGCGCAGGATGGTCAGTTTGTTACTAGAAGCACGTGCCAGATATACTTTGGATCAGAGAAGGAGCATTCCATGTGAGCTGATGCGGAGAGCAGGTATCAATTCCGGCCGGTGTGTATACTTCTAGCACGCTTGCCCAATAATTTTCCTCTAACCAATGAAGTCTGTATGTTTGATAAAGTTCTTCAAGCCTTGCACAGTTTTGTTCCACAATTTTCAGTTGTTGTTTGAGTGTGTCTATTGACTCCACCTCGCCTGTTTCTTAATCTTTTACTGGCAGATCGGGAGCCTCGTTCTACCCTGGTAGACTGTTGTCAACATTCACTTCACTGGTTGGTGATGAGCTTTTGGAATGATGGATGATAGGATTAATGACAAACCTTGCACCAGAACGGGTGAGTTCCTCGCTCTTTTGATCAGTGTAGCTCTCAAACTCAATTCTAAGGGAAGGCATGTTCAGCAGGCCCCCGCTGCCAGATAGGTCATTAGGTTTGAAATTACTGTAAGTTCAAGTTAATACTCTGTTCTTGCAGTCTAAAGGTCTGCCAGTGATCCAAGTGTTGAACCATATTCAAATGTGTTCCCTGATGGCGCAGCAAGTTGCATGCTTTGCCCTTCTTCACAATATTTCCACTTCTTTAAGATTTCAGTCAAATAGCCAACTAAACCGGGCCGGTCGTCCCTGATGCCAAGTCCACCAGTCAACTATACCAAGAGATTTTCACTGCCAGCCACCAACATGACACTACCCGCCAATACCCCATTATGTCACAGTGTAATGGGATAAAAACCTGGATTCAGGATCTGCGCACACTGGACCACGCTTTCTTCCTCTTCAGCTCTCATGGCTGAGGACACCAATCCCAGTGTTCCGAGCAAACATGGTTCATCAGCTCTTCAAATAGGGCCTCGAAAAAAGGCGTAAGCTGCTTCAATGATAGTCACAGGGTTTTGTAAACTCATCCTGTTACTCAGCTCTATGTCTGACCCACTTGTTTCCCATGGACAACACTTTGGAAGAACAGTGTTCGCACTGTGCAACTACCCTTCCTTACTTACTAATGGTATCTTGAGACTGGAGCAGATGGAAGATACTCCACTGAGTAAAAAACCGTATTTTTATTTTCGCTCGCTGATTGACGTATCTGGCAGAGAGCGGCAAGAACATCGTGTATTCAAGCAGCTCATAGAATCTTATCCTGGCCTTCTGGAACAATTTAAAAATGGGTCTGAAGAAGAAATTCTTCACATTGGAGAACTTGTATGCCTTTCTCTCCATGATCAGTGCTCCTGCTTACACTTTGTAGATAGGCAAAGGAGCTGCGGGTGCAAGAGGTGACAACACGAAAATGCTGAAATCTGCTGTACTTGATTGGATTGCCCCGAAAGGAGAAGCGATCCGACCCCCTTTACACAGAAATTCAAAAATCGACCGCAGATTTAACCATGAGCTTACAGGGTCCCTACTTTGTCCTGCAGGATTAGACTGGAATGACCCACAGTAAGTTTTGGTTTGATATATCTGCAATCTTGATAACTTATTTTTGCACATTATAAACAAGGACCAAGGACAACCTTCAAAGCAGCGAGCTTTTAGTCTGCGGAGACCAGTGGCCTGTTTTTTTGTATGCTCATCATACTTATGACACTGAAGATCTGTGGTGTGGTCTCCTTAGGAGCCGTTTACTTGTATGTGTGTGTGGCATATGTCTATTCATGAAGTTTCTTCTGTAACACATTTTACCAGGCTTACAAGCACGTTTTCATGTCTCCAAGTTCAGTTGACAGAGAACCGAAAGCCACACAATCCAGAAATGCTTGCCTCCATGGCATGAATTCTGCCACTGTTGCTTCCATAGCTTACATAGCAACCCAGGTTTGTCAAACACCCATTCTCTTGTACACAGGTAGTTCTGACGTGGACTGAAGGTCCGATTTGCTTTAACCTCGTCATCGGTGTTCTCAAGGACTGACACGGCCACCAACTCAGAGACATTTTATCACAGTCTCCTCGACCTCCTGGAAGATCTTGAGGAATTGAAGGAGGTTGATGAGCTGCTGGTGTGGTGGAATCAGTAATTTTGTTATCACTCTAATGTCGCCGAGGCTCATACATCACCATGTACTCAGCCAGGTCTTCCCGACTTCTTCTGCTGCCAAGCGACCTATCACTGCCAACAGTGCGTTATTGAAGATCCGGCAAAAACACCTTGCCTTAAAACAAATTTCAGGTCCAAACGTAGTCCCTTAGCACTCATTCACGTCCTTGTGTAGTAGATACTATCCTAACATAATGCCAAGCCCTGAAATTCCGCTGTGACAAGCCCTACAAAAGAAAATGTACGGCTAACATCCTGCTTGTGGTAGCAAGTTGAAAATATCAAGCTCCCATTAGATACGATGATCACACTTGGCACCGTTTGTAGTCATCTACAATGCAGTCTGGTATTGGGGGACCCTGCCCAGCTATGGCGATCAAGAAGATATTGCCGAGAACAATTCAGATCGCTCACCTTGCAAGTCATGGCTATTCTTTGGCAGATAACTGATGGAGGGTACAACACTATCATTGTTCCACACCCTTGGACCCAGGGCAACGCAGATCCAAAACGGACAGACATTGGAAGGCTTTATCTGACTCCGGCTTTTAAGGAGAGTTGGTGCACGATAAAATGACTTGCTAACTTTGTATTCAGTGACTATCATATGAGCAGCGTGCTGGTGCACTGCTGCTCGTCACCCACATTGCATGCTTGAAAGGTCTGGACAATGTCATCTAACATTTCAACTACATATCTGATGTTAGCGCCGAGGGAGTTTCTGTTGAGCACATAATAGCAAGCACCGCTTGTATAGCCATATACAATTATATATGATGCTGACTTTTTTCTGGAGTTGGCAGAACATTGAATGTCAGACTAACTGTGCACATGGCTATTGGGTTTCGTCAGGGCTGAGCGGGATCATAGTGTACTGTCGCTCATTGCCTGAACAGTATACTTGGTAGATGTTAGCAACACAGGCTAGCATTTCAACTACATATCTAATGTCAACACCAAGGGAATTTTTGTCGCTGGTATAATGACAAGCTCTTCTTGCTTGAAGCAACCAAGCTGATACTGCTTGGTACTGCATTGTAGGTATATGACAACCTTGAGCTCTAGGTGGTGTTGGTCCAATGCAGTCCAGCCATATAAAATTTTATGTGACACCAGCATTTATTCAGATATTGCGAAAACAATCAAAAGTTATATATCACAACCAGGGATGATAGTGCATTGCCACTGGTCTTCAACTATGCAGCAATGGTCACTCTCAACAACCTAATCTTCCTTTGCAACGGTAGGTGGATGTTGTAATATATACCATCTTGGCGATAACCAGCAGGCAGTTGCAGTTAGATGTCACAATTTTGCATTTGGCTGATCCATCAAACTAAGTCCAGGTATTCAAAGCTTTCTCATTTTGGGTACAATTTTGATACATATTGTGCATATTTTAGATCAGATAAAGCTTTCTAAAGGATTATTGTTTTCAGGTCATTTGCCTGATGTTACAGTCTGGTTCTGGCTGGTGTGAGAGCCATGGACCAAACCACAGAGAACTGGACCAAAAGTCTGGTTCGAAACATGGTTCTGGACTGGACCACAGCAGCACTAATGGGGACTTTGGTGCAAGATGTCTTGTAGGTAGTATATTGCTTGTATTTCTTGGTTTGCTGTTGTATTCTTGGTCATTATGGTCTCGGACTTTCACTTGTTCTCTTTGATCACTATCTAAGTGTTTGGCTAGTACATATCAAAGTATTATTTGCACTACAAACAAAAATAAGGTATTGGGGTGTTTGGGGTCTTTTTACTACATGTGACCAAATATGCTGACTGAATGAGCATGGTACTCCAGCTTTCCATAGATTCTAGCAATTGCTGCTGAATTTCATAAGTTTCTAGATCCGAGCTAGCACCTTCTAATGTGCATGTTGTGATTTCGGGTGTATCTAGAGCTGAAGAGTCAGCGGTTGTTGCTAGTGAGGAATCAGTAGTAGAAGGTTTTAATTTTTTGAGGAATTGGCCATCTATTCCCAGGTTCCTACCCAGTCGCAGTGTCAAGAGAAAGAAGACAGCATCTGAGTTGCCATGTGTAAAATTCAAATCACATGCTGTTACGAGAACATCTAGACGCTTGGGCCCCTATCATTTTTCTCCTGATCCTCCTCGTATCAGCCCTTGCATCACACCCTTACCCTGACCTTACCCTGGTCATCCTTGTCATTCTCGCATTCCCTTTCGCTCTCTACCTGTCGCTTCAGCAGAGCCAGTACATCTGGCCGGATCCTTTCGCTGACGAAGCATATCCATGCTCCGTTCCACCTCCTGACTGATCCTGCGGACAGTCCCCTTGCCCTTACTGTCCAGACGGTAACCTATGATACGATGCACGACGCATCCCCTTTACCCTGTTTCCTTTCCTGATCTCTGACTCGATGCGCAGTTGCACATGCGACTTATACTTAGCTCCGCAGCTGCACGATCGTGCCCCTGCATGTTTCACTTCTTATTCTGATCTTTGACTCACTTTCTTATCCGCACGTTCAGAGCTCACCCGTGTCTCACCTCGAACGTGCCTTCCTTTTATGGTCATACCCTTTACTGTTACTTCTCTTGGTAGTACGAGTTATCATCCACTAATATGCTTCCTGTCCTCTATATAAACTCGCTACCATGTAACATATTCCTTAACTTGAATCTACTTGGTTCTTGACCTCATACTCTTACCAGAGTGATCCTTCTGCCTCGCCAGCAGTCTATATTCTATCCTCTTATCTGCTCTTCGCAGATAAGCCTATAGTCTCGACCTTTACTCATTGACTTCATCGACGAGCAAAGCCCCTGTTAACTAGTCGGACTTCTGTCCTTCTAATTAACGACGATCCTTATGATTAACCTTTGGGTGTCGTAAGCCTAGGCCGATATAGCTTATCGTCTCGCAAACCGCTTGACATAAGCTACCCGATTTGGACATAGGCGTCAAATCTTACTTGCCGAAGCCTCGCCAAGTAAGACCCCTAACCTTGGGCTAGCCCAAGGACGTCCTCGACCGTTGACAACACACGCTCTGTTTGAGCGTCGCCAACAGATACTATCCAAGTCATAACAAAAGATTCAAGTTACCTTCTAGCCCTCGACATCTATCGAGGACAGAAACAGATACAAGACGACCACTCCCTGGACACGCAAGTTCTCTTGGGAGCGCGACCTGAATCAGGAAGATCCTGACAAAGAAGAGGTAGATGGACAGTTTAGCTCTCCCACCTCACCTACAGAGCAGTACCACTCAGACGAGGGACTGAACGACGAAGAAGATCTAGGAAACACTCCGACTTCTGAAGAGGACTTTCCAGACAAAGTACCTCCCTGAAACACTAGCGCCAATCCAAAGACAAGAATGTCTAACTCATCATCCTCCTCCACCGCTGTCAGTAGTCCGTGCCCCTGAACTCAAAGCAGGAGCACCAATGGACTACGATGGTAATACCGACGACGCACAACGATGGCTCTGCAGCTTGAAGACGTATTTTCTCATCAATCCCACCGTCTACTGCAGCGAGCAGATCATGGTCTCAGTCGCCCTGTCATTAATGACAAAGAACAGCGCTAAAGCATGGGCTGATAACTTCTATTGCGAAGCTTTCAGCACCAACCCTCCGAAATTCGGAACCTTCACCGAATTCGAGAAAGGATTCAACCTTGCATTTCAACCCGTTGATAAGCAGGTGAATGCCCTCACCGAAATCGCCGAACTTAGAATGGGAAACAACATTACGGACTACATCTCGAAGTTCAAAATGTTGGCTACCATTGCCAATATCAAGGAAGGCGTGACTCTCTCACACTTCTTTGAGAAAGGCCTGAACCCAAGCCTTCGCGAAGCAATCTACAGGAAGGAGACACTTCCTGACACTATCGAAAAGTGGTACACTTCTGCGGTACAGCTCGACGCTAACTACCGTAGGAGTAAGGCCGTCTCTGCCAACTCCCGAAACCAACACTCCCGATACGCCCCTCGCGGTTCCAAGTACTACCCCAAGCCTAACGTCTCATCGTCCAGAGACCCTAATGCTATGGACGTAGACCGCACCCTCTCTCAGGCAGAGAAAGATGAATGCTACAAGAAGGGCCTGTGCTTCTCATGCAAAGAGCATGGCCACAGAGCCAACGATCCCAGATTCCACCCGAAGATACAACGTGGAGAGAAGAAAGATACCAAAGGAAAGACTCCGGTAACGACTGGTAGAGACCAGCGTGATGACGAAACCTCCAAAGACGACATGGAGACCAACCGGCTCCAAGAATCAGAGGATTTTTAGAGCGGAGGACCGCAAAAGCAACGTGCGTCCCCTCCTTAGATATCCTGTGTACTCATACTGTAGGAAAAGAAAATGAATTCCATGTACCGGTGACACTTTTCTCTTCCACGAGTACGAAAACCGTTGCAACAACAGCCATCATCGACTCAGGGGCTGGGGGAACATTTATTTGTGACACCTTCGTAAAGAAGCACAATATTAGAACCCACCTCCTGAAGAAAGCCTTCCGCATCACCACGGTAGATGGAAGTCAATCCACTGCTGGGAAGGTCACCCGATACTGCATACTCTTTGTCTGACTCGACGGACGAACTATGTGAGGAAAGTTTAACGTCACCAGACTTTCCGAATGAGACGAAATCTTGCTAGGTAAACCCTGGCTATCCGCCATGAAACCGGATATCGATTGGGGACGCAACGAAATCACAATGCTCCCCACACCCAGATCCAGACATGTTGAGAAGCTACTCAACAAGACTCGAAGAAAGAATGGGGTATCCCCCTACCGATTCGAAGGTCTCCAACCAATGATCGAGGACGAGGAAGAGGCATCTTTCAAACCTCTCAAGTCACTCCCCCTGGGTATGGAACACGTACTCGAAGAAATTCGATGCAAGAAGAAGAAAAAGAAGACGAAGAAAACAAAACCTGCCGAGGAGGAACCCGCCGAAGAAAAGCATTTCGAAATGCCTCAAGAAACTGACGTCATGGAAGACGTCTGGGTAGGGAAGATCGATCCCCTACCCGAAGTCAAGGAAGTCGCGACTTACCCCTTGACTGACGACGAGATTCTTATAGAATACTCGACCGATGGTTCTTCGGTCAGACTGATCGAGAACCTCACCTTCGACACTCCCCTAACAAGGGATGGAACCTCCAAAACG